ATTTAGGAGCACAAATTTAAAGGAGGAGAGAAAATGATTTGGGTACATTGTGAAGATGATCCACAGACAAGGAAAAGGCAGTACAATGTCCCTGTACCAGGAGCTTACCTGGAATGTCAGACTGCACCTCTGACCACTGTGCCAGTTGCAGGGTGCTGGAGATATTTTCTATTTTGATTTAGAAGTGGTTTTTAGCCCTAGCTGGTGTGGCTTTGTGGTTGAGTACTGGCCTGCAAATCAAAGGGTCGCTGGTTCATTTCCCAGTCTAGGGCACATGCCTGGGTTGGGGGCCAGTTCCCCAGTAGGGGGCACATGAGAGACAACTACACGTTGATGTTTCCCTCTCTGTCTCCCTCCCTTCCCCTCTCTAAAAAATAAAGACTTAAAAAAACAGTAGTTTTTAATTTCTGTTGTTTTAGATTCTAACTCTCCCGTTACATGTCTTAGTTCCAGTGTTTTTCAAATATTATTTATATTTCAGTATATTTGCTTAAATTTTATTTGTTGATTTTGCATACTTTAATATCAGAGCAGACACACACACAAAACAATACACAGCATCCAAATCCCATGTCAAATGTAAGAAAGGAAGGCTTGAGGCCCCTGTAACCTGCCTTAGGCAAAGAGAAAAAAGTCACTAAACATCAGAGGGAACCAGGTGCACTAGTGGAAACTTTTTCTCTACTTTGATGTGAGAGGCAGCCTAATCACCCTTGAGGGGGTGGGAGGGCACATTACATCAGGAACAGCAGCACTATGATTTCTACTGTCATTTTATCTTCTTCAAATGTCTAGGCCTAGTTTGATTGGATGGTAGATGCAATAGGAATGAGTCTGGGATTTCAAGTGAGAAGCCAGAAGAGAGCAGCGCAGTTTCAAACAGCAACAGCACAAGGCCTTGACAGCCTTGTCTGCCTCTGCCTTCAGCTTCATGTCTCCACAATGGGGTGGTTGAGGTTGATTCTAGGTATTTTTTCAGCCATTCTGTAGCTCAGTGTTGAGTTATCCCAAAGGTCGGGGTTTTCATGATATGTTCCATGTTAGTTGTCCAGTGATAGGTGCTATTCACAATGCAGCAGATGAAGACAAAACTCTTGCAGATTATCACCTTCTCAACCTTCCTATCCAAGATTTCTTTCACTAGCTTCCAGAGGTTCTCAAACTTGGCCTTGCTCTTTTCCATTTTCTTCTCTTCATCCTCAAGTAGCTCCAGGCCCTCCTTGGTAACAGACCAAGCTCTTTCCATCAAACTCCTTGAGTTGCTGCACACAGTATTCATCAATAAGTTCCATCATATATTCTACCTCAAAACCCCACTTCTGCACTTGCTCATGAAAGCAGAGTTGGAAACTTGTTCTTTGCTCTCACAAGTGAAGTAATAGATGGACTTCTAGGCTTCCTTCATGTAAGAGACATATTCAAAAAAAGATGTCGCTTCATCTCCAGACTGGAAGATGTGATAGTGTAGATGCTTAGAAAGGCATTGCAAATTACTCAATTCCTTATGGATTAGGTTTTTAGAGAATGCCTTGTAGAATTTCTTACAGTTCTTGTCTTCTGCCAGCTCAGAGAAGAACTCAAGGCACTCCATACAATAGTTTTACAAATGACCTTCAAGATTTTGCTCTGCTGGAGCATTTCTTAGGAAATTTTCAGAGGTATATCTTCAGAGTTAACCACACTGTGGATGAAATTGAGATGCTCTGGTGTCAACTCATCACATCTGTCCATGATGAACACATGGCAGACATACAGAGTTTGATATTCTTGTTCTCAAAGAGATCAAAGGGAGCTTGATGGGATGAATAGCAATGAAATGAATTCCAACTGACCTTCCACAGAGAAGTGCTTGCCTGCCAACTGATCTTCCCAGTCATTGGTAAGGCTCTTACAGAACTCTCCATATTCCTCCAGGGCTTCTGGTTTAAATGGGCTTGATCTTGTTAAATTCTTCATGATCAATACATTTTTCCTTAATCTTTGTTTCCTTTTTCTTGTCCTTAGCTCTAGCATCTTCCTAATCTGAGACCACATTTTCAATCTTGAGTTTCTCCTCATCACCTTTATCTTCTTTCTCCTATTTATTTTCTTCTGCTTCATTATCACTGATTACTTTCTCTTGTTTCTTTTCCTAATAAAGGGGGATTTAATAACCTGGGAACTGTGAGTGCTTTTTCACCACTTCTTTGACCCACCCCTCCTTTAAGTACTCTTGTCTTCTTTAAGATGGAGGATCACTTTGGTACCTTGGCTAATGGGCTCACTGTGGTTGGCTTGCATAATGAAGGAACCCCCAGCTGAGACTATCAGGCATATTGCTTTAGTGCTTTGTGATCACCACCACTGTCTTTGTTCCTAGGTGGGCAGAATAAAATCTAGTACTAAATTGTCTAATCATGAAGCTGTCTGCACTAGTAGGAAGAGCCTCCATAACTGCTTTTGTACCAACTTGGCAATGGTTCCCTGATTATTTATGAGATTAGCTTTGGTCATGCCAGTGCCTGTGTCCAGAGTCAGAGTGCATTCCAGGGGCTTGGGGATGATGTCAGTTTTAGGTTCTCATAGTGTATCTTGTCCAAGGCATCAGAAGCATTGATCAGTTCCTGAAGGAAAATTTCCTTGTTGGAGTAGAAAGTACTGATGATGAGAGACATGAGGTGGGCAATTTCTCCCTGGAAGGCAAAAGTCTCTACATCCTCTTCTCTGTGGTGCACTTCCTCAGGCATCTTTTAAGAAAAAAAATTTTAAAGATCATTTTTTAAGAGAGGGGAAGGGAGGGAGAAAGGGAGAGAAACATTGATGGCTTGTCTCTCACACACCCCTGATCAGGGACCTGGCCTGCAACCCAGGCATGCACCCTGACTAGGAATTGAAGCAGTGACCTTTTGGTCCATGGGATGACACCCATCCAGCTGAGCCACACCATTCAGTCCTTGAAGGTGAAGATGCAAATATGAGAGAAAAGGGTCTAAGCTTGGCTCACACACCACAAGCAGTATGTGTGTGGGTGACTCAAGAGTTGCCTTAAATTTTGAATAAAAGAAAAGTTGACAGATTACTATTGATGTTTAATTTTTATTGCATGTATTTACATTTATGATTTGTTCATTATAATGATATTTTGAAGTCTGGGGTGACTTTTCAAAGAGGAAAAAATGTACATCAGGGAAGAATGTAAAGAATTTGGCGGCAAGCACGAACTTGTTCAGGAACAGTGTATTTGTAGTAGAAACCTGTTTTCTGTGCTGTGGATGTGGGGAATATTTAACCAGAATCTATGGCCTCTTACCAGAGAGTTCACTCAGGAGAAAGGTTTCAGGAGTTCAGTGAATGTAGGAAATCTTTTACCACTAGCACTGCTCTACATAATCATCAGAGAATTTACAATTGTCATTGCAGAAAAATGCTGCCATAACCAATGAGAACCCCTGCATTCTTTGTTTTTATGACCTTGACTTATGGAGCACCAAGGAGGCTAGGTGGCTGGAACTGTCTTTAAGACCAAAACACAACACCCTAACCTAGCCAACACCCTTAATTCCATATGCAGATAAACCTAGTTCTGAAGGCAGAATTGGTCCATGAGGTTGAATAGAATAACTGCTTCATCAAATGTGTAAACATTATCACAAGATTAAAACAAATACTACAGACAAGGACACCACCAAGAGAACATAATAATTTTCTACTAATTGATGCCAAACAAATGGAGATCTACGTACAGCCTGGTTAGAGATCCAAAATATTTTTTTAAAAACGTTCCTGAGCTATAAGAGAACACAAATGGAGCCAACATAATGAAGAAACCAATACAGAAACAAAGGGAGAATATCAGACAGACAGAAATTATAAAAAAAAACAAAATGCTGGAGTTGAAAATTACAATGCATGAAATGAAAAATACAATAAAGAGTATCAAAAGCAGACATGAAGAAAATCTCTGATGTCAAACACAAGTTATTTGAAAGCATCTAGGTGGAAAGAAAAACAAAAAGAAGAGGGGGGTTAGGAGGTGGAGGGATTGAGCAAACTGTGCAAGCTGACCATGGTGAGCCCACTGGCCAAGGTACCAAAGGGGATTGAGCAAATAAGGAATAAGGACTCATAGGCATGGACAACAGTGTGGTGATTGCATAGGGGAGGGGGCATAAGGAGACCAAATGGTAATGGGAAAAAAAAAACAATAAAAAATTTAAAGAAAAAGAATAAATGTAAGAATACAGCAAAAATATTAGGTAACACCATCAAGATAACCTACATTTGCATCATGGGAAGCCTAGAAAATGCTGGGTTAAAAAAAAAAGGGAAACAGAGAAAGGAGGAAGAAATGGGTAGAAAATTTATTTTTATTTTTGTATATATTTTTAAGATTTTATTTATTTTTAGATAGAGGGACGGGGAGAGAGAAAGAAAAACATGGATAAGCTTTTGTTTATTGGTGACAGTTTGCCAACTAGTCAGTTGTAATAGTTAGCATTTCTATTCAGACTTTTAGCCCATGGATAATCTTTACCTCTAAACTTTGAATATGAGACATTTCCTTTACAAGTTCCTCTTTACTGCACTCCAACCATGGTCCATGCCTGTAGACCCTTGGAGTGCACACGTATCATATTGACCTTGGACATTATATGCTCTAGTACAATTGATTTTTATGGGTTTGAGTTCGTTTCAGATTATTCTACACAGCCTCACATCAGCAGCAGGATAGGTCCTGCAGGAAGCCATTTGCAGAGGGACAACTAGTAAATCCTACCTCTTTTCTTTGTGTCCCATCCTAAGCTAGTGTCATTTTCCTTGGTGGGGTCTCTGCCATTGACTGACTTTTGGGGTGAACTAATACATAACATTCATTTCCTAAGAGTCTAACTCACTTGTCTGAAAATCATCCCAGAGTATCATGCCTAGGTGTGACAGATGGACATTTGTGATGAGATTACCCTTTCCTCATAAGGTCAACATGTCCTTCACTGATGTTTCTTTTTTCTATTGTTATTTAGGTTACTGCTGTGGAGCATAGGATGTGGAAGCGCCCTTCGAACAGAATGTTTCTATAGGAATCTCCGAGACAAAGAATCCCAAGGTAACTTTGTCTCCCTGGAAGTGCCACCCCTGTGAGAGTTGTGAACCAGTCTTGAGGCACATTTTCCATTTGATTGAGCAGCAGGAAACACAACACAGCCAGAAACTATTGAGGTGTGGGGCCTGTGCAAAATGGTTTGATTTCAGTGCAAAGTGTCACCAGCACCAGGAGCAGCACTTGACAGAGAAGCCTTTCAGAAGAGGTGTGGGTAGAATCTCACTTCAAAGGGCTGCAATTTTAGTGTGTCCCAGAAGCTTTTTGCCTGCGGGGAGGTTTGGCAGGACATCCTTACCAGCTCAGTACATCTCCAACAACAAACTACTGATACTAGGGACCGAAATGAAATGTGGACATCTTGGGTGACTTTTCAATGGAGAAAAAATTATTACACCTGGAAAAATGTAAGGAAGTCATCAGCTGAAGCCCCACACCTGTTCCAGACCAACCTGTTTGTAGTCAAAGACAGTGTTTTTTGTGCATGAAGGTGTAAAATATTTTACCAGAATCTCTGGCTTTTATTATCAACAGAGAGTTTATGCGAGAGAAAGGCCATATGAGTAGAGTGAATGTGGGGAATTATTTACCACTTTCAATAACCTTTGTAATAACCTTTGTTATCGCCAGAGAGTGCACAGTGGAGAAAGACCTTATGTGTGCAATGAAAGTGAGAAATCTTTTGCCAGTAGTTTTGCTCATTGTTATCATTAGACTGTTCACACTGAAGAAAGGCCTTCTGAGGCTGTGCTACAATGTCTGAAGTGTCTGCTGAGAGCCTGAAAAAGGAAATTGTGCCTTCAGGGCCTGTCCCAGGGGGCCTGATCCATGTCTACAGCATGAGGTTCTGCCTGTTGGCCAAGAGGATGCTCCTCGTCCTCACGGCCAAGGGAATCAAACGTGAAGTCATCAACATCAACCTGAAAAATAAGCCTGAGTGGTTTATTAGGAAGCTTTATTAGAAGTAAAAATTAGGAAGACTACTCTGGCTTAAAAGAAGAATTTTGTAAAGAATTCAGTAAGCTGAAGGAGGTTCTGACCAATAAGAAGAAAACCTTTGGTGGCCATTTACTTTCTGTGATGGATTACCTCTTTTGGCTCTGGTTTGAAGGGCTGGAAGCTTTGGAGTTAAATGAATGTGTAGACCACACTCCAAAACTTCAGCTCTGCGTGGCAGCCACGAAGGAAAATCCTGCAGTAGCTGAGCTGTCCTCATTGGTGTGAAGACCTTTCAAGGTTTCTTAAATCTCCACCTGCAGAATAGCCTGCAGGCCTGTGATGTTGGGCTCTGATAGGGGTAGGGATCAACAATAAAGATATGTTTGAACCCTGGCTTGTATGACTCAGTGGATTGAGCACTGGCCTGCAAACCGAAGAGTCACTGGTTTGATTCCCAGTCAGGACACATGCCTGGGTTTCAGGCTGGGTCTCCAGGTGTGGGGATATAAGAGGCAATGGCACATTGATGTTTCTCTTCCTCTTTCTCCCTCCCTTCCCCTCTGTCTAAAAATAAATAAAATATTTCAAAAAATAGATATGTTTGATCTTTTTCTTCACTAAATAATAACATGCTTTTATTTAAGAAAAAGCCTTGTAAGTGTAGTGAATGTGGGAAGTTCTTTACCAGGATTTGTGGCCTTCTCTCTCGTCAAAGAGTTCATACTGGGCTTTATGTGTGCAGTGAATGCGTGAAATCCTATATCAGTAGCCATAACCTTTTTAAAAAAATTTATTTATTTTTTAGAGAGAGGGGAAGGGAAGGAGAAAGAGTGGGAGAGAAACATCAATGTGTGGTTGCCTCTCATGTGTCCCCTACTGGGGACCTGGCCTGCAACCCAGGCATGTGCCCTGACTGGGAATCAAACCAGTGACCCTTTGCTTCACAGGCCTGTACTCAATCCACTGAGCTACACCAGCCAGGGCTCATAACCTTTTTTTTTTTATCATCAGAGAGTTCACAGGACAGAGGCTTTATGAGTGTAGTGTATGTTGCATATCTTTTAGCCACAACTTTATTTTTTCACAGCACATGAGAGTTCACACTGGGGAAAAGTCTTAGATATGTAGGAAATGTACACTGAATTTTCCTTATTCAGTGTTAACACTGTAAAAAGCCCTGTGAAGTCCCATTTGTCAGACCTGAATCTCATACATCCAAACGCCAACAGTAGGGAGATTCTTCATAAATTTAGTATAGGAAGCATCTCTGTCCATGGTGCACTATAGAACCTGCCCAAGACTCCTGCCAGATCTATGTCACTGCACATTTTTGTGGCCAAAGCTATTTCACCTTTAGCACCTGGCAGGTTTCCACAGGTTGTATCAGTCACCGTACGAATGTGATCACAAAAGCAAACATTTTCTTCTGATTTGTGGGAGAAAATTAGTACTCTTAGGGGATCTGCAGTCCCTTCACTCTGACTAGTTGCAACATGAACCTGACCTAGTGTTGGCCCCCAGAGAACATCATCTGAGTTCAGCTGGCAGCTTGCAGAACTGCCTTTATCAGGGATGTGCTATCCTCACAAAGTGTGGTGAATATTTACAGTATCAAAGTTACTAACACAAGATCATCCAGGTCTGTGTCTTTTTCTTCTTTTTTAAAGATTTTATTCATTTATTTGTTTGTTTATTTATTTATTTATTTATTTATTTATTTTTTATTTATTGAGAGGGGAAGGGAGGGGAAAAGAAAGGGAAACATCAATAGTTGCTTGCCTCTTGAGTGCCCCCTATGGCAGACCTGACCGACAACCAAGGCATGTGCCCTGACTGGGAATTGAACCGGCAACCCTTTATTTAGTTCGCAGGCTGGCACTCAATCCACTGAGCCACACCAGCTGGGGCTAGATGTAGAACACAGCAAAAGTCTGCTAAGCATAGACCAGAGTCAGGTCAGTTCAGGCACAGTTCAAATTTCACTTATTGAATTCTAACATCATTATGATTTTTTAGCTTTGAGATTATTTTGATCATGTTGTTATTTGTGTTTTACAATATTTTATTGGCCTGTTTATTAAGTATGTCTTTCTTTCACTTCATCTGGTAGGAACTTTTAATACCCACCTTAACCAAAAACACTTAAGTAACATTCGCTTACAGAATCCATTTGTAGTTCATGGTCCAAGAAGGTAAAAAATGTATATCCACCAATTGCTATAAAAACACTAATGTTCACTCACTTAATAAAACACAGTGTCAGACCATTCTCTGATCATTGTGTTAGTTTTAGGGTGCTAGAGATTATTTTCATTTAGAAGCGATTTCTATTTCTGGTAGTTTTTAGATTTTTTTTGAACCCCTGTGTTTCATTACTGTTTTAATGTTTTCAAATTATGGGTTATATTTTAGTGTCATATTTACTATTAATTTTTAAATAGAAGCTTGTTATAGAATTATTGATTTTAAATATTCATTACACATATGTATATCCGCACTTGTTACTTATAATATTTCATGCGATTTTTAAAAGTTTTTTAGCTATACATAGGTCAACTGTCATTACGAATACATACTCAATTTACTCTAAATATAATTTATAAATATATTCATAATCTTATCACATTGAGAATGACTGAAACATCATGTCACCTGCTGTCTTAAATATGTTTGTAAAGGACCATACTTATACTGTAGTGTGTTTTATTTAAGCATTTAACTGTCTTACAGTGTTTAGTTATAAAATATTTTAACAATGATGTCTGACTTGTAATGTGCCACTCACCACATCAAAATATTAATGAAAACATTTATTACATTAAGTTTTCAGCATAGAAAATTCTGCATTACTAAAGTCAATATTATGCATCATGGACTTACTATACATTTAATAGTAAAATTAAGAAGTAAAAACCAACCACCCAGCTTTTTTTTAAAGTGGGCACAATATACATGTAGGTAGTTCACAGAATATTTGCAGAAAAGAAGTGATAAAATGAAAACATGGTCAATGACATACATAGTAAGACAAAAGCTACTAAAATATGATTTTTAGACATCAACTTAAGAAATACTTATCATGTGTTTGGAATCATATAGTATGTGCTTCTTTGAGTTTGACTTCTTTCATTCATGTTATAACACAATTATTTGTACATTCATCATGTATTGGACATAGTGCTGTCTCCATATTTTGGCAATTATGAAAAATGTTATTATAAACGATTATTATTTAATGTTTGTGGACTTAATTTTTTATATATCTGGTGGGCAAACACCTATGAATAGGATGAATGAGTTGTTTCTTAGGTTTGTCTTTAACTCAGTAAGAACTGCCAAGCTGTTTTCCTAAATGCCTGTGCCATTTTGCATTTTCAATAGAAATATAGGAGAGTTATAGTTGTGGCTCGTTCTTTGCAATACTAGGGATTGACCAGGATTGTTGTTTGGTTACAGCCATTTTAATAAATGTGTAGTAGTATCTCATTAAAAATCTCTGTTTCTTCAAAAAAAATATGTTTGTAAAGGACAAATTTTTTTACCATGATAATTACTATAGCATTTTCAAAATAACAGAAACATCGATAAAATTTGTCAGGATTCAATTCTCCCGCTTTTTCAAAAATTAAATTGATGTTTACATTACAGATTTCTATTTAATGTTTATATTATGTATATTAGCTTTTTTATTTTAAAGGTGTGCCTATATTTTTGTGTTCTATATTTGTCACATACATATATGATGGTGTAAGTAGGACATTTGTATGATGAAATTTTCCAGACTCTAAGGCAGGCATATCTCTTTTGTTATGACTCCTTGTATTGGCCTCACAGATAATGTTTTCATCAGCAGAAATGTAAGACCCTTCACAAGGAAAAGATGACAACTTACTTCAGCAATTTTCAAATTGTCTCATTCCTAAGTGCGTGTTATTCCCCAGCTCCCTTGGCGGTGCATTGCAGTCTTGCTGCTGAATTGAGGTGGGAGAACTCTTCACCGTCGCCTTGGACTCTCTGACCCACATTACCAGAAGACCTGTGTGTGGAATACCCCTGGGCTTAACCAATGAAGGGTCAGGGAAGGCATCTTTACTCGGGCACAATGCAGAGGGTGGGACTTCCGGTGTCCTTACAGGCGGCATTTTGTCTTCACCCAGAATCCACTGAAGTACTTGTTTAGCGGCTCCACATCGCTGGGTTTTGGGATGGAGAAGGCGCGATAGTCTTGGTCTACACAATAAACAGCAGAGTAAGGGGCTCGGCAGCACTGCCAGGGTGACCCGCCCCACGGACGGGACTGGAGCCGCCGTGTGCGGGGCGTCCTTCTCTCCGGACACTTGCGCCCCACTCTGCAAACAGTATGATGGCGGCGGACAGGCTGAAGCGCCCGGCTGAGGTGAGTGACCGGCCTTGTAGCCCAGTCCCCTTCCTCATCCTCACCTTCACCCCAGTGGATACTAAGGCCCCGGTTGCAAGTCGCCCGCCAGGTTCTGCAGCGCAGACCGGAGTGGAGGACCGTGACGAAGGCTCAGTGGACACTGCGTGTTGTGGATTTTGAGGACACAGCAAATACAGTGCAGAGTGGACAGGACTTTTTCGTATCTGAAATTCCCATGCGGTTCTGGATGTGACTACTGAAGCAAAGACCAGAGGCAGGCAGAGAGGACTTCATTCGGGGCTTTCCCGGGCTGTGGGATCCATCAGAAAGCTGGGGTTGTGCTCGGTCCTGCTGGAACCTGGCAGGCACTCTGGATGTCATAGGCCTAGTTCCTGGCTGAGTCCAGAGAAATGGTGGAGCAGGAAGGTAGCAGAGCTAAGGGAGTGAACCTGGAGTCTAAAGATGTGAAGGAGGCAGACATTCCACAATGGTGTGCACAACTAAAGGAGATGGGAGCTAATGGTCCTGGTGACCCGGGTGTGTGTGGGGATTTAAGGGTGAAGCATAAGCCCATGTTTGGCTGTGTCCTGGGGCCATGATCTGGGAGACTCAGTGGAATTGCTTGTTGGGAAGGATGGGGCCCTGCCGGCGTAGCCCAGAGCTTAGATGTCATTTACCCTCTATTCCCCCACTGCCAACCCAGCTATTGCTGAAGGTGATAACAGTAATTGCACTGCTATTGCTGAAGGTGTTAACAGTGATTAATGGGACTGATGAGAGAGCAGCCAGCACTGAGGAACCCTGGAAGAGGATGAGTGAGCAGAAAATGTGAAAGGAGTAGGATTGCATGTTCTTAGAAAGACTACCCTACTTTGGTTTCTTTTGTCTCAATTCTGACAGGTTGGTGTGACCTTTGCAGACATTGCCCTGTACTTCTCCAGGAAAGAATGGTGCCTCCTTGATGAGGATCAGAGACACCTGTACCTGGATGTGATGCTGGAGAACTTTGAACTTGTATCCTCCCTGGGTAAGACCCTCAGTCTTGCCAGTGACATGGACTTAGCTCTGCATTCCCCATGCCTCCTCTTCTGTAGGAGGTGCTCTCTCACATGTGGACTGCTAGCACTGCTTGATTTTCAAGTTTAAGAGTAGGTGCTTTCCTTGGTAGGGCTGGTTCATTTGCACTGCCCTTTTGTCTTGCTGCAGTTCCAATACCTGCTGTAGTGAACTCATAGGGAAGGATTGTGGTTTGTAATGTTGCAGGGAGCCGAATGGATACCACCTTGATTAGTGAGGAAAAGCATTTTTTTCTCTTCCTGTTGGTCATTTGTGCATATATTTTTGGCTAATGAATCTTTTGTATACTTTATATATTAATTCCTTTTCACATACAAGTACACCCACTTTTGCATTTGCTTAAGAGTGCTCTGCAGATATTGTGGATCTCTCTCTTACTCTCTCTTACTTTCTTTCCTTCCTTTCTTTCTTTCTACAAATTCAGTGTTTTTGTCAGTGCTGCATTGAGCAAGTCTAGTGTCCTTGTTTTTGCTGTAGGCTCAGATTCTGATAACCAGTGTTTGGTAATAAACTATTCTTAATTATGTGGAGATTTATTTTTTTAGACAAAGGTATTGCAGTGTTAATAGCCTGCAGTAGAGCCCTGACCTGGTTAGGTGTGGTCCTGCAAAGTGAAAGGTTGCTGGTTCAATTACCTGTCAGGGTACATGCCTGGGTTGTTGGTTGGTCCCCTTGGGGTATGTACCTAAGGCAACTGATGGATGATTCTCTCTCTCATGTGGTTGTTTCTTTCCATCTCTTTCTCCCTCCCTTCTCTGTCTAAAAATAAATAAATAAAAGTTTTAAAAAATAGCATGCAATATAGTTTAACATAATTTTATTATTCGCTGGGAAATCTTCTGTATTGCAATGCTTGCTTTATTGTGGTTTTCTGAACTAAGCCCACAATAGCTCCAAGTGATACCTTCATATGATTTGCAAGTATTTTTCTCCATTCCTATACAGTGCCTTTGTATTTCATTATGTTAATTGCTGTTTTTTTTATCACAGAGCTTTTTCATTTGTTGTAGTTCAATCTTTTTTGTTTTGTTTTTTTGTGTGGTGATTTTGTGTGCATTGTGGTTCATAGTGCTAGGTATAATAATGTCTTATATTTCATTAATTTATTTGAGTCCTCTTTTAGTGTCGCTAAGGGTTGCCAATTTTATTTATCTTTCAAAAATAGCTCTTAGTTATGATATTATCTTCTTTCATCTCTATTTCCTTTGCATTTGTTCTAATATTTATTTATTTATTTTTCCTTTGCTAGGTTTGGGTTTACTTTCTTGGCATTTTCTGAGGCGCAAGGGTAGGTTGTTTATTTGAGTTCTATTTTCTTAATGTAGACATCACTATAAAATTTCCTCTTAGAATTGTATTTCCTGCATTTTATACATAAACTTTGATAGATTATGTTTTAATTTCCTATGATTAAATTTTTTGAGTTCTTGTTTGCTATTTCTCTTTGATCCACTAATTGTCCAGGAGTGTGTTATTGAATTTCAATATATATATATATATATATATATGAATTTTCAAGCATTCTTGAAACTAAAATTGTGCCTGACAAGAATGCATCTTCTGCTGCTCTTGGACGGAATGTTCTGAATATAATTATTCATACAGTTTGCTCTAAACTGTACGCAATCTTCATTAATTCTTTTTTGCTTTTGAATGGGTGATCTACCTATTATTGAAGGGGTAATATTGAAGTTATCTACTAATGTTTGGTTTCTTTTTCTGCCCTCACATCTGCTATTTTTTGCTTAATACAGTATGTTAGGTTGCCCTCTTGTTCAGTGCTGATACTTAAAATTGTTATATTTCTGATTGACTTATTTATCATTCTGTAATGGCCTTAGTCTCATGCGACAGTTTTTGAGGTAGTCTATTTTGTCTTATAGAATTATAGCGATCCCTGACCTCTTCATTTTCATCCTGTTTGTATCCATAAAGATTTAATGTTTCATGCAGACAGCATATATTGAGGGTTTGTTTTTTATTTAAATCTCTTCAGTCACTCTATTCTTGTTTCAACAATTTGTTTAAGAAACCACTATTGCATTGCCACTTCTTGTTTGGTTTCTGGCTCTTTTGCAGTTCCTTTGTTTGTCTTTTATTATGGTCTTGCTTTGTGATTTGATGATTTTGTATAGTGGTTTGACTCCTCTCTCTCTCTCTCTCTCTCTCTCTCTCTCTCTCTCGTGTGTGTGTATTACATACTTTTTGCTTGTGATTTCCGAAAGACTTACTTAAAGAACTCATACACTTTACAATCTCTATTTATTTTTAGAAATAGGGGAAGTGAGGGAGGAAGAAAGGGAGAGAAACATCAGTGTGTGAGAAAAACATCATTAATTGCTTCTTGCATGCACCCCAACCTGAGACCTGCCCAAAACCCAAGACCAGCCACAACTTAGGCATGTGCCTTGACTGGAATCAAACCATCATCCTTTTGCTTTGTGATACATGCTCAACGAACTGAGCTCTGCCGTGAGGGCATGATCTGTCTTAATTTTGATAACACCTTCAGTTGCATGCATTAATTCTACTTTTGAATCTTCACTACACATCCCTTTATATTTTTTGATGTCACAAGTCATACTTTTCCATGTTGTATATTGATTAAGGCATATACAATGTTAATGTTATTTTTACCAGATTTTTTAACCTTTATAATAGTTACATAGCGTGCATTTCACCAAAGTTAGAGTAAATTAATTTTATTGTTAATTTACTACTGAGATTTATACTTTCCTATGTATTTGAGTTTTTAGTATTTTTTTATTTCATCTATGAGGACTTTTTTGGTAGTTCTTATAAGTCATGTTGAGTTAGAGTGAAGTTCCTTAGCTTTTGTTTGGGAAAATCTTTCTAAAGGACAGGTGTTCTGTATAAAATACTGATGGTTTCCATTTAGTGTTTCGTACATTGTTATTTTATTTTCTCCTAGTTGGTAAGTTTTGTTCAGAGGAATATACTGATACCCTTATTCAGGCATTCCTGTGTGTGTGAGGAGTTTCTACTTTCTTTGTGCTTTCACAGCTCTTTGCTTTTGAGTTTTGACACTTCATTTTACTGTGTCTTGGTAAAGTCCACTTTGCCCTGAATATGTACAGGGAGCTGTGAGACTGTGTGCCCTTGATTATTCACATTTCTTTTTCAGACTTTGGAAGTCAGTCTTCAGCTTTTTTTTTTTTTTTTAAGGTTTTATTTATTTATTTATTTTTAGAGAGGAAGGGAAGGAGAGAAGGAGAGAAATATCAATGTATGGTTGCCTCTTTTGAGTCCCCTGCTGGGAACTGGCCTGCAACCCAGGCATGTGCCCTGACTGGGAATTGAACCACAATCTGTGGTTCGCAGGCTCGTGCTCAGTCCACTGAGCTACACCAGCCAGGGCTTCAGCTTATTTTTTTAAGTAAACGTTCTACTTCTCTTTTTCCTTTCCTCACTTTCCTTCTCTCTGTTTCCACTCTCCCCCCACCTTCATGTTTCCTGGGATTCCCATAATGGAAATATCATTTATCTTGATGGTGTTAATTCACCTTGCTGTATGTTTTAAATTTATTTCCCTTTATTTCTCTCCACCTAGATGCTTTCAGTGACCTGACTGACATGACACTCTTCATGTCTGCCTTTGATTCTTTTTTTTTTTTTTAATATTTTATTTATTTATTTTTCGAGAGAGGGGAAGGGAAGGAGAAAGATTGGGAGAGAAATATCAATGTATGGTTGCCTCTTATGAGTCCCCTGCTGGGAACTGGCCTGCAACCCAGGTATGTGCCCTGACTGGGAATCGAACTGCAATACTCTGGTTCACAGGCCCGCGCTCAATCCACTGAGCTATGCCAGCCAGGGCTGCCTTTGATTCTTTTTATTGCATTTTTTATTTTGTTCATTGTAATATGTCAACTCCAGTGTTTCTGTTTTGCTGTTATTTACTTTTCTTTCTCTTGAGTATTCTTTTCTTCTCTGAGTGTTGGTTTCTTAAGTTGGTTCTGTTTATATCGTCTGTAGGCTCATGGATGTTTTTAAAAGTAAATATTTTGGATTTCTTATTAGGCTGTGTATAGATCTCTACTTTTTTGGTATCGATTATTGGAAAACTATTATGTTCTCTCTCTTTGTGGTATCCTTATTTTTAGTATTTCTTAAATCCTATATATATGTCTACACATATGAAGAAGCACTTACTTCTTTTAGCCTTATGGGTCAATTCTTGGCTAGTGCAGTAGATTCATCCATCTGCTTGTGGATTCAGGGTTGAGACAAGTCCCAGCAGCCTAGTCTCCTTGATGCTACATGAGCTGAAGTCAGAATACAACTAGAAGTATAGAATCATGGCATAGATTGGCATCAGTAGGAGGGGAGAAGGGAGGTGGGGACTGATTTTATGACAGTGAAGGAATTAGTCAAAGAATATGTATGGAGGGGCTGTGGACATGGATAATGGTGTGGGGACTGACTATGAAAGTGGGATGTGGGTTGGTTAAAAGGGGGGAAAGGGGGGAAAAGTGAGAAAACTGTAATACCAAATACTGCTGGGGACATACTGATTTTGTTTTCTTCCTGGAATAGGTTGTGGATGAAGAATTTCTCTTGGATTTTGTGCAGAGAAACTCTGTAGTATCCTCTGATGTTTAAACTATGAGGAGTTTACAAATGTTGCAGGGGCTTCTGTGGTTTTTAAAAACAAAAATTTCCATTGTGTTTCACAGAGCAGTCCACTAAGGTCAACCTTAGCACAATCACAGTGGTTGATAGAGGTAACTCTGACCTTTGTTTTGGATCTTAGCAATCTTCAAATATGTTTTGTAACCCCATCTTTCCAGTCATCCTTTCTATGTTATTCTCTGTTTTTCAGTCTTTTGCTTTGCTGCTTGTCTTTTTTTTTTCTTTTGAAGAGACAGAAAGAAACATCTTTGTTTCACTTATTTACACATTCAATGGCTACTTCTATATGTGCTGTGACCAGGGATTGAACCCACAACCTTAGTGTATTGGGATGATGCTATATCCAATGGAGCAATCTGGTCAGGGCTAATTTCCTGTTTATCATTACTGGATTATTTTTTCCCTCCTGCATGGTTGATTTTGTTTTAGGATAGTTTTCTCCTTGCTCTGGGAAAAGGAAGAATTCTTGTATTTTTGGTTGTCCCATCTTTCTGAAGTCAATCACATAGATATTTTTCTGTGGTCTCTTGTGCTTTGTTGTTCTACCACAGTGCTGGCTATGTGTCTCAACTGGGATTTAAGAGGAAGGATAATCACAGGAAGGCAGGATGGACTCAGAGGCAGTCTTGACTTGGTATTGGGCTGCTGGGGAGGGCTTGATGCTAGGACTTTGTTAACATCATAACTGGGAACCCATTTTGTTGAACAGTATTTTGATACTGTTACTAGGCCTCATCCCATCCACTTGTTCTTGTTTATTGTTGACACTCGTCAACTACTGAGTTTGAAGATCAGTTCTACTTGAATTCCCAGCCCATGTTAAATCTTTCCCTCTCTAAACTTTGTACTTCAACCATTTCTCTTACAGGTTCCTTTTTACTTCGCTCCAACGTTGGTTTATATTCACTTTGAATATCATATGCTCTAGTACAATGGATGTTTATGGATTTGACTCATTCAGATTATTCTACACAGCCTCATAGCACCAGTAGGAAAGGTCCTGCAGACAGCCATTTGTGGAGGAAGAAGTAGACCCTTCCTGTCTTCTCTGTGTCCCATCCTATGCTCCTGTATCACCCTTGGTGAGGTCTCCACCAATGACTGAACTTTGGGGACAAGTAAAGTATAACAGCCATTTCTTTAGAGTCTAACTCACTTGTCTTGAGTATCATTTCATAGGATCATGCCTAGCTGTGACAGATGGCCATGTGTGATGAGAATATTCCCTCTCTATAAGGTCAACATATACTTCACCATTGGGTCCTTTTGTTCAGGTTGCTGCTGTGGAGCAGAGGATGTGGAAGTACCAGCTGAACAAAACGTTTCCGTTGGAGTGTCTCAGGCAAAGAATTACAAGGTGGCTTTATCTTCCCAGAAGAACCATCCCTGTGAGAGTTGTGGACCCATCTTGAGACATATTTTCTACTTGTTTGACCATCAGGAAACACAATACAACCAGAAACCGTTGAGGTGTGGGGCATGTGCACAACAATTTTATTTCAGTGGAAAGTGTGACCAGCAGCAAGAACACCATGTTGGAGAGAAGCCTTTCATAAGAGGTATGGACAAGAACCTACTTGCGAAGGGTTGCGATTTCAGTGTTTTCCAGAAGCTTTTAACTTACAGGGAGATTGGGCAGGACATCTTAATCATGTCAGGACATGTCCAACAACAGTCTACTCAAACCAGGGAGAAGCCAAATGAAATCTCCACATCTGGAGTCACTATTCAAAGAAGAAAAAGTGATTATACCCAGAGTGAATGTAAAAAAGCCATTGGCTGCAACCACACGTTTTTTCAGAACAAGAATGTTTGTACCGGAAAACAGCATTTTATGTGTCGTGAACGTGGAAAATATTGTACCAGGATTTCTGGTTTTTGTTATCATCAGAAAGTTCACACTGTAGAGACACCTTACAAATGCAGTGAATGTGAGAACTCTCTTAGCAGTAATACTGGCCTCTGTTTTCATCAGAGAGTTCACACTGGAGAAAGGCTTCATGAATGCAGTGAATGTGGGAAATCTTTTACCAGCAGCACTCGTCTCCGTTATCATCAGAGATTTCACACAGGAGAAAGGCCTTATGAGTGCAGTGAATGTGGCAAGTCTTTTACCAGAATCGATCACCTTCGTTATCATCAGAGACGTCACACTGGAGAAAAGCCTTATGAATGTGGTGAATGTGGGAAATCTTTTACTAGTAATACTGGCCTTCGTTATCATCAGAGAGTCCATGCTGGAGAAAGGCCTTACAAATGCAGTGAATGTGGGAAATCTTTTACCAGTAGCACTGGCCTCCATTATCATCAGAGATTGCACACAGGAGAAAGACCTTACGAGTGCAGTGAATGTGGGAAATCTTTTACCAGAATCCATCACCTTCGTGGTCATGAGAGAGTTCACACTGGAGAAAGGCCTTATGAATGCAGTGAATGTGGGAAATCTTTTACCAGTCGAAGTGGTCTCCGTTGTCATCGGAGATTTCACACTGGAGAATGGCCTTATGAGTGCACTGAATGTGGGAAAGTTTTTTGCAGTAGCACTGGCTTTCTTTATCATCAGAGATTTCACAGAGGAGAAAGGCCTTACAAGTGTAGTGAATGTGGGAAATCTTTTACCAGAATCCATCACCTTCGTTGCCATCAGAGTGTTCACACTGGGAAAATGCCATATGAGTGCAGTGAATGTGGGAAATCTTTTATCAGTCGCAGTGGCCTTGGGTATCATCAGAGATTTCACACTGGAGAAAGGCCTTATGAGTGCAGTGAATGTGGGAAATCTTTTACCAGTATGCATAACCTTCGTTGTCATCAGAGTATTCACACTGGAAAAAGGCCTTATGAGTGCAGTGAATGTGGGAAATCTTTTATCAGTCGCAGTGGTCTCGGGTATCATCAGAAATTTCACACTGGAGAAAGACCTTATGAGTGTAGTGAATGTGGGAAATCTTATACTACGATCTATTCCCTTCGTTATCATCAGAGATTTCATACAGGAGAAAGGTCTTGTGAGTCCAATGAATGTAGATAATTTTTAATAGTAGTACCGACTTGTTATTGTCCACATTTCACACTGGAGAAAAGCCTTTAGAATTCAATGAAAGTGGGAAATCTTTTACCACAAGCACTGGCCTTCATTATCAGATATTTCACTCAGGAGAAAGGCCTTGTGAGTACTGTTAATGTTGGAAATCATTTAGCCAAAATTTTAATCTTCCTCTCCACAGAAGATTTTGCATCGGTAGAAGGTCTTAGATGTGCCATAAATGTACTATTTTGGTTTAAAAAAAACTTTTTTGGTTTTAAACTATAGGAAACTCTTTTAAGTTTTGTCTAAATTGAATCTGATAGTCAACAGTAGGGAGATTCCCCCATACATTTGTATTATGCAATAAGCATGTGTTTCTATGTTGCACTTTCTAATTTATCCAGGTGTCTTGCCAGATCCATGTCACTGTGTATTTCTATTGCTGGCATTATTTCACCTCTACCACCTACAAGATTCCTACAGATTACTTTAGTCACCATCGTAATGTTCTCACAGAAGGTCATTGTTCTCTTTGATTTGTTGGCGAAAATTAAGGGCTGCCTTAGTGTTTAAGTCTTTATTCCTTTCACTGTTACTGTTGGCACATTGACCTGACGTGATATTGGCCCAAAGAACATCATCTGAGTTCAGCCATCACCTTTTTCAGGGACATGCTTTTCCTAGGTATCAGTGATAAATTACTGAGTGTCCAGGTCTCCAGTGCAAGGACTGCCAAGCTCATCTCCATTTGATTTGTAAAACAATAAAAGCTGTTTTCTAAATCTTGTTTAATTCTGGGTGTTCTGTTTACCGTGTGGGGTACTTTATACACAGATTTGGGCCCTACAACCATGAAGAGGTGAACAGCTTTTCTGTGTGTTTCAAATTTTCTCTGCCTTTGTTTGGATAGTTTGTGCAGAAATTAACTCAGCTGTTTTTTCCCAAATTTGCATTGCTGCCAATATCTACTTAGGCAAGACTGTGGGCTCTAGTTGTCATGTGAAGTTTGGATGCCAAGAGTTTTAGGAGACACAGATATCACTCCAAAGAGGGGGTAGCTAAGACAACCTCAAGTACATCAGGGAACAGCATGGGTTTTTTCCTTGTTTGTAAGGATACCAGTGCTATTGAAGGGAATCTCTGGTCCAGGTCTTGCAAAGGGCCATGTGCCATAATGTCTGCAATTACATGGGTGATGGTCACTAGTTGTAGCCCTACAGGGGATGGGGAAACTGATTGCAACAGAAACACTGGCCTAATGGGTACTGGAGGAAACTGCAGCTAACTAGATGGAATGTGCATCCAGAAATGTTTCTGAGAAAAAGACTGCAGGATCGGTGTGTACACAAATCAAAGGATCCGCAGGAATATCATCTGTTTACTCAGTCATTGTCATTGAATATAAGCAAAAGGTTTTGTGGGGCTGGCTGGGTAGTTCAATTGGTTAGTGTGTCATCTTGATATGACAAGTTTTCCAGTTCAATCATGGTACATACCTGAAGCAAAAAATAAATGCACATGTAAGCAGAACAACATGCATGTTTTTCTCTCAGTCTATAAAATCAATAAAGTTTTAAAAAACTTGTGGGTTCTGTCAACTCACTCAGTTCTGTCAACTGTTTAAGAAAACAGTTCTGTTAACTCTTATGTTCACATCAGAATCTCTGGTACACTGTCAGAAAAGAAAAAAATTTTAAAGGATATCTATACTTGATGGATGTTGCTTTTTTGAGCCAGCCAACAGTCCTGTTGGACAGAGTGAGTTTTTTTAATTTGGCCATATTTGCTGTCATTAAGGTAAAGTGGGTCCCAGTGCGCATGAGAATGTGGATTGATACAGAGTTGCCAAAACTATTTCCAGGAGTTGGGAATACCAATTTTAAAAATCTTGAACCATTTAAAAAACCTTTAGTTAGTAAACATATTTCAAGTATGATATATGGTTAGTCTTCACAAATACATGAAAATGAAACCATCACCACAGTCATAAAACTGACCATATTTGTCACCGGGAATTTATTTCTTGGGCTTCTTAATTTCTCTCATCACTTCAAAGGTCTTTAAGTAAACATTGAGTTACATTCCATTCTAATAGATAACTGCAATTTCTTAATTTTACATTACGAGATGAACTTTTTCTGCTTTCATTTATGTTGCAAATATATTTGGAGATTTACTGATATATTAGTGGCTCATCATTTTGCTGAAAATTTTCTTTTTAACATATTACTGACTTGATCCATTTAATTTGGTTATTTCTAATTTTGGGGTGTCTAAATAAAGCTGCTACAGTCCCCACTGGTCTGACTCATTGGACTGAGTGGAAGCCTGTGAACCAGAGTGTTGCTGGTTCCACTCCCAGTCCAGGCACATGACTGGGTTGTGAGCCAGGTCCCCAGTTGGGGACACAAGAGAGGCAACTATATTGATGTTTCTCTTTCTCTCCCTCCCTCTCTCAAAAGTAAATAAAATCTTTAAAAATAAATAAGGTAAAGCTGAGTATGATTATGTGGACATAAGTTTTATTACCTTAACTGCACAGCCTGTGTCATAGGGTAGGTGAATGTTTAACAAAGAAATTAGCCATTTGTTATTTAAACTGATTGCATCTTTTTGCATGCTTCTGGCAGTGTGTGAGAGCTTCATTTCCTTTACATCCTAGGGAATATTTTGTTGGTAAATAGTTTTTATTTAAAATTTTAAAATATTGTAGTGCTACCTCACTGGTTTTCTAAAGATTATGGTGAGTTTTAGGTGTATATTTGCTATATCTGGCTTTGCTAAGGTGTCTGATCCTATCTATCATCTGCCAATTTTCTAAACAAAAGGACAGAAAAGCAACAAAGGTGAATGTTGGGATTTCACTCATTTGTTGCCTTAAAAATTTTTATTAAAAATGGTTCTTGGAATGAAATTTTAATATTTTCTGTTATTTTCATGCTTTGTGCAATGTAACAGATATCCTTTATTTTAACCTCCATCTATTAATATTCTCCATAACTTTTAGAAGTCCAGTCATTTGATAATATAATAAGCCCTTATTTTGTAGTGTCATCCCATTTTTCTGGTCTTTTATCATGGGGTTTCTTGTATTGGAACAGGTTTCTAGAGGAGACCAGATAGCATCAAAATGAGCAGGGTGGTTTGGACTCCAAAAGCTCAGTTCAGAGGGAAATAGGCAGTGATCAGACTTCCCATGCTCTGGTTCAAACACGTTGAATTTGAATACTAGATTCCAAAATATTGAGACTCATAGTCAAATTGTTACAGGGCAAGAGCTGGTCAGCCTCAGGTCAGCTGTAGTATGTGGGATTTTGACTGTGTAGAAAATCTAGGTGATTATCTGGGTGTGTTTATTAAGGGTGAGCACAGTGAAATAATGGAAGGACTTAGGGTAGAGAAAGCAGGAGGGAGCCTAAGATGGTGCTGTGCTGTGGCTCCCTAGAAAAGTTAAAGGAAAGGAGTGGTCAAAAGGCAGGAATGCTGTTCACTGCAAAGTCAGAGAAAAGCGAACCTTGGAGACAGGATCAGGGAGTAACCTGGGTCAGGCCACTGCTGCCTGCTGGTTCCCTGGCTGCAAGTCCCCTGGGGACCCTTAGAGTTTAGGAGGAAATAAAAAATCCATGCATGGGGCGTGGGCATGCTGCAGAGCACCCCTGCCCTGAGTCCTTGTCCTGAGGGCTTTTTTATCTTTTCTGCAGGTGACAATCTTAGAGGAGGGTTTCAACAGAATATTCATTAGCTTTCCAGGTGCCTTTTTAACATGCCGATGCATCAAAAGGAGTGCATAAGAGAGGCTTGGGGATATTTGATCAACTATACTGTTTACTTTTATTAGGGTCTATCTGGCCTTTAATGTCACTTTAAAAATTTGTTCCCTTGACTTCATCTGTCATTGCCTTTAGCTGGCACAAAGGACATTAATTGATCTGTTCTCTATTTCCCTGACCAGGATGTATTCTCTGCTTAGGGATGGGAGATACATATCTTTTGCTCTCAAGTGTTCTTAGTTAGAGGAGATAAAGTCTTGTTATTCACCAGGTGGCTGTAAATTGCTCAAACTCTTTGGCCTTATTTATTTTTTTTAAAAGAATGGATGATTTCCTTATTTTTTTTTTAACATTTCATTTATTTATCTTTAGAGGGGAAGGGAAGGAGAGAGGGAGAGAAACATCAATGTGTGGTTTGCCTTTGTGCGTCTCCTGCTGGGAACTGGCCTGCAACCCAGGTATGTGCCTTGACTGGGAATTGAACCACGGTTGTCTGGTTCACAGGCCTGCGCTCAATCCACTGAGCTACAACAGCCAGGGCTTCTTTAGCCTTATTTAATTTTGTTATTTCAGTTTCCCCAATCCACTTGCCCAGGAATTTTCCTAAATTATTGTTATCCTGCCACAAAATAATCTTTTCTTCAGGTCTGGACTTTAGTTTTCTCCTCTGTAAAGTGGGTATAAGGTATATATTTTTTTCCTCTCAGCTGTTGGACAAGGACAATGCTAAGGTGCTCATTCTCAATGAGCAGATATGTGTGGACACTCCTAGACTCCCACAACCCCCACATCTGCAGACTCATTTCCAGACCAGGCACCCCCTCACACCTCTAATGCAATCTCTACCACCGCTGTGAAGCACTCACTGGGTCATGTACAGTGTGAGAACCAGGGAGGATCAGCTGAAGCTGCTTTTTCCATTGGTACAATTATTACAATTCTCTTATTTCCTTAAAATGTCAAAGCACTTACCCTCAGCCACTCAGTCATCCAAGGAAACATTATTTTATTTTATTTTTTAAAAGATTTTATTTATCTTTAGAGGGAACGGGAAGGAGAGAGGGAGAGAAACATCAATGTATGGTTTGCCTTTCGTGCATCCCCTGCTGGGAATTGGCCTGCAACCCAGGAATGTGCCCTGACCGGCAATCAAACCGTGATTGTCTGGTTCACAGGCCCGTGCTCAATCCACTGAGCTACACCAGCCAGGGCTGGAAACATTATTTTTACATATTCATTTTTTGAGAGAAGGAAAAGAAGGAAGAAAGAAACATCAAAGTGAGATACATGGAGCAGATGCTTCTAAACACTCGCTGATTTGGGACCAAATCTTCACTGGTGTGTCCTTACCAGGACTGCAACCAGGAAACTGCATGATGACACACAAACAAATGAGGCACACTGCTCAGCACCTGGGGAACCTCTTAGACTGAGCTACAGTTTGTCTGCCTTTTGATTTCCAGCATGAAGTTTGACCCTCAGGAAACCTTGGTAATTTGGGCCGGTAGTCTGCAACTTGACACGTATTTTAGCTCTCAGGCTGTGATCCCATTTGTCTTGGTGAACTTGATGCCTTATTTTAACTTTTGGAGTGTTGTTTGTATGTGGTACTGACATTCACCCTGAAGTGGAGGGGCCAGCTGGATGTGAATGCTGCAACTTAACATTTGGAACTAATTCTGGAGACCTACACGATCCCTGTTTCATTGTAAAGTGACACCTCTTTTCCACGAAAGGGACCCACTGCCCAGGTGATTCTGTCTCGTAGGTTCCTACTGGCTATATGAGGCAGTAAAACTCACCTTGTCTTCCCTGCAACCTGTACTGTGTTCTGGACCCACATCATCCTTTTCAGTCTTCTGTTTCTGCTCGCCAAACCTTTGGTTTGGAACATGATCTTTCCGAACACAAACCCCACTGCAGTGCTCAGCACCCTGGGCCACAGCTGAGACCCTTATTTCATATTCCAGTTAGCAGAGATACAAACAACTGTTTTTGGATACAATCTGAATAAGAAAAAAATTTAAGTAGAGATTTTAAAGAGAGTAACAACCATGGTCGCAGTCAAGATCTTCTAAGCCCAGACCAGATGTTAGGAAAGTTGAAGGCATCATTTAAATAACATTGAACTCTAAGCAATGTTATTCTTAATTTTGAGATAATTTATGATTTTATTTATTCATAACTTTGAGATTATGCCTGATTATCTCGCTATTTGTATTTTACAGTATTATATTGGTATGTTTTTGAAGAGTGGCTTTCACTAAAGCCAGCAGAAAGACTTAACCTCCACCTTTATCAAATGTTAGTAAAATATTCCTGCAGATTCCACTTGTAATTCATGCTCTGAAGTGATGAAAATGCATATCCAAAGATTGTTATGAAAACATTAAGTTTCCCTAATGCAGTGAATAAGACACACCGCCTTCATTCTATTCACTTCATGGGTAGCAAGGCTTTTAGCATGAACATCATAAGGTCCAGTGTGCTTGCAGTGATCAGAGGAAGAATACTCCAGACAGGTATAAAGGGAACATGGAGGGAAAATATTTGGCAGCCCCAAAGAAAGTGTACACGGATGCGCAATACTGTTTAGCTCCTCAGAATGTATTCCATCTAGCTCTTGGTATTTGTTTTGCAACCCCAGAAAATACTTTCCTCCATAATATTTCTTTTTTTTTTAAAGATTTTATTTATTTATCTTTAGAGGGGAAGGGAAGGAGAAAGGGAGAGAAACATCAATGTATGGTTGCCTTTCATGCATCCCCTGCTGGGAACTGGCCTGCAGGGAACCGGCCTGCAACCCGGGTATGTGCCCTGACTGGGAATCGAACCGCGATTGTCTGGTTTGCAGGCCCATGCTCAATCCACTGAGCTACACCAGCCAGGGCCCATAATATTTCTTAATGTATTTGGAAGATATGGTTTATTTATTCTAAGACTAGAACATGTATCTGGGGATACATGTAAATTTGCTCTACAGCAAATTTACATTTGCTAACAAAGTGTCTACAATATGACCTTACTGGTGTGGTTCAGTGGATTTAGCGCTGGCCTGCAATCAAAAGGGTGGTGCGTCAATTCCCTGTTGGTGCATATGCTTGAGTTATGCAGCAGGTGTGTGCGACAGGCAAACATTTGATGTATCTTTTGTTCAGTGATGTTTCACTCTCACTCTTTCTCTCTCTTTTGCTCTCTAAAAAATAAAAATAAAATCTTTTTTAAAAATAAAAAAAAGGTGTTTATAAAATTGTCATCCATGAAGATGTTGAAAGTGAGGATCAGACCCTGAGAAAAACATTTTGGATTGAAATACCATTTTTCCAAGAAATAATGATTGTTTCACCTGTATTTGTACATATTTCTTACTGAATTTTCTGAGACATGGTCTGTTCTGGAAATATAAAGGTATGACATGGACCTGGGAATAATGACTACATACAAAATTTACATGTGGTGCCAGGACGGCTGCAGTGTTGCATAACTTATAAATTATGTTTGTAATCTTATCACATTCAGAATGCCTGAAACATTATCTCACTTGATATCTTAAATATGTCTGTAAAAGGCAAATTTTCTTTCACTGTGGTTTTTATATTAACAAAAACTCCAATAACCATCAGAATTCAATAGTCCCACATTTTAAAAAATTTTCTAATGGACGTGCAAATTATCTAAACAGTAGACCTCTATTTAATGTTTATATCACATATCATAGTCTTATTGTTTCAAAGGCATGCCCTACTGTTTCATGTTATATTTGTCACATACATAAATGATGGTATAAGTACATCTTTTGTTAGCTAAAATTTTCAGGACTGTAATGCAGGAATGCTTCTTTTATTACGACTCACTGTTTGGATTCACAGACAATGTGTTTTTATTAATATAAACCCAAGCTGCTTGGCCAGGAAAAGATTGTTACAGAACAGACGGTGGGGTGGGGGCAATTATACTATTACCAAAAGGATACCCTACTGGGCTTGATGGTCCACCACCAGATAGGAAAGACATTTCTCAATGCCAGAGATTTGTGGGAAAAAAAAAAAAAGGAAATGTTTATTTAATGCTATACAGACTTTAAGTAGTGACCTAATGTCACTACTTTAAAATATCGAAGTCCTTTTGGATACCCACAGATGCCCACAGTGCTTCCTTCTCCCTGCTGCCCTAATTTGGGGTACCGTAACTCTGGAAAAGAAGCAAACATTCGTGTTTTAGGCTGTTGCACCATCAGCTGTGTCACCATCCAGGCAGGATCTCTAATTAATCCAAAGTCATGTGGCACATTCTCTCGGCCTACTGGCAAGAGTTCTTTTACCCTTCTCCCAAGCAAAGTCTCTCCTGCTTCCCAGGCCACTCAGCCAAAGGGAGCACCTCAGAGCCATGTAGTCCTCTTCTACCAAAGCTGCAGGGATCACCACTCTGGCCAAAAGTGCTTGGCTCTCTCTGCACCTCCCAGTCCTCTCTCCAATGGCTGCCGTATCTGGATTTAAATCTCTACGCCAATCTTCCTCAGCAGCCCCATTTCCGACTCCTCCCACAATCAGTTGCCAGCACTCCTATATCTTTTCAGCTTTACAGGGCTGCCATAATGAGTCTGGGCAGGTGTGGCCCCATGGCAGGGAGCCAATCTTGTCCAAGCTCTTGCGCAGGCGCTGTAGCTGTAGCTCAGGGACCTACCTCCCAGTTACATCTTGCAGGGGTGGGGTGTGGGGGGAGTCACTTCCATCCCCCCAGGCTCAGAGCTTGGCCACAGGTATTTAACATCTATGCAACCAATTAAAGGCTGTGGATATGTAAAACGACCATGCCAGAGATTAGCTGCAAAGCTATTTTGCTGTACAAAACAGCTCTCAATGGCCCTGCTCCATTCGTCCCTTTCCCCAACTCATACCCATTACTGGGGGAGGGATGAGGACATCTTATATGTTTTTCTAATATTTCTTGGACACCTTAAGTTCTGGACCCCATTCCAAATCCCTTTTTGCACCCCCCCCTTGGTTGCACCCTGTTACAAATGACAACTCCTCTTAACCATTTTCCAGGTGTCTTTTGTGAGGACATATCATCTTCCACCGGCCTTCCCAAAGGATCACGGCTTTTTTGGCAGCCGGAAGAGATGTGAGAAAAACCCAGTAACACCATTTTGGACAATGTGATGTATACTACCCAGAATACCAAGCGAGGAACACCGTGGCGCCTAGCCAATAAAGGGCCGGAATAGGCCGGGTCAGGGGCGGGCGCCGCTAAGGCGGGACTTCCGGATGGACTTCCGGCGCCACGTGGGGCATTTTTGTCTCTACTTAGAGATCAACCACGTTGCGCAGAGGTTCCAGATTACTGGGTAATGGTGAAGATGCCGTGGTGGGGAAGGCGCCAGGGCTATGGTTCACACAGCACACAGGAGAGTAAGGAGCTGGGCGACCCTGCCTGGGTGAACAGGACCAAAGCCGGGACAGGGGTCGCCATGCCCTCGGTGTCCTCATCTTCCGCCGTTACTTCTCCGCCTTACCCACAGCCTTCGTTGGTGGCCTCCCTGAGAGGCGCGACTGGGGTTAGTGCACGGCCTTCCCCCTTCCCTCCTTCATCGCCTCACCACCGGAACCCTACTTTCCGGTGTGCGGGCGTCCTACCTCCCAGGCTTTGCGTCAGGGGTCGTGAGGAAAAGTCACTGGAGAGAGGAGTGTTGTGGTTTCTGAGGACACAGCAAGTACGGTGCAGAGTGGATAGGTTTTATTCGGATTTGAAATTCCCATGTGGATCTGGGTGGTGAATATTGAAGCAAAAATCAGAAGTGAGGTAGGAAGGACTTTCGCTGCTCATTTGGGACTTGACTGGGCTGTAGATCCATCAGAAAACTGGGGTTCTTATGGATCCTAACTCCTAATGCCTAATTTTGGAGTGAGTCCAGAGATATGCCTCTGCTACGGTGCAGGAAGGTGGCAGAGCTGAGGGAGTGAACCTGGGGTCTGAAGATGTAAATGAGGCCAACATTCTACAATTTTGTACGTAATAAAAGTGTGAGTTGATGGTCCTGGTTACCTGTTCTGTGGCCTTTAGTGTAAAGCATAAGCCCATGTTTGGCTGTGCTTGGAGGCATGATCTGGGAGACTCAGTGGACTTGCTTGTTGGGAAGAATGGGACTCTAGTCACAACCCAACGGTTCAGTGGCATTTATTGCTCTCCCCTGGGTCCCCCAACGGAACTGCTGTTGTTCAACATGGTTAATGGGTCTGTGATGAAAGAACAGCCAGCATTGGTATTAGGGCCTGGTGTCCACAGTGAATTGCAGAGCCCTGGAGGAAATTAAGTGTGGGGAGGTTTTATAAGGAGTAGTATTGTGGTTCTCAGGCAGCTCTCATTTGTGTCCACTCTGACAGGTTAGTGTGACCTTTGCGGACATTGCCTTGTATTTCTCCAGGGAAGAATGGTGCCTCCTCAGTGACCATCAGAGGCACCTGTACCTGAGTGTGATGGTGGAGAACTTTGAACTTATATCCTCGCTGGGTAAGACCCTCACCAGTTACATGGACTTAGCTTTACATTTCCCATGCCTCCTATTGTCTAGTAGGTCCTTACTCCTCACATGTGGACTGTAAGCACTGCTTGATTTTCCAGTTTTCTGAATAGTTGCTTTCCTTGGTAGGACTGCTTTGTTTGCACTTCCCTTTTCTCCCCATGCAGTACCAATATCTATTGTACTGAACTCAAAAGGAAGCATTTGTGGCTTGTAATGTTGCAGAGATCCTAAGGAATTCCACCTTGATTACTGAGAAAAAGCATTTTTTCTATTCCTGTTGGTCATTTGTACATATTTGTTTGGAAAATTGTTTCTACATTTTTCTTGGCTAATGAGTTTTGAATCCCTTGTATATTGCATATAAGCCTTCTCACCTCCTGAGACATGGCTTTTTCAATTGGCTTAATTTTGCTTTGCAGATATTACTTTTTCTCTTTACTTTTTATACTGTCGCAGTGATTTTGGCAACCCTGCATTAAGCATGTTTAATGTTGCCAGGTTTTCAGCAGGCTCAGATGCTGGTTACCAGTGCATAGTGATAAAGTAATTTTAAATAAGTTATATAGAAGGGGTTTTTTGTTTGTTTTTGCTTTTAGACTCAGGTGTTGCTCTGTTACTAGCCTACAGGATAGTGTGGACGGAACTTTATTATTTACTGGGAAATCAAAATAATTAATGTGACATTTTCTGATCCAAACCCACAATACCTCCAAGTCATATTATCATCACTGTCTTACAGTGTTCGGTGTACAGATTTTCACCTTTTTTGGTTGAATTTATTTCTGGTATTTAATTGTTTTTTATGCTATTATAATATCGAGTACTATTTTTATTTCTTTACTTACTTTTTAATCCTGATCCAAGGATATGTATGTTGATTTTAGAGAGAAACAGAGAAAGGGCGAGAGTTAGAGAATCATGTATGAGAGAGAGAAACATCAATTGGTTGCCTCATATATGCGCTCCAAACTGCAACCTACTTGTGTACTGTGACCTAAAATCAAACCCTTAACCTTTTGGTTATGTCACAATGCTCCAACGAACTGAGCCACCTGGACATGACTCTTCCTTTTTTTAATCAAAGACTTTATTTTATTATTAGTGTGTAGCAACAGAAGTGGGATTTGTTTGTTGGTTTTGTATACTGTAATTTATTCTCCATGAATTAATGTATTTTTATTTATTTTATTTTATTTTATTTTTTAAAAGATTTAAAAAATTTATTTATCTTCAGAAGAGAAGGGAAGGAGAGAAGGAGAGAAATATCAATGTATAGTTGCCTCTTGTGCGTGCCCCACTGGGAACTGGCCTGGAACCCAGGCATGTGCCCTGACTGGGAATCGAACCACGCTACTCTGGTTCGCAGGCCCGCACTCAGTCCACTAAGCTACACCAGCCAGGACAAATTAATGTATTTTTTAAATTGTTTATTTAGTGATTTTTAGACAGAGGAAGGAATGTGAGAGAATGGGAGAAAACATTGATTTGTTGTTCCACACATGTATGCATTCATTGGGTGGCCCTTGCATGTTCCCTGATGGGGAATTGAACCCACAATCTTGGCATTTGGGACCATGCTTTCACCAACTTAGCTACCTGGCCAGAATTCTGAAGCTGTTTATTAGTTTCAGAAATTTATAGTGGGAATTTGACAAGTTTTGTATATGTAAGATTATGGCATGTGCCAACATCTCTTATGAGGCATTGTGATTCTTAGTGTCAGGTGTAATGTCTTATCTTAAGTTGTTCTTTAATTTATTTGAGACTTGAATCTTTTGTTTTAGTTTAGGTAAAGGTTTGCTAATTTTGTGTGTCTTTCAAAAAATAGTTCATAAATACTCTCTTTTTTGTGTCTTGTCACTATTGCATTTATGTTGGTCATAATATTTATTGGAATCTGTTCCTTTTCTAGTTAACTTTCTTGAGGTGCAAGGGAGTTCTCTTTTGGTTTTTGTGGGGTTTTCTTTTCTTGACAACTGATTGTTCAGGAGTGTATTGTTTTCATTTCATCATAGTGAATTTTCAAGGTTTCTAGAAAGTAAACTTGATTTTAAGATTTATACATTGTGATGAAATGAGATACTTGATGTGATTTTTTTGTCAAAGTTTGAGGCTTGATTTTTTACCTAGTATATGATCTACCTAGAAATGTTTCATAGGCATGTGAGAAGAATCCATCATCTGCAGCTTTTGGATGGAATGTTCTCTATATATTTATTAGTTCAGGTGCTCTAAAGTGTAGTTAATCTTCAATAATTCCTTATTACTTTTTGATGGGATGATATATCATTGTTAAAAAAGCAATATTGAAGTTCTTTACTAATAATTGGGTTTCTTTTTCTGCCTTCACATCTGGTAGTATTTGCTTAATTATATGTAGTTGCTCTGTTGTTTAGTTCATAATGCTTACATTTGTTATCTCCTTGATGAATTGACTTATTTATTATTCTCTGATGAATTTAGAGTCTCTCGTGACAGTTTTTGAGGTGGCCTGTTTCATCTGATAAATTTTGAGCTGCTTTTTTTGTTTGCCTGTAATATTTTTTGCATCTCTTTACTTTTAGCCTGTTTGGGTACATAAAAGGTTCAGTGTCTCTTGTAGGCAGCATATTGCACCTGTTCTTTTTTGTCTTTATCTTTTCAGTCCCAATAATATCACTTGATTGGAGAATTTTTTTAAGGAGCTGTAATTGCCACTTCTTCATTGGTTTCTGGTTCTTTTGCAGTGTACTTTTTTGTCTTCCTGTCTTGTGGTCTTCTTTTGTGGTTTAAAGATTTCCCATTGTGGTTTGACTCTCTTCTCTGTTGTATGTCTATTACATACATTTTTACTTGTGTTTTCCAAAAGATTTATGTAAAACTACTCATACTCTTTACAATCTATTTTATCCTGATAACACTTTCTTTTAAAAAAATTTTTTATTTGTTAATTTTTAGAGAGGGAGCGCAAGTGAGAAACATCAATTCATTGCCTCTCGCACACCCCCAACTGGGGACCTGGTCCATAACCCAGGCATGTACCCTGACCAGGAATTGAAACTGTGACCTTCCAGTCTGCAAGCCAGTGCTCAGTCCACTGAGCCATACCAGCCAGAGCCTGATAACACATTCAGTTGCATCCAAAAATTCTGCATTAGAATCACCACCACATACCCCTGTACATGCTTTTCACATCACAATTCACATCTATTATAAAGTACACAATGTGCCCTGGCTGTTGTAGCTCAGTGGATTGAGCATGGTCCCGCGAACCAAAAGATTGTGGTTTGATTCCCCGTCAGGGCATATGCCTGGGTTGCAGGCCAGTTCCCAACTGGAGCCAGTTCCCAGCAGGGGATACACCAAAAGCAACCATACATTGATATTTCTCTCCTTCTCTCCTTCCCTTCCCTTCTAAAGATGTATGTGTGTGTGTGTGTGTGTGTGTGTGTGTGTATAAAATATAAAGTGCACAATGTTAGCTTTGTTATCTTTACTAGGTTTAATTTTTATAGTAGTTACATAGTACATGTTGTACCAATCCATTGTTACAGTACTATGAATTTGATTTCATTCTCAACTTCACTGGTGATATTTACACTTCACATCTACTTGAGTTTCTATTTAGTATTCTCTTATTTCATCTTCAAAAACTTTAGCATTTCTACAAGGTCAGGTTGAATGGCAGTAAACTTCTTGGATTTGTTTGTACGGGAAAGTATTTTATTCCAAAGAACAGGTTTTTCTAGATAAAATATTGATGGTTTCCATTTAGTGTTTTGAATATATCATTTTGTTTTCTCCTAGCCTGCAAGTGTTTTTGAGAGGAACATACTGTTACCGTTACTCAGTTGTTTCCCATCCATGAGATGAGTTTCTATATTCTTTCTTTTTTAAAAAGATTTTATTTATTTATCTTTTAGATGGAAGGAAGGTAGGGAGAAAGAGAGGGAGAGAAATATTGATGTGTGAGAGAAACATCAACTAATTGCCTCTTGCACACCCCCAACTGGGAGCTTGACCGGCAGCCTAGGCATATGACCTGACTAGGAATTAAGCCACAAAACTTTCAGTTCATAGGCCAACCCTCAATCTACCAGCTAGGGCAGTTTCTATTTTCTTTCTGCTTTCACAGCTCTCTTTGCCTTTGATTTAAGGTACTTTCATTATAATATCTTTTGGTGAAGTCCAGTTTAAAATGTTGTACAGGTACCTTTGAGTATCTGTGCACTTGATTATTCACAGACCTTTTTCCGATTTGGGAACTCAGTCTTCAGTTTATTTTCTTTAAATAAATGCTCTCCCTTTATTTCTCCTTTCTTCTCTTTTCTTCTCTCTTCTTCTCTCTGTCTCAACCCACCACCAACACCCTCAGTGTTTCCAGGAATTTCCATCATGCATGTATCTGTTATCTTGATGGTGTTACTTAATTCACCTTGCTAAATTTAAAAAATTTATTTCCCTCTTTATTTCATTTCATCTTGATGCTTTCAAATGTCCCCTTAGAGATGACATGCTTAAGGGATTCTTTTGATAATCCTTCTTTCATTTTTTATTTTATTCATTGCAATCCATCAATTCCAGTGTTTGTTTTATTATTCTTAAATTTTTCTATCTGATATTGTCCTTATGTTTCTGTGTTGGTTTCTTTATTTACTTGGTTTCATTTATGTTCTGATGTAGCTCATAGACATTTTTAAATTAAATATTTTGGATTTCTCATCAGGCTATACATAGATATCCATTTGTTTTGTATTGATTATTTAAAAACTATCCTCTTGTTGGTGTCCTTCTGTTTAATATCATCCTCTATTGATGTCTATTGATTTGATAAAGCAGTTACTTCTTTTCATATGCACTGGTCCCTAGGGAACAGTAGTAACCTAGGGACCAGTTCTGACTAGAGAAACAGATTTATCTGCATGTGAATTCAGGAGTGTTGGCTAGGTGAGGTGGTGTGTTTCAAAGTCAAGAGAATGCCCACAAACCTATTCTTCTTGATAGTACGTGAGCTGAGGTCAGAATAGCAAAAAATGTACTGGTCCACAGTGGCTTTGGCAGCATGTTTTTTCACTGACAGTCAAGGGTTTTGGAGACTTTGGTGGCTAATACAGCTGGGCACATACTGATTTTTATTTTCTCTCTTCACTAGGTTGTGGACAAAGAAATTTCTTTTGGCTTTCATGCTGAGAAACACTGTAGGGTCCTCTGATGTGTAAATGTGGGAAGTTTGCAAATGTTGTAAGGGCCTCTCTGGTTCTTAAAAAACAAAAATTTCCAGTGTTTTTTACAGAACAGTCCACTAAAGTCAACCTGCGTGCAGTCACAGTGGCTGATAGAGTAACTCTGAGCCTTATTTTTGAGCATTGGCATTTTCAAATATGTTTGGTAACCTCATCTTCCCAGTCATCATTTGTAGTCTGTTCTCTATTTTTCCCTCTTTTGCTTTGCTATTTTTCTTTTTTTGCAATTGGTTTTAGAGAGAGAGATGATGGGGAGTTGGGCAGAGAGGGAAAGATTGATTTGTTTTTCCATTTATTTATGCATTCATTGGTATCTTCTTTTATGTGCCCTGAGTGGGGATCAAAGCCACAACCCTGGCGTATTGCGATGAAGCTCTAACCGACTGAGCTGACTGGTCAGGACTAATTTGTCGTCTGTCATAATCATATTTTTATTCCCTTTCCCCATGTTCGATTCTGTAACGGACTATAGAAATGATCCCTGAAAGTATAGTCTTTGATTCTGTTTGTGAATAGCTGTCTCCTTGTTCTGAAAGAAGGAAGAAATCAATTTCTTGTTTGGACACCTTCCTGACCTCATGCACATAAATCTTTGTTCCCTGATCTCTTTTGTGCTTTCCCCCTACCACAGTGCTGGCCATCCATTTCTTCTGTTTTTCTTTTAACATTTATATCATCTGTATTCAATGTAGGGACTAATCTGGGATTTAAGAATCATTTGTGCATCCCAGGAGAAGATCGACACTATACATGGCAGAGTGAACCCTGAGGCTGTCTTAACCTGATGAAGGGCCGTTGGAAAGCATTTGATGCCAGGGTGTTCTTAAGGTTATGCCTAGGAACCCCCTTTTGTTCCCCAGAAGTATTTTGATACTATTGCCAGTTCCTTACCAAATTGAACTTAATCATCTTTTTGGTGACATGCTGTCAACTATTCAGTTCTAAATTATCATTTCTACTTAGATTCCCAGCCCATGGATAATCTTCCTCTTTCTAAATTTTACACCTCAACCATTACTCTTGCAGGTTGTTTTTCACTTCACTTCAACTTTGTTCCATGCTTACAGTCCCTTGCAGTAAGCAAGTACTATATAGACCTTGAACATCATATTCTCTAGTACAGGTGATGTCAATAAGTTTGAGTTCATCAAATTATTCTACACAGTCTCACATCACTAGCAGGAAAGTTCCTATAGGAAGCCATCTGTAGAGGAACAACTAGTAAGGCCCTGCCTCTGTTCTCTGTGTCCCATCTTATGCTCATGTCTTTACCTTGGTGAGGTTTCCACCATTCTTGACTAACAGTGATTTCAGAGCCTAATTCACATGTCTTGAAAATAATTTTATAGAATCATGTAGCTGTTACAGATGGCCATTTCTGATTAGGATATTACTTCCCTATAAAGTCAACATATTCTTCACCAGCATTTCCTTTTGTTCAGGTTGCTGTCATGGAGCAGAGCATGTGGAAGCATCAGTTGAACAGAGCTTTTCTGTAAAAATGTCACAGACAGAGAATCCCAAGTTAGTTGTATCTTCCAGGAAGAGCCACCCTTGTGAGAGTTGTGGGCCCGTCTTGAGAGACATTTTTCAATTTATTCAGCAGCATGAAACACAGTATACCCTTAAACTGCTGAGGTGTGGGGCACGTGCAAAACAATTTTATTTGAGTACAAACTGTCACCAGTACCAGGAGCAACATGTGGGAGAAAAGCCTTTCATAAGAGTTGTGGACAGGATGTCTGTTGGGAAGGGCTGCAATTTTGATGTGCCACAAAAGCTTTTTACCTGTGTGGAGGTTGGACAAGACATCAATACAGGGTCAAGACATCAACAACAGGCTACTCATACCAGGGAGGAGCCAATTAAAATCTCGACATCTGAGGTGACTATAGGAAAAAGAAAAAATTATTCTACCCCCAATGAATGTAAAAAAGTTGTTGCTTGTAACGACACGTTTTTTGAGAACAGTGCTGTTCATACTGCAAGACAGTTTCTTGTATGCCATATTTGTGAAAAACATTATACCAGAATGTCTAGTTTTCGTTATCATCAGAGAAGTCACACTGGAGAGAGACGTTATAAGTGCAGTGAATGCAAGAAATCTTTCATCAGTGGCTCTGGCCTTCATTATCATCAGAGAGTTCACACTGGAGAAAGGCCTTATGCGTGCAGTGAATGTGGGAAAACATTTACCAGTAGAACTGGATTTTGTTATCATCAGAGTGTTCACCGACCTGAAAGTTCTCATGAATGCAGTGAATGTGGAAAATCTTTTACCAGAATCAGTGTTCTTCGTCGTCATAAGAGAATTCACACAGGAGAAAAGCATTATGAGTGCAATGAATGTAGAAAATCTTTTCCCAATACCACTAAACTCCTTTATCACCAGAGAATTCATAATGGAGAAAGGCCGTATGAGTGCATCGTATGTTGGAAATCTTTTACCAGTGATAGTGGCCTCCGTTATCATCAGAGAGTCCATACTGGAGAAAGGCCTTATAAGTGCAGTAAATGTGGGAAATCTTTTGCTAGTGATAGTGGCCTCCGTTATCATCAGAGAGTTCACACTGGAGAAAGGCCTTATGAGTGCAGTGAATGTAGGAAATCTTTTACCAGTAGTACTGGCTTCCGTGCTCATCTGAGAGTCCACACTGGAGAAAGGCCTTATAAGTGCAGTGAATGTGGGACATCTTTTACCAATAAAGCTGGCTTCCGTGCTCATCAGAGAGTCCACACTGGAGAAAAGCCTTATGAGTGCAATGAATGTGGGAAATCTTTTGCCAGTGATTCTGGCTTCCGTATTCATCAGAGAGTCCACACTGGAGAAAGGCCTTATGAGTGCAATGAATGTGGGAAGTCTTTTTACAGTAGCAGTAATCTCCGTTATCATCAGAGAATTCACACTGGAGAAAGGCCTTATGAGTGCAGTGAATGTGGGAAATCTTTCTCTGATAGGTCTAGCTTCGTTTATCATCAGAGAGTTCACACTGGAGAAAGGCCTTACGAGTGCAGTGAATGTGGGAAGTCTTTTTACAGCCACAATGGCTTCTCTTACCATCAGAAATTACACAGGAGTTAGGCCTTATGAATATACTTAATGAGGGAAATCTTTTAGCCAAAATTCTAACCTACCTTCTCATATAAAAATTCACATGGGGACATGGTCTTAGATGTCTAGGAAAGGTACTTTTTCCCCCCTGTTCACAAATGTATAGGGAAAGTTTGAAGCCTTGTGTATCTCTCACAATGAAATATCTACAATAAGGAAATTCTCCAGAAATTGTTTTTTATGTGGGAAGCATATGTATCTAAATTGTGCTTTCTGATTTATCCAGGTCTATGACAGATCCCTGTCACTGCATGCTTCTGTTAATGAAGAGATTGCATCTGCATCATGTATAAGGTTATCACAGATGTATCAGTCACCTTTCTAATGTGCTCATGGAAGATAAGTTATCTGGTTTGTTGGAGAAAATTAGGAGTAGCCTAACTTTTTAGATCTTTCTCCTTTCACTCTCTCTAGTTGGCGCATTGACAACTCATTACCGATCCAGAGAATATAGAATCCAGCTGTCAGCATGCAGGGCTTTTTTTTCATGGTTAGGTATGAGTGATACATTTTTGAGTGCCCATGTCACCAGTGCAAGAACTGCCAGGCTCATTGCCTTTTGGATTGTAAATAATAAAGGCTTTTTTTCTTAGTTCTTTAATGTTGTGTGTTTATTGTGTGTGGATAATTTATATACAAACTTAGATCCTACAGGCATGGAGTGGTGAACAATTTTATGTGTGTCTCACATTTTCTCTGCCTCAATGCGGACAGTTTACTGCTCAGATTAACTTAGCAGTTTTTTTCACAAATTTCCATTCCTGGTTGACTGTGGGCTCCCTAGTTCTGATGAGAATTCTTGATGCTGTGAGTTTTAAGTGACACAGAGATCACTCCAAAGAGAGGGTAGCTCTGTCATTCTCATGTACATCTGGGAACAGCATGGACTGTTTTTAAATTTCAGCAACATTTTTGAAGGGAATCTCTGGCCCAGGTCTTGCAGGGCCATGTAACATAATGTCTACAATTACATGGGTGATGGTCACTAGTTGCAGTACAATAGAGGTTAGGGGAAACTGTTTGCAGCAGAAACACTGGTCTAAGTAGGCAGTTGGAGGAGACTGCAGCTAGCTAGGTGGAATGTGCCTCTTCTGAGCATGCATCCAGACATGTTTTTGAGAGAAAACTGCAGGATCATTGTGTACACAAATGACATGGCTTACAGGAATATTTATCTACAGTTGATTCAGACATTGTCATTGAATATAATCAAAAGGTTTGTGTCCATGGCCAGGTTGCTCAATTGGTTAGAGTGTCATCTTGATCTGATAAAGTTCTGGTTCAATCTCTGGACAGAGCGCATACACAACCCAACAAATGAATGTAAATGTAAGTGGAACAACAAATCCTCTCTTTCCCCTCCCCTTTTTCTCACTCATTCTCTTTTCCTCTAAAATTGATGAAATTAAAAACAAATGTTTTGAATTCTATCACCTCTCAGATGTTCACGTCAGAGCAACTGGTGCCCTGGCAGAGAAAAATAAAACGTATATGTATAATTAAGGAATGTTGCAATTTTGAGTGAGCCCGAAGTAATGTTGGTTTCAATGAGGTTTTATTGTTGGCTGTATTTGCTCTCAGGCAAAATTTCTCCTAGAGCCCATGAGAATGTAAATTGAATATAGAGTTGCTGAACCTATTTTCACAAAAAAGTTGGACGTACAACTTCTTTAGATCTGGAACCATTTTTATTTTTATTTTCTTATTTTATTAATTACACCATTACAGTTACCTAATTTTTTTCTCCACTTTATCTCCCTCTGCCCTGCACCCCTCTCCCTTCAGCATCCCCCCACCCCCCGCTTAGTTCATGCCCATTGGTTGTACTTACAAGTTCTTCGGCTTCTCCATTTTCTATACTGTTGTGGACCGCACTGCCTGGTTTCAGGAATTGTAACTCTACCCCCTGTGGCTAAGGATGAGGGAGCGACAACCTCTGGAATGTGAGCCACAGGAGACAAAGCTTGTCTCTGGTAGCAAATGCTGCCTCGGTTTCCTCTCCCTGCCCCCAAAGCATGGTTGGAAGTCCATGACGGGTAAGTCTCACAGTGGGGAGCAACCTAAGCCAGACTCGACCACTTGGGAGGCCTTTATGGAAGGACTCAGGGCTGCAACAAAGACTGAGCAATAGACCCATGCCCCCCACGATGTGACAGCCCAAGTCCCCTGTCCTCTGAGAGAAGCACTTCCTGACTCTAATCCCATTAAGCCTGAATACCTGAGGGGGAGGGGTGTAGCTCTTTGCCTTGCTAGAGCAAGTCCTGGGGGGAAAAATCTGGCATCACAAAGGATTCCTGATAAACCTGTGAAATCTGCCCTGCTAAGAGTGCTTTCATTCATATGATAAGGGTCCAAGCAGGAAATGAATATGTCTCCCAAAGTTTCTGCAACCCCCTTTCCTGACAGACACTGACTCAGACTAAGACCTCAGATTTCTTTGAAATGTTATCTACTGTCTGACCCCTGTATTCCTGTGTATTACAACCCAATAAAAGCCCTGGAGGAGGGGAGTCAACGCCTTTTTTCCCCTGAAAAACTGGCTACTGCTCACAGCCTTTCCCTTTTGAGGGACTGCCCACCTCTCCTCCGCAAGCAGATCATGCCATGTCTTGTTTACTGTCATCCGTGGCGGACAGGGGGACTTGTGAGAAAAGTTGCCCCCACACTATGCTGTTCTAGCCTACCCCTGTCTATTTTATGTCAACAATTTATGGTATTTATTCTCTGTACCTTTTATCCCTATTGTCTCCAACCCCTTTCTCACTGATAATTCTCCATGTGATCTCCATTTCTGTGATTCTGTTCTTAGTTGTTTGCTTAGTTTTTGTTTTTTCAGTTCAATTGTTGACAGTTGTGAGTTTGTTGTCATTTTACTGTTGTAGTTTTATCTTTTTCTTAGATATGCCCCTTTAACATTTCATATAATAAGGGTTTGGTAATGATGAACTCCTTCAATGTGACCTTATCTGGGAAACACTTTATCTGCTCTTCCATTCTAAATGATAGCTTTGCTGGCTAGAATAATCTTGGATGTAGGTTCTTGCCTTTCATGACTTGGAATAATTCTTTCCAGCCCCTTCTTGCCTATAAAGTTTGTTTTGAGAAATCAGCTAATAGTCTTTTGGGCACCCCTTTGTAGGTAACTCTCTCCTTTCCTCTTGGTGCTTTTAAGATTCTCTCTTTATCTTTAATCTTGGGTAATGAAATTATGGTGTGCTTTGGTGTGTTCCTTCTTGGGTCCAATTTCTTTGGGACTCTCTGGTCTTCTTGGAAGTCTGTTTCCTTCGCCAGATTGGGGAAGTTTTCCTTCATTATTTGTTCAGATAAGCTTTCAACTTCAACCCTCTGTGCTGTGTTGTGGCACTGTCTTGGGGGATAGGTCAGAGGAAACTGCTGCTCACTTGCTCCCCTCTAGCCCTACTTTCCAACAAATTCTCATATGAGACTGGGAGTTTCTCCTGCTGTGGCAACTCCCGCAGTAGTTTACAGCTATGTTTGTCTTTAGTTTCCCATTTAGCCAGCCCCTTCTTGCCTGCTTGGTCTGCTGCCTTGCTGCACATCTTCTCCCCTCAGCTGTTCATCTTCCCATCTCTGCCTCTCCAAATGGTGTGGCTGAGTGTTTTACTTCTTGGTTGTCAGAGTTCTACAGTTTAATTTTTTGGCACTTCTGGTGCTTTATTGTTTTTAGATTGGTTGTTATCCTTCTTTTGGTTGTGCAAGGAAGTGAAGTGTTTCTATCTATATCTATATTTTGGCTGGAACTCCTCTCTGTGAGGTTTTAATCTGTTCTTTCATTTGGACCATATTTCTTTGTGTTGGCGTACCTGTTACATTGTAAGGAGGACCCCAGCCTTATATATTCACCAGGGCAAGGCATCCCACTTTGCTTGGTTGTGGCATTGTATGTGGGGGAGGGGTCCTAGAGGGAATAATGCCACTTGCCTGCTCGCTTGGCTCTTGCCCTAATTTCCGTCGCTTCTCTTGCTTCCCACAAGTAGATTGTGTCTTTTAGGTGCTGATTTCTGGGTGGCTGGACTTGTGTACGTTCTAGGAATCCATGGGATTCTCCAATGGACTCTTCTGTGAAAACGGGAGTTTCTCCAGCTGCTGCAACTCCCACAGATATTTATAGCCATAGGTTTTGAGGCTTTATTTCCCTGTGCTGGAACAGGGAAATATTTCCCTGGATTGTGTAGTTTGTCCCACTCCCCAGGTGTTCTTCCTGGCTTATCTGCATGCAAAAGTGGGATATCCTGGTTCACCAGCTGACACCCTGCCCACCCCTGTCCGTCAGCCACACCTTACCCCATGTTTTCGCCATGCTGGCTTCCTGTCTCCAACCTCTCCTACCAGTCTGGATGAATGTATCTTTAATTCCTTGGTTGTTGGATTTGTTTTTGAATTGATCGTTATCTTTCTTTTGTTTGTGCAAGGAAGTGATGTGTATCTACCTAATCTTCCTCCTTGGCTGAAACCTTTAAAATCATGACCCATTTTTAATAAACTTTTACTAGTAAGCATCATAATTCAAGTATAATATTGGATCAGTCTTCACTTACACACAACCCTAACACCATCACCGTAGTCAATACTGTCTTTACTGTCACTGGGAATTTAATTCATGCCCATTTTCTTGTCTCCTGCCCTTCACACCTCAGTAAGGAAACATTGAGTTACATTCCATTCTAATAGATTAATTTGCAATTTCTTAAATTTATATGATGAGAATAATAGTATTTATGCTTTCATTTACATTGCATGTATAATTGGAGTTTTTTTAAATGATATGTTAGTAGGTAATCTGTTTTTGCTGAGAAATATTCTTTGAAGAAAGCACTACATCCATTGAATTCAGTTATTTCTAATTTTTGACTTTAATACTGGTATAAATGTTTATAATTGTTTATATGGCTATAAGTTTCATTTGCCTTTGTCAGTACCTCTTTGGACAGCCTGAGTCATAGGGGAGATAATACTTGGTTTGGTTAGTAGTTTTTTCATTTAAACGTTTTAAAGAAGATTTTATTTCTTTATGTTTAGAAGAGGAAGGGAGGGAGAGAAACATCAATGTGTGGTTGTCTTTCACACTTTTCTTACTATGGACCTGGCCTGCAACCTATGCATGTACCCTCACTGGGAATTGAACCGGTGACCCTTTGTTTCACAGGCCAGCACTCAACCACTGAGCTGCACCAGCCAGGGCTAAAGTCTTTTTTTCAATATTGCAGTTCTACCTCACTGTTGTTGGATTGTATGTTTCTAAGGATTCATGCTAACTTTTTTCTCATATGTGTATTTGCTATTACTTTATATTTGCTAAATTGCCTAAGCCTATGTTCTGTCTAATCTGATATGAGTTGGGGAGTTTTTTATAATTAAAGGACATAAAAATAACAAAGATCCATGTTGAAATTTCAATAGTTTGTTGCCTTTTTTACTGTATTAAGTAAATGTGTTTTTTTTGTGTGTTGGACTGATATGTTCAATTCCTTTTTACTTTTTAATGCTGTGCACAATAAACTTGACATTCATTTTCACTTTGACTATTACCATTTTTTATTATTTTCAAAATCTAGTCATTTCATAATTAAGCTTTTGCTTTCTAGTATTATCCCATTTTTCTGGCCTTCTATCATGGGGGTTTTGTGTTGGAACAGGACTCAAGGAATCCAAATGGCATCAGGATGGGTAGAATATTTTGGACTCTGAAAGTGCAGTTCAGAGAAATGGAAGCCATTGATCAGACTGACGACACGCTGGGTCAGGCACCCATAATGTTAATTCCAGAATACCAAATATCTTTGGGACTCACATGAAATGTCCCTCTGTGGACTCAGATTAAGTTTTCTCCTTTGTGAAATGAGTATCTGGTATATCTACATCCCTGAGGTGTTGGAGGAGGTGAAGTACTATGGTGTCCTTTTGCAGTGCATCAGCTGTGTCTCCAGCCTCCTGGGCTGGAGGAACTGCTTCTGGCCTCAGAGATACTCCCAAACCAGGCACTCCTCACTCCCCCAGTGTCCCACAAACACCTATGTGGGGGTGTGCATTTACTGCTGATCCACCTACAGGAAGGCAGGTACTTTTGGTGCTGACCCCTCAGTGTACTGTCTCAAGCAGGGAATAATATCCTAGTGACTCGCTAGAGCTCCCTGAATCTCAGTTGGCTGAATATGATGACGTGCAGATGGAGGTGGCCTTATCTTGGCCTTTGAAGATCATTGAAAGTACTTACATGGAAAGGTAAGTACTTTGTTATGTAAGTAACTAAAGTTACTTACATAACAAAGTACTTGTCATTGAAAGGATTTTAGGGTCTGCATTTCCACATTTTTTTCCTTTTGTGAAAACAATTTTGGAAGTGGAAACTAACACCAAATAGCTTGAATCATCTAGGATTAAAGAGATGAGTGAGGTTCTCCAAGTTCACTCAACAGATAAATGTCATATTCAAGAGGCTGGATTTTAACTCAGTATTTTGGCTCCAGAGCCACAGACAGTCTCCACTACAAATGTGAAGCTCTCAGAACTGGCATACATACGCTGCCTCACAGTGTATGGTCTTCACCAGGGATGCTCAGCTGAAGCTGGTCTTTGCATTGGTGCAATTATGATCTATTTTCCTAAAATTTCAGAACACACCGTCTGCCCTTCTGTCTCCACTGGAATGGCATCATCTGTCAGCTCCTGTGGGTTTTTCAGAGGAACATTTTTTTGAGACTGAGTTACAGTTCCTCTGCCTTTTCTTTGACCTCAGCATGGAGTTTGACACCCAGGAGACCTGGGTAATTTGGGCTGGATCTCTGTACCCACCTCTTCCGAACTCATGTGTTCCTTTGCAGCCTACTTTTGTCTGCATAAGTGAATATGATGTCGAAATGTAGTTTTTCCTTATTTTGTTTTTAACAGTGACCCCAGTACCCAGCATACACTGGCCACACTGAGATACAAATACACATTTTAGGATACAGTATATATAATGAAAAATAAACATAGGTCATTTTTAAGAGAAAAGTAAGAAAGGTCACAGGTTAAAGTTTCCTAAGCATAGACCTGGTGTCAGGTCAGTTTCAGGCGTTGTTCAGCCTCACTCATTGAATTCTACATCACTTTCCTTTTTTAGCTTTGAGATTTTTTCATGCCTGATTATGTTGCTGTATGTATTTTACAATATTTTATTGGCCTGTTTAATAAGATTTTTCCTTTCACAACATTCAGTACAAAGTTTTTAACATCCACCTTTATGAACATGTAAGTAAAATACTCTGATAGAATTCGCTTGCAACTCATATTTTGAGGTCAGAAACATTTGTCCATTAATTCATATAAACTAAGGTTCATTCAAACACTTAATAAAACACACAATCCTCATACTCCATATGGAAGAAAGCTCTTAGAATGAATATCAAGGGGCCCAGTTTGTGTGCTCAGTGAAGAGAGCAAGAATACTCCAAATATGTAGAGGTCACATAGCGGCAATTAATTAGGCAGCCCCAAAGCAAATAGATGGTGTGACACCTTGGCATTTCATTCCTCAGAATATATCCCATATGGCTTTTTTTGTTTGTGTTCCACCCCTCACCCTAAATAATTTACATAACATTCTTAACTGTTTTTTTGGCATAATGTCCATTTTCCCTAAAAACATGACATCTATTTCCAAATATGGTTATGTAGCTACTTTATATTTGTTGCCAGGACGGCTACAATTTTGGCATGTTTGAAGGTATTGAAAGGAAGCATCTGAATCTGAGATACAGATTTTGGATTCCAGGATGTTATCACCTTGCTGGGAAATGGTGATTATTTCACCTGTTAATACAGTGGGCATGTCTGCATGGAGATTGATCAATATTTCTAAAGAAAATTATGGTTTGCCAACTATGGAAAGGAATGAGGGAGTTATACAATGTGTATTCCTGAAACAGCCAGAAGACAAAAGGCTCTAGAAGGCTGGGAACATGTAAGTCTGCCCAAGTGGTAATGAAAGGACACTGAGTTCCACAAAGTGAGAGAATTTCCTGGAGCTATGGCTATGCAGGAAACTTGGCCATCAAGGGTTTCTTGTTTCTAGAAAGTGTGAACTATTTTCCTTCATGCAAACTTTTCAACTCCTCTATTACACTTTGTTTTAATGCTTTTTCAAACTTTGGCATATACTTAATTATATTTGCTCTGAATTTTTAAAAGGGAAAACTATTTACAGAATTATTTATTTTAAACATTTATTGCATATATATATTGCACATATATGCAACATATATGCAATATATATGTATACACACACACCCATAATTAGTTCTTTACAATATTTCATGTGATTTTAAAAAATTTATTGGATGTATAAAAACTTATACATAGGTCAACTTCCTTTATGACGCTACAGTTAATTCAAAATATAATTTAGAAGTATATTCATAATCTTACCACATGGACAATACCTGAAACTTCTCACCTGATGCCTTTAAATATGGCTGTAAAAGACAAACTTTCTTCCACTATGATAATTACAATAACATTTTCACATTAACAAAAACATCAGTAACCATAGGCGTTATATTGTCAAGCATTATAAAAGATTGATTTTGAGTTGATGTTCAAATTATAATACAGTAGACTTTCATTTAGTGTTTATATTATGTGTTAGTATTTGTGCTTCAAATGTATGTCCTACAGTCTTGTGTTATATTTGTCATGTACTTATGAAGGTGTAAGTAGATCATTTGTGTGATAAAATTGTCCATTCTGTAATTCAGGAATACCTTTTATTACGACTGTCTGTATTGGGCTCACAGATAATGTGTTTTTATGAACATGGACTCAAGATCCTTCACCAGGAAAAGATGACAAATTTCTCTAGCCATTTTCAGGATGTATCTTTCTTGAGGACCTGTCATTTCCCATACGCCCTGACGGCGGATCTTGGTCTTATCACTCTGCTGGAGTGATGTAGGGACACTCCTGATCCTTGCCGTGGACTCTGACCCACGTTACCTAAAATACTCTGTGTTGAATACCGGCAGAAGCCTAGCCAATGAAGGGTTAGAAAAGGCGTTTTGGTTGTTGCGCATACGGAAGAGGGCGGGACTTCCGGCGCCCTCCTCACAGTCGACATTTTGCATCAGTCATATAGTCCAGTTAAATAAGTCCTTGGAAGCTTCACATCTCTGGGGTCTGGGGGAGATGAGGGGACGGGGAAGGCGCCAGAGTGGTGGTCCACACAGAATATCGGCAGCTAAGAAGCTGGGCAACGCTGCCTGGGAGATTGGCTCCGGAACCAGGGCCACCATATCGGGGGCGGTCTCCTCTCTCAGCGGCACTGTTAGGCCTCGCCCACAGCGTCCGTTTGCAACCTCGCTGAGGTGCAGGACTGAGGTAAGTGCTTGTCCTCTCACACGTCCACCCCATCACCGAATACTGTATCCCCGCGTGCAGGCCTGTCAAGGACAGTGAGAAAGCCTCACGTGAGATAGAAGTGTTGTGGTTTCTTAGGACCCAGCAAGTAAAGTGCAGAGTGGACAAGAGTCATTGCTACCTGAAATTCCCATGCGGATCTGGGTGGTGAATTTTGAAGCAAAGGTCAGAGGCAGGCAGGGAGGACGCAAAGCCTCATTGCAGACTTTTCTGGGCTGCGGGATCCATCAGAAAACGGGTTGGGCTGGATCCTGCTGGAACCTGTCAAGCACTCTGCATGTGCCTACTTTGTGTGTGAATCCTGAGAGACTACTGGGGTGTTGAGCAGGAAGATGTTAGAGCTGAGGGAGCAAACTTGGAGTGTGCTATGAAGGAGGCAGACATTCCTCAACGGTATGCTCAGCTAGAGGAACCTTGAGCTGATGGTCCTAAGTACCTGGTGTGGAGACTTAAGGGTGCAGCTTAAGCTCGTGTTTGGCTGTGTCTTGTAGGCATGATCTGGGAGACTCAGTATTGCTTGTCAGTAAGGATGGGACCCTGCACTTGTAGCCCTAGGCTTAGATGGCATTTTTTTGTCGTTGCCAGCGTCCAGAAGCTGACCAGCTGTTGCTGTAGGTGATAAGGTGATTAATGGGACTGTAATTAGAAAGCAGCCAGCACTGGCATTAGGGCCTGGTGTGCACACTGACCTGGGAGTTCTGCAGTAAATTGGGCGTGGGAAAGATTAAAAAAAATAGGATTGTGGTTCTCAGATAGACATCTCTGGCTTCATTTGTCTCCCTCTTGCCAGGTTGGTGTGACTTTTGCGGACATTGCTCTGTACTTCTCTAAGAAAGAATGGTACCTCCTTGATGAGGATCAGAGACTCCTGTACCTGGATGTGATGCTGGAGAACTTTGAACTTGTATCCTCACTGGGTAAGACCCTCACTCTCGTCAGTGATGTGGACTTGAATTTGCATTTTCCATGCCTCCTATTCTCTAGGGAGTGCTCGCTGCTCATGTGTGGACTGCAGGCAGTACTTGATTTTCCAGTTTTCTGAGTAGCTGATTTATTTGGTAGGGCTGGTTTTTGCACTGCCCTTTTGTCTCCCAGTAATACCAGTACGTGTTGTACTGAACTCTTAGGGAAAGATTTGTGCTTTGTAGTGTTGTAGAGAGCCTAATGGATATCACCTTGATTAAATGAGGAAAAGCATTTTTTCTATTTCCGTTGCTCATTTAAACATTCTTTTTTGCAAAATGCTCTTGACATTTTTCAGCTAATGTGTTTCTTGTATATTTTATGTATTATTCCTTTGCACATACAAGTACATTTTTTTGCATTTGCATAATTGTGCATTGTATATATTGTGGCCTTGTTTCCTTTCTTTTTGTTTGTTTTGCTTATGTTATTTTTTTACAAATGCAATGTTTTTGACAGTGCAGCATTCAGCAAGTTTAGTGCCATTTTTTCAGCAGGCTTACATTCTTGTAACCAGTGTTTGTTGATAAACTACTTTTAATTCTGTGTAGTTTCTATAATTCTGTTTTTACTTTTTTAAAGTGTATTTTATTGATTATGCCGATGCAGTTTTCCCAATTTTTCCTCCTTTGCCCTCCTTCTGTTTGGTACCCCACTACCTTCCAGCAATACCCTCCCTTAGTTCATGTCCATGAGTCGTGCATATGTTATTTGGCTACCCCATTTCCTATACTGTTCTTAACATCCCCCTGTTTATTTTATATCTACCAATTTGTACCAGTTTGTACCTTTTAGGCCCTGCACTTTACCCCTCCCTTCTTCTCCTTCCCTCTATAAGCTGATAACCCTCGAAATGATCTCTGTATCTATGATTTTATTGCTGTCCTGCTTGTTTGCTTAGTTTATTTTTTAGATTCAGTTGTGTATAGTTGTATAGTTACGCATTTGTTGCCATTATAATGTTCATAGTTTTGATCTTTTTATTACATAGTTCCCTTTAACATTGCTTATAATAATGGCTCGGTGATGATGAACTCCTTTAGTTTTATCATGTCTGGGAAGCACTTTATCTGCACTTCACATCTAAATGATAGCTTTGCTTTTCATCACTTTGAATCCTATCCTTAACCAAATAAGGGAAGTTTTCTTTCATTATTTTTGTCAAATCAGTTTGCAGTTTCTTGCTCTTCCTCTTTTCCTTCTGGCATCTCTATGATTTGGATATTTGTACATTTGGAGATGTCCCAGAGGCTCCTTAATCTATTCTCTCTATTTAAAAAATTCTGATTTCTTCTTGTTGTTCTGATTGAATGGTCCCTCCACTCTTGGATTCCTTTGTATTTTTCTTTATTTCACTTAATGCCATCTTGAATTTTGCCTGAGTCTTTTTTCTTTTATTGCATTACCCTATGATTTCGAGTTTTGTTCTGTTGTTTCATTTGGACCATATTTCACTGTCTCCTCAATTTGGCAGCATCCATATATTTGTTTCTGTGTTATTAGGTACAGCTGCTTTGACACCCTGTTTTAGTAGCCTGGGGTATTATAGAAAAGGCACCTGTAAATTGTGTGGGGCGGAGTCTTAGGTAGTTGCCAGGGCAGGGCAACTCATTTCACTGCTTTGTATCTCTTCGTCTCCTCTCCTCCCCAAATGCATGAGTGTAGCTTCTTTAAATCCTTGGTTGTCAGACTTCCATACAGCTTGATTCTCTGTCGAATCTGTGTGATATTTGTTTTGCAATCTAATTGTGATTTTTGCTATAGTTGTGCTGTGAGGTGAAGCATGTTTTACCTATACTTTAATCTTGGTGGGAAGTTGTAAGTTTTTTAAGACAAAGGTATTGTGTTATTAATAGCCTGCAGTATAGCCTTGACTTTTGTGGCTAACTTCTTTGCGGTCATCCTGCACAACCAAAGGTTGCCAGCTCAATACCTGGTCAGGTTACATGGCTGGTTGCTGGTTTGTTCCCAGGTCAGGGTGCACCCCATTTATGTTTCTCTCTCACATCAGTTTTTCAGTCCTTCTCCCTTCCTTCCCTTCTCTCTAAAAACAAATAAAAATAGCATGCAGTATAGCACTGTTAACCTAACTTTATTATCCCTGGGGACATATTTTAAAAATTGTAAATTTCTATATCCCAATATCCACTTAATTGTGATTTTTGAAACCAAGCCTGCAATGCCTGCAAATGGTAACTTTAAATGATTTTGCAAGTATTTGCTCCAGTCCTGTAGATCACCTTTTTATTTCATTATGATAATTGCTGTTATGCTATATTGAAGCTTTTTTGTTTGTTGTCCATTTGTTTCATTTGTTGTCCAGACTGTTTGTTTTTGCACATTTTGTCTGGTGGATCTTGTCACATCCCCGAAAATCATATCCACAACAAATCTCCAAAGCTCCTTCTCTAAATTGTCTTGAAGATTAAGTTTTAGGACTGACATTTAATTCTTTATGTAGATCGAATTCATTTTTATCAATGGCGTACAGTTTTGTTGTTTTACTTGTCAATATCCATTTTTCCCAGTACCATTTATTAAGGAAACTATCTTTTCTTTTTTATATGTCTTTTTAAAAAAGATTTTGTTTATTTTTAGAGAGAAGGGAAGGGAAGGCAGAAGAGAGGCAGAGAAACATCAGTGTGTGGTTGATTCTCGAATACCAGGGACCTGGCCTGCCACCCAGGCATGTGCCCTGACTGGGAATCAAACTAGCGACCCTTTGTTTTGCAGGCCAGCACTCAATCCACTCAGCCACACCAGTCAGGGCTCTTATTTATAAATCTTGAGGTTCAATTGTCAAATGTTAGTTGAAAGCCTGTGCCTGTGTTTATTTCTGTGTTCTCTGTTCTATTGATCTATATTTCTGTTTCTATTCCCCTAACACACAGTTTGATTGCTTTGGCTTTGTAACAGATTGAAATCAGGAAGTGAGATGCCACCAAGTTTGTTCTTGCTCAAGATTGCTTTTGCTGGCCCTGGCTGGTGTAGCTCAGTGGATTGAGCACGGGCCTGTGAAGCAAAGGGTCACTGGTTCAGTTCTCAGTCAGGGCACATGCCTGGGTTGCAGGCCAGGTCCCCAGTAGGGGATGCATGAGAGGCAACCACACATTGATGTTTCTCTCCCACTCTTTCTCCTTCCCGTCCCCCCTCTCTAAAAATAAATAAATAAAGTATTTTTTTTAAGATTGCTTTTGCTGTTCGAAGTCTTTTGAGATTCTATACATTTCAGGATTTTTTTAATATGTGTGTAAAATATCATTAGTATTTTATGGTATTCTGCCGTGGACCAGCCTCGCCAGGAGAGGGGAGGGGGTGGAAATGAGTCAAGGACGCAGGGAGTCAGGTTGGAGAGGTCTCAGCATCCCGCTGAGCCCCGAACTCCGTTTATTCAAGGCTTTTATTACAATTATGGGGAATAAGCAGGAGGGGGCTGCACCCAAGCCAGTTTCTTTGTCCTTTCTGCAAAGCTACTCCACGGAACAACAGGGGAACACAGGGTGCTATCAAAACTTCCCTGTTTTTCAAGCACCGGTGCATGACCTACCCTTCTACGGGGAAACAGGCTGTCTAGCTTATGCTAATAAGTTCTTGGGAAACCTATTGTCTACCCACAGCAGGTTCTAGGCAGGGAGCCAAGCAAGGTGGAGAGGAACTGCGCCATGGGCAGCGGCCTTGCCAGCTGGCCCTGGCCCCCCGGCTTTGCCAAGGGGGGCTTGCGGCGCGTCTCCACGAGCAGTGGCTATGCCGGCTGGTCCTGGCCCCCTGGCTTTGCCATGGGGGGCTAGTGGCGCCCACAGTATTCTGTGGACTGAAATTATCTTAGAAATTGCATTTAATCTGTAGATTGATTTGGGCAGTATAGACATTTTGATGACACTATATTTTCAGTTCCAAGAACACCAGATGTCTTTGCACTTATTTGTGGGGTTTTTTTTTTGCATTTTTTCTATCACTGTCTCATAGTGTTCAGTGTACAGACACTTCTCCTTTTTGGTTGAATATATTCCTGAGCATTGTATTGTTTCTAATGCTGTTCTACATTTGACTACTTTCTTCATTTTTTTTTTCCAGTCCCAACTCTAGGATATGTATATTTACTTTAAAGACTGAGGCAGGAGAGAGAAGGAGAAAAAGAGAGAAATCGAACAAATGAACAGTTGTCTGTTATATATGCCAAACCTGGTACCCAACCCCCAACCCAGGTATGTGTCCTGACTGGGAATTTAGCCAGGAACATTTTCATGTATGGGACAATGCTCTAACCAACTGAGCCACTTGGTTGTGGCCATTCATTTCTTTATTTTTTTTAATTTGAATATTTTATTTATTTAGTTTTGGAGAGAGGAGAAAGGAGGGAGAAAGAGAAGGAGAGAAACATCAATGTGCAAGAGAAACATTGATAGGCTGCCTCTTGAATGCCCCCAATTGAGGACATGGACCACAACCCAGGCATGTGACCCAACTGCTAATCAAACCAGCAAGCTTTTGGCCCACAAACCAGTGCTTCATGCAGTGAGCCACAAAAGCCAGGGTTCTTTGTTTCTTTCTTTTTTTTTTTAATTTTATTTATTTATATTGGGAAGGGAAGGAGAGAAGGAGAGAAATATCAATGTATGGTTGCTTCTGGTGCATCCCCTGCTGGGAACTGGCTCCTGCTGGGAACTGGCCTGCAACCCAAGCATGTGCCCTGGCGGGGAATCGAACCACAATCCTTTGGTTTGCAAGCCTGTGCTCAATCCACTGAGCTGCACCAGCCAGGGCTATGTTTCTTTATCAAACAATTTATTATCATTATGTGGAAATGGAACATATATAAAAATGTATATTATATAATGTATAATTGTTTTATATATTTATACATATGTAATTATGTAGTATATGTATAATTACATATATAATAACATACAAAATATGTATAGTAAATCTTTTTTTAGAGGAGAAGGCAGGGAGAAAGAGAGTTAGATAAACATTAATTGGTTGCCTTTTGTAGGCACCCCAACTATGGACTAAACCCATAACTCATGCATATTTCCTAACCTGGAATGTAACCAGTGTCCCTTTGGTTTGTAGAATGTCACCCAACCAACTGAGCCACACCAGCCAAATTGGAACTGATATTTGTATGTTGATTTTCTATCCTGTAACTTTTCTGAATTATCTATTTTAAAAAAATTTTTTTAATATATATTCATTTTTGGAGAGAGGACAAGGAAGGGAGAAAAAGAGGGAGAGAAACATTTATGTGAGAGAGAAACATCAACTGGTTTCCTCTTGTATCAGCCAGACCAGGACTTAATCTACTTAACTCAGGTGTGTCCCCAGTCTGGGAATTGAATTGGCAGCGTTTTACTTTTCAGAATGGCATCCAACAAACTGAGCCACACTGTGGTGGGTTTTGTTGTCGATAGCTATCTCCTTGTTCTGGGAGAAGGAAGAATTATTATGTTTATTATTAGGCTGTCTTGCTGAAGTTACTCATATAGATCTTTTTTCCTTGGTGTCTTTTGTGCTTTTTTGTTTTACCAAAGTGCTGGCCATCCATCTCTTCGGTTTTGCTCTTAGACTTTATATCATCTGTATTGCGTGTAACAGCTCAACTGGGATTTAAGGGGGAGAATCACTTGTGCATCCCAGGATAAACATGACTTTATCCATGGCAGGGTGGATAGAGAGGTGTCTTTGCCTTGGTGTACGACTGCTGAACAGGTTTTGATGTAAGGGCTTTGTTAAGGTTAAAAGTAGGAACTCATTTTCTTCAACAGTATTTTGTTTCCATTGCCAGTTCCTCACCCCATTATACATATTCTTATTTATCGTTGGAACTTTGTCAACCTCTCAATTCTAAGTTATTGTTTCTACTCTGATTCCCAGCCCATGGATAACCTTCCCCTCTTTAAACTTTGCTTCTCAGCCATTTATTTTATAAGTTCCATTTACTGCAGTTCAGACTTTGTCCATTTCTGTAGACCCTTGGAGTGCACATGATCATTATATGACCTTGAACATCATATACTACAATACAACTGAGGTTTATGGGTTGGAGCTCATTCAAATTATTCTACACAGACTTATATCACCAGCAGGAAAGTTCTTACAGAAGCCATTTGTGTAGGAACAATGAGTAGACCCTACCTCTCTTCTCTGTGTCCCATTCTATGCTCCTGTCTCTCTCTTCATGAGATCTCTACCACAGACTGACCATTGGGGCCAAGTAATATATAACGGCCATTTATTCAGAGTCTCACTCACTTTCCTTGAAAATGATAGAATCATGCCTAGCTGTGACAGATAGCTATATATGACGTGGATATTTCTTCCTTATAAGGTCAACATTTATTTACCACCCCTTTATTTTCTGTTCAGGTTGCTGCTGTGGAGCAGAGGATGTGAAAGCATCAAATGAAGAAAATGTTTCTATAGAAGTGCCACAGGCAAAGAAACCCAATATACCTTTTTCTCCCTGGCGTTGCCACCCCTGTGAGAATTGTGGGCCAGTCTTGAAAGACATTTTTCACTGTATTGACCAGCAGGAAACACAACACAAACAAAAACCGTTGAGATGTGGAGCATGTGGAAAACAATTTTATTTCAGTACAAAGTGGCAGCCTCACCACATGAGAGAGAAGCCTTTCATGAGAAGTGTGGACGGGATGTCACTTGCAAAAAATTGCAGTTTTAATGTGTCCCAGAAGCTTTTTACCTGTGGGAACTTTGGGCAGGACATTCTTACCAGGTCAGGACATCTCCAACAACAGGCTACTCAAAGTGGGGACAGGCCAAATGATATCTTGACATCTGGAGTGACTCCTCGAAGCAGGAAAAATCATTACACGCTGAATGAGTATAAGAAAGCAAGTGGCTGCAACCACACATTTCTCGAGAACAAAGGTGTTCCTACTGGGACACAATGTTTTGTATGTCATCAAGGTGGAAAATATTTTACCAGTATTTCTAGTTTACATTATCGTCAGAGAGTTCACACTGGAAAACGACCCCATGAGGGCAGTGAGTGTCTGAAATCTTTTAGCAGGCTATATTACCTTCATTTACATCATGGAGTTCACACTGGGGGACGGAATTATGAATGCAGTGAAATCGGGAAATCTTTAATCACTAGTACTAGCCTTCGTTATCATCACAGTGTTCACACAGTAGAAAAGCTTTATGAATGCATTGAATGTGGGAAATCTTTTACCACTAGCACAAGCCTCCAAGATCATAAGAGATTTCACACTGCGGAAAAGCTTTATAAGTGCAATGAATGTGGGAAATCTTTTACCAGAATTAATCACCTTCATTGTCATCAAAGAGTCCACACAGGAGAAAGGCCTTATGAATGCAGTGAATGTTGGAAATCTTTTACCACAGTTGGTGATTTTCATCGTCATCAGAGAGTTCACACAGGAGAAAGGCCTTATGAATGCAGTGAATGTGGGAAATCTTTTACCACTAGCACTAACCTCCGTTATCATCAAATCTTTCACACAGGGGAAAGGCCTTATGAGTGCATTGAATGTGGGAAATCTTTTACAACTAGCACTAGCCTCCGTTATCATCAGAGAAATCACACTGGAGAAAGGCCTTATCATTGCAGTGAATGTGGGAAATCTTTTACAAGAATGTATCATCTTTGTTGTCATCAGAGAGTTCACACAGGAGAAAGGCCTTATGAGTGCAGTGATTGTGGGAAATCTTTTACAACTAGCACTAGTCTCAGATATCATCAGAGATTTCACACAGGAGAAAGGCCTTATCATTGCAGTGAATGTGGAAAATCTTTTACCAGAATTAATCACCTTCATTGTCATCAGAGAGTTCACACTGGAGAAAGGCCTTATGAATGCAGTGAATGTGGCAAATCTTTTACCACTAGCACCAGGCTCCGTGTTCATCAGAGAGTTCACACAGGAGAAAGGCCTTATCAGTGCAGGGAATGTGAGAAATGTTTTAGCACTAGCACTAACCTCCGTGTTCATCTGAGAGTTCACACAGGAGAAAGGCCTTATTGTTGCAGTGAATGTGGAAAATCTTTTACCAGAATTGATATTCTTCGTTATCATCAGAGGGTTCACACATGAGAAAGGCCTTATAAATGCAGAGAATGTGGGAAATCTTACAGTTGCACTACGTATCGTTATAGTTATAATCAGATGTTGAAATCTTTCAACAAAAATTATAACATTCTCAGTACATGACTTCACATGGAGGGTTATCTTAGAAGGGTAGGAATTGTACAGATTCTTCTTTTTTAATGTTAATAATGCCAAAAGAAATTATTTTAAACCTTGTTCATCTGAGTCAAATCATATAAAGCTAATCATGTACATAGAGAGGTTCTGCATAGATTTTTTTCTGCTACATTTCTGTTTTTCTCTGTACATTTTATTATTTATTTTTTAAACATTTTATTGATTATGCTATTAGAGTTCTATTTTTTCTCCCAATTATTACCCTCCATCCTGTACCCCCACCTGCACCAGTATGCTCCCCCTTAATTCATGTCCATGGGTCGTACATGTGTTTTGTCTTCTACATTTCCTATACTATTCTTAACCTCCTCATGTCTAATTTGTACCTACTAATTATGCTTTGTATTCCCTGTACCTTTTCCCCCATTCTCCCTCTTCCCATTCCCTGCTGTTATTCCTCCATGTGATCTCCATTTCTGTGCTTCTATTCCTGTTCTAGTTGTTTTCTTAGGTTTTGTTTTTTCAGTTCAGTTGTTGGTTGTGAGTTTGTTGTCATTTTACTTTTCATGGTTTTTTATCTTTTTCTTAAATACATCCCTTTAACATTTCATATAATAAGGGCTTGGTGATAATGAACTCCTTTAACTTGATGTTATTTGGGAAGCACTTTATTGGTCCTTCCATTCTAAATGAAAGCTTTGCTGGATTGAGTAATCTTGGATGTAGATTCTTGCCTTTCATGTCTTCGAATACTGCTTTCCAGCCCCTTCTTGCCTGTAAGGTTTCTGTTGAGAAATCAGCTGATTGTCTTATAGGAACTCCTTTGTAGGTAACTGTCTCCTTTATTCTTGCTGCTTTTACGATTCTTTATCTTTAATCTTGGCTAATGTAATTATGATGTTCCTTGATATGTACTTCCTTGGGTTCAGTTTCTTTTGGCCTCTCTGAGCTACCTGGACTTCCTGGAAGTCTTACTTCTTTTGCCAGATTGGGAAAGTTCTCCATTATTATTTCAAATAAGTTTTCAGTTTCTTCTTTACTTCTGGCATGCTTATTATGATTCAGATGTTGGAATGCTTATAGTTTTCCTGGATGTTCCTAAACCTCTCCTCATCGTTTTTGAATTCTTGTTTTCTCATTTTGTCTGGTGGAATGTTTATTTCTTCCTTCTGCTTCAAATTGTTTATTTGAATCCCAGTTTCCTTAACGTCACTGTTGGTTCCCTGTATATTTTTCTTTATTTCAGTTTACATAGCTTTCACTTTTTCCTCTAGTTTTTGACCATACTCAATCATTTCCGTGTGTATCCTAATTACCAGTGTTTTGAACTGTGCATCTGACAGGTTGACTATCTCTTCATTGCTTAGTTCTATTTTTGGAGCTTTGAACTGTTCTTTCATTTGGGCCATATATTTTTTGTCTTGGCATGCCTGTTACTTTGTAAGGGGTGAAGCCTTTGGTGTTGGAGGAGATAGCCCAGGTCACTGCATTGTAGCACTGTATGTGGAGGAGGGGTCTGGCAGGGAACAATGCTGCTGTTCATCTCTCAGCTGGCTTCTATCACTTCCCTTGCTACCCAGAAGCAAATTGGGCCATTCTGGTTCTGATTCCCAGGTGGGTGGGCTTGTGTACATTTTAGGACCCTATGGATCTCTCCAGTAAACTCTTGTGACACTGGGAGTTTCTTTTGCTTTCGCAACCCCCAGAGTTTTTACAGCCAGAGGTTTTGAGGCTGTATCCTGCGCTGGGACCCTGGCTTGTGTAGTCTGTTTTGCTCCCCAGTTGTTCCTCCCAGTTTATCTACTTTCAAATGTGGGGCCTCTAGCCTTCGCCTGACCATACGTCCTCTGCCCTGGCTTCCTGTCTTCACCCCTCCTACCAGTTTGAGTAAATGTTTCTTAACTTTTAATTCCTTGGTTGTCGGACTTCCATGGAGTTCAGTTTTCTGGTACTTCTGGTTGTTTTTTTGCTTTTAAATTTTTTGTCCTTTTGTTTGTGTGAGGAGGCAAAGTGTATCTATCTATGTCTCTATCTTGTCTCTGTCCATTTTAAATTCCACAGCTACATAATTTTAATTGTGTGGGAAGCCTGTGTGTCCACGTTGCACTTTTCAGTTTACCCAGGTATCTTGCCAGATATCTCCATGTCATTCCATATTTCTGTTGCTGAAGATTTTTTAAATTTTATTTTATTTATTTTTGGAGTTGAGGGGGGGAGAGAGAGATAGAGAAGAAAGGCAAATCAATGAAAGGGAGATACATTGTTTGGTTGCCTCTCAAACAACCTCTCTGGGACCTGTCTAGCAACCTAGAGCTGGGACAGAGCTGGCAACATGTAGGTTCACAGGCCAGCACTCAACCCATTGAGCTGCACCAGCCAGGGCAAAAAAAAATTAGGAGTAGGCTAACCTATTTTTAGATTCTCATTCCTTTGTCACTCACTAGTTGACACACTTTTAGCCCAGAGAATACCATCTGAGTTTAGCTGTCAGCTTGCAGAAGGCCTGTTTGTTATTTTCAGGGGTGTGCTCTTACCAGGTATCAGTAATAAATTTCTGAGTGTTCACATCACCCCTGCAAGAACTGCCATGCTTCCTTCTTTTTGGATTGTAAGATAATGAAGGCCTTTTTTTTTCTAAATTCTTTGGGTGTTCTATGTATTGTCTGGTATAGCTTATAAGCAGATTTGTGCCCTACAGGCATGAAGTGGTGAACAATTATACATGTCTCAAACTTTCTCTTACTCCATGGATACAGTTTGTTGCAGAAATTAATTCACAAGTTTTTCTCAAACTTGAATTTCTTCTCATAACCACCTAGTGGGCTCTCTAGTGTTCATGAGAGGTCTAAATGCTATGAGTTTTAGGAGACACAGATCACTCCAAGAAGGGGTAGCTAAGACAACCTAAAGTATGTATAGATACAGCATGAATTTTTCCTTTGCAAAGGATACCAATATTTTGGAGAAAATCTGGCTCAGGTTTTGCAAAGGGTTATAAGTGTCATACAGTTGCATGGATGATAATCACTAGTAGCTCCACAGGGATTAAGGGAAGCTGATTGCAACAGAAACACTGGCCTAAATAGGTGCTTGAAGAGACTGAACCTACCTAGAAGGAATGTGTCTCTTCTAAGTAGTAAGTAAAATTTTTTCAAAAATTTGAGGATTTTGGTCATTTATGAGATGTTAATCTCAAAGCTATTGGTACCCTAGCAGAAAAGAAAAATAAAGGATGTCTTTAGTTGAGGGATGTCATTTCATGATCCACCCAGCAATCTTGCTGTTTTTATGACAGTTTTTTTTAATTAGCTATGTTTGCTGTCACTGAGGCAAAGTCTCTCCCAGGGGTCATGAGAACATGCATTCAATATAGACTTGCCAAACCTATTTTCGAAAGGTATTATACAAAGTTTCCAAATATTGATTCATTTTTAAAAGCTTTAATTTCATATGAAGTATGACATTTAGTGAGCCTTCACATATACTTAAAACTGGTATCGTCACCATAGTCATAATACTGATTGTATTTGTCCCTGGGAATTTACTTAGTGGCCTTTTTTATTTCTTCCACCTCTTCACCTGTCTGTAAGTAAACATTGATTTACATTTCCATATATATTTAGAGATTTTTAATGTTAGTAGTTTATCTGTTTGGCTGAGGAATATCATTGCTAAACCATTGCAGAAAGGCCTTGTGAATGCAGTGAATATGGGAAGTATTTCAGACGAAAGTGTGAACTGTGTTCTTACCAGAGTACTCACACTGGACAGAGTCCTTAGAATGCAGTGAATGTCGAAAATCTTTCACCATAGTACTATCCTCCATTATCATCTGGTATTTCACATAGGAGAAAGGCCTTATGAGTGCAGTGAATGTGAGAAATCTTTCATTCAAAAGCAGCAACTTCATTGTCATCAGAGAGTTCACACAGGAGAAAGGCCTTATAAGTGCAGTTAATGTGGGAAATCTTTAGCCAAATTTCTAATCTTCCTCTGCACATAAGAACTTATATGGGGGAGGGGGGAAGGTCTTAGATGTGTAGGAAAGGTATACCAGTTTTTTTCCCATGTTAATAATACTGTAGGAAACTATGGAGCCTTGTTTGTGTGAATCAAATATCATACAGCCAAACATGAAGAGTAGGGAGGTGCCCTATAATTTTTTTTATATGTGAAGCAGGTGTGTCCATGTCACACTTACTTTACCCATGTCTCCAGATTCATGTCAGTTCAGATTTCTGTGCTGAAGATATTTCACCTACAGCGCCGATAGGGTTCTGAGAGATGTCTGAGACATTATCCTAATGTGCTCAGAAAAGGTGACTGTTAACTGATTTGTGAGGTAAAAGTAGGAGTAGCCTAACTTCAGGGCTTTATTCCTTCCACTCCTACTAATTGGCGCAGACCTGACTCAGCTTTGGCCCAGAAAAAGTTATCTGAGTTCAGCTGTCAGTTTGCAGAAGGGTGGCCTTTTTTTGGGACATGCTTTTTTTATATACCAGTGATGATTTTTTTAATTCCCAAGTCTCCAATACAAGAACTGCCAAGATAATACCCCTTTGGTTTGTAAAATAATCAAGGCCTTTTTTAAATAGTCTTCTTTAATCTTGGGTGTTGTATTATTGTGTGTGGTAGTTAATAACAGTTTTTGGTCCTACAAGCATAAAGACGTGGACAACTTTTATATGTGTCTCAACCCTTTTTTTTTTTTTTTTTTTTTGCCTCCGTGGGGACAATTTTTGCTACAGAAATTAACATGGCAGTTTTTTTTTCCTGGCTTTCATTCCTGCTCATATCCACCCAGGCAAGAAGACTGTGGGCTCTCTAGTTCTCGTGAGAAGCCTCAATGCTGTGAGTTTCAGGAGACAGATCACTCCAAAGAGGGCATAGGTATGACAATCTCAAGTACATCTGGGAGCAGCATGAATTTTTTTTTTCTTGTAAAGGACACCAATACTTTTGAAGGGAGTCTCTGGTCCAGGTCTTCCAAATACCATGTGCTATAATGTCTGCAATTCCATAGATGATGGTGGTTAATTGCAGCAACTACAGCTCTGGGGAAATGAGCATAATAGAAACACTGGCCTAATAGGTGCTGGAGGAGACTGCAGCCAACTAGATGGAATGTGCATTTTCTCAGCGTGCATCTAGAAAATATTTTGAGAAAAAGACTGCAAGATCAGTTTGTGTACAAATCTCAGGATCTGCATGAATATTTATCTTCTGCTGATTCAGTCATTTCCATGAAATATAATCAAAAGGTTCTCTGGCCCTGGCGAGATAGCTCAGTTGGTTTGAGTGTCATCTTGATATGCCATGGTTCTGATTTTGAAATCTTGTCTGGGCACATACCAGAAGCAATGAATAAATCCACACATAAGTGGAAAAACAAATCCAGATTCATCCCCCCCCCCATTTCTCAAATCAATAAAAAAATTTTTTTAATGTGGGTTTCTGTCTGCTGTCATGTTCTTTTCAGAGTCACTGGTGCCCTGGTAGAAAGAAAAATAAAGTTGAGTGATGTTGCAACTTTGACCCAGCCAGTTGTTTGTTTCAGTGAGTTTTTATTATTGGTTGTACTTGCTTTCACTGAGGCAAAGTCTCATCCTGAGCACATGAGAAAGTTTCGAGTAGAGACTTGCCAACCTATTTTCAAAAAGAGTTGGGCATATATATTTAAAGTCTTGTACCATGTTTAATAAGCTTTAAGTAGTAAATGTATTTCAAGTATATTTGATTTGTCTTCACTTATACATGATTCTAAAGCCATCACTATATTGTCATAATACTGTCCTTTTTCGTCACGGAGACTTTACCTCATGGCCAATTCAATCTCTCAGCCTTTCACAGCTCTGTAAATAAACATTGATTTATATTTCATTGTAATAACAGAGTAACAGTATTTTTCTGCTTCCTTTTACATTGCATTTATATTTGAAGAAGAGTATATTAGTAACTCATCTGGTTTTTCTGAGAAATTTTTTAAAAGATTTTATTTATTTTTAGAGAAAGGGATGGAGAAAGAGAGGGAGGAAACAACCAATGTGTGGTTGCCTCTAGATCGCCCCCAACTGGAGACATGGCCCACAATCCAGTCATGTGCCCTGACTGGCAATCAAATCAGACTCTTTGGTTTGCAGGCTGGCACTCAATCCAACCCCTCTATTCTTATCTATGAAGTTAGTACAATGAATTTATCCATTCAAAATGATTATTTCTAATTTTTTAGTTTAAATTGTGTATAATTTCTATGTGGACATTAATTTCATATACCTTTGTCAATAACTCAGCGCACAATCTGAGTTGTAGACTAGGTGAATGTTTAAGCTATAGAGATAATGAATTTGTGATCTAAACTAATTGTACCTTTTTGTTTCCTTCCAGCAGTGTGTAAGAGATTTATTTTCTTTACATGTTAATATTTGATTGGTAAATTGTTTTGTATTAAAAGTTGTTTTTAAACATCTAGTGCTACCTCACTGTTTGATATTATTTTTCTAAGGATTTATCATGAGCCTTTTCTCAGATGTGTGTTTGCTATGTCTATCTGTGTTAAATGTCTGATCATGAGTCCTGACTGATCTGAGATTATGGTGGTTTTCTATAACAAAACGACAGAAACAACCAAGGTGTATGTTGAAATTTCACTCATTTTTGGCGTTTCTTGCTTTATTGAGTTTTGTTATTGGAAACATGTTTTAACACTTTGTGGTCTTTTATACTTAGCACAATGCAATGTAGACTTTTTATTTTAATTTCAGATATCTAACATTCTCCATCAGTTTAAAAAGTTTCAGTCATTTTGTATTACAGTGAGCCCTTGTTTTGTATTTTGTTTCATTTTTCTGGTCTCTTATCATGGAACCTCTTGAGGTGGAACTGGTTTCTGAAGGAGACCAGATTGCATTAAGATGGGAGGTAATGGTTTGGATGAAAGCTCAGTGCAGAGGGAAATAGGAAAGCAGTGATCAGACTTCCCATTCCCTGGGTCAGGCACCATGGATCTGAATCCCAGATTATAAAATATTGGGGCATTCAAATTGTTACAGGACAGAAACCAGCCTGGAGTATGTTATTAAGGGTGAGGACAGTGAAATGAAGGATTTGGGGTAGAGGAAGTAACAAGAGACAAACTAGGCGATGCTCTGCTTTGGCTCCCTAGAAAAGTTATAGGAAAGGTGTGAGCCAAGCCAGGGCTGCTGTTAGCTCACTGGGAAGTGGAGGTCACAAAGACAGAAGTGAAACAAGGCGAGGCTCCTTTCATCTCACTGGGAGGTCAGAGAAAATAGGGCCTTGGAGACGGGATCAGGGGGTAATCCATGTCAAATGCTGCTGCCCACTGTCCCTTGGATGCAAGTGTCCTGGCATCCCTTACACTTTAAGAGGAAGTACAATGTTCATGCCCAGGAAGGGGTGTGGATATAAGCTTAAGGGGATTTCAAAATGAAATATCAAAATGATATTTGATATGATTTTTATATCAAAATGAGCTTATGGGGGTTTGGAGAATATTCTTTGATCTAGTCTGCTGTTTCACTTTAATCTTGGGTCTGTCTTGCTCTTAATGTCATTTTTTAAATTGTTCCCTTGGCCCTGGTTGGTCTGGCTCAGTAGATTGACCCAAAGGATCACTGGTACAATTCCTGGTTGGGGCACATGTCTGGGTTGTAGGCTGGTCTCCTGAGGGGTGCGTGAGAGGTAACCACACATTGATATTTCTCTCCCTGCCCCTCCCTTCCTCTCTAAAAATCTTAAAAAAAAATAAATTTGTTCCCTTGACTTCATCTGTTCTTGGCTTTAACTGGCACAGTGACATGAGTTAAATCTGTGTTCTCTATTTCACAGACCAGGATTTAGTTTCTAGTCAGGGAGGAGAGGTATAAACCATTTGCTCTCGAGTGTTTTGGTTAGGGGAGATAAGGTCCTGGGATTCTCTGGCTGACTGTAAGTTAATCAAATTGTTTGGCCTTTAGTTTTCTGCTCTCAGATAACCCATACTTCTTGCCCAGGAACTTTCCTAGCTTAACTATCCTATAAAAAAATAACCCCTTTTCATGTGCTTTAGTTCTTTGTGTAATGAGTATAAGGTATGTTTTTAACCCTCAGCTGTTGGACAAGGTCAAGTGCTAGGATGTCCATTTACAATGTGGCATTTGTGTGTGCACCCTCCACGACTCAGGCAACCCTGGTTTCTGCCTACAGAGGCATTTCTAGACCAGGCACCCCTACCCAATACCCACAACTCCTTTGTTTTGGTGTGTGTTTGAAGATACAATTAGGCCTTTAAGTACAGGCTGGCTCACCTGCCGGGAGGCACTGACCCTCTATGTGGGCTCCGAATGTGGGAATCTGCAGGCAACTTGCCAGAGCTCCTCCAGTCTCAGTTGGCTGAATGTGACATGTAGGTGATGCTGTCTCTTAACCTTAGCATTTGAGATCAATGGAGTTAACAAACTGAGTACTTGTCAATCCCTGGATTCCAGGGTTTGTTTTTTGAGAAGAATCACTTAATTCTCACAACAACTTTGGAAGTGGAAACTATCATTGAGTTGCTGGGAACATGCAGGATTAGAGGAATGAAGTAGGTTCTCAAGTTTACCTCACAAGTGTCAGATTTAAGTGGCTTGATTTAAACTGTATTCTGGCTTCAGAGCCAGAAACAACCTTTACCACTGCTGTGCAACCCTCATTGGGTTGTGTACAGTGTGAAAACCAGAGAGGGTCAGGTGGAGCTGCTGTTTGCATTAATACAATTAATGTGATTCTCCCCCTAATTCCCTAAAATGTCAAAGCATTTACCTTGTACCACTCAGTCCTCCAGGATATTCTCCTTTTATTATTTTTAAATGACTTAATTAATTTTTTAGGAGAAAGGATAGGAGGGAGAAAGAACGGGACAGAAACATTGGTGTGAGAGAGAAACATTGATTTGCCTGGCAAGGGATCAAATCCACAACCTGGGCATATGCCCTAATGAGGAATGGATCCAGGGATCTTTTGCTTTGCATGATGTTGTCCAACCAACTGACCACATCTGTCAGCACAAAAGGGAACCTCCATTTAGGAGGGGTTAACAGTTTGCATTTCCATTGGTCCCGTCACAGTTTGATGCTCAGGAAACCTTGGTAATTTGGGTCTCCGCACCTTCATCCCCATTTTGGGTGTCAGGCTGTAACCCCATTTACAGCCTGGTGAATTTGGTGCTTTATTTTGACTTTGTGAGTGTTGTTCCTATGTGGCACGGACATTAACCCTGAAGTGGAGGGACCAGGTGGCTGTGAATGCTGGAACTTAACATTTGGAAGTAATGCTGAATACCTAAAGGATCCCAATCTCATTGTAAAGTGACACCTCTTTTTCATGCAAGCTACCCACTGGCCAGGTGACTCTGTCTTGTGTATTCCTAGTGGGTGTATAAGACAATAAAACATACCATGTCTTCCCTGCAGCCAGGACCATGTTCTGGAACCACATCTTCCACTGTAGTCTGTTTCTGCACACCAAACATTTGGGTTTGAACATAGTCCTGAATACAAACCCTCACTGCAGTGCTCAGCATCCTAGACCACAGCTGAGACCCTTACTCCAGATTCCAGATAGCAGAGAGAGACAACCACATTTCTTAGGAAACTGTAAGAAAAATGAAATGTGAATCATTTTACAGAGAATAATAACCATGGTCCAAGCCAACATACTTTAGCATAGACCACATACTAGGAAAGTTGCACCACTCAAGCTCCACACATTGAATTCTAACATCAACATTGTTCTGTAGCTTTCAGATTCTTTACATGCCTGATTATCTTGATATTGCTACTTTATAGTATTTTATTAGCATGCTTTTAAAGAGTGTGTTGCTTTCACTAAACCCAGCAGGAAGATTTAACCCCCTTCCTTTATCAAAGACATGTTAGTAAAATGTCCCTGCAGATTCCATTTGTAATTCATGCTCTGTAATGGTGAAAACTGAATATACAACAATTGCTATCAAAACATTAAGGTTCACTAAAATACTGAATAAAACACAGTCTTTATTCTCTTCACTTCATGGGTAACAGAGCTTTTAGCATGAATATCATAAAGTCCAGGGTGCTTGCACAGTGATCAGAAGAACATTCCTCCAGACAGGTATAGAGGGAACATGGAGGGGAGATACTTAGCAGCCCCCATACAAGGGGATGTGTCGCACCATATTGTTGACTTCCTTGTAGGGAAGCTCCGTCCTGCAGAGCTCTCCCAGCTGCTGTGGATGAGACTAAATCTACCAAGACATCTGCTTAGGGAGAAAAGGCTGGCCAACCTCTCAGACATAAAGGGCCTTGAGCACCTCTTTCCCTATGCTTTTATTGGGTTTAGTTTATATAGGAATACAGGGTATATACGTAAAGCTCATCAATCATTGTCAGGCAGTAACGATCAAGGAATAGATAATATTCAAAGAACTATAAGGGATTATTCTGAGTCAGGGTCAGATAGAGTAATGCCAAAGGGCCATAAAACTCTGAGAAACAAACTCATTTTAAGTGTGGACCCTTAATATGTAAATTGAGGGCATTCTTAGCAAAGTAGGTTTCACAGGATTTTATGTATTCTTGGTTAGGCCTGATTGCACCCTTGCCTGGAACCGCCCATTCTGGCACAGGGCTGTACCCACTTCAGCATTGTTTCAGACCTGAATCTGCTAGGGGATGCAGGTGGCCAAGAGAATAAGAGACTTTTTACAGATATAATGAGGACTCAGGCTATGATAAAACTGAGGGGAGAGGGTCTTTTGTCCTTGCTCCATAACCCTTTAAATCCTTCCCTAATGGCCCCTTTGCAACTGTGCCTGTGTTAGGTTGTTTCTCCCTTGAGGAATCTTACCCGTCATTGACTATCCAGCCATCCTCCAGGGACCAAGCAGGGTGAAGGAAAGGGGGCAGAGGCTGTGCCCCTGCCCGGAGGATAAGTTTTGTCTCCTTAGTGGCTTATGGTCCCAAGGCCTTTTTACTCGGCCTTAGCCATGGGGGGTTACAGCTTCTGCATCCAGGCAGGACAGTTCTCAACACTGCCTCAGAATATATTCCATCTAGCTCTTTCTCAGCATATATTTTACATCCCCAGAAATTACTTGTTTTCCTCTATCATATTTCTTAATGTGTTTTGGGATATGGCCTTTTTTCTAACAATAGAACACATACATGGGAGTGTGGTTACATAGCAAATTTACATTTGCTACCAAGATGTCTACAATGTTGTCACCCATGAAGGTGTTGAAAATGGGATCTGATCCTGAGAAAATGAATTTGGATTCAAAGATCTCATCCCTTTCTAAGGAAATAATAATCATTTAACCTGTATTCACACATGACAGTTCTTACCAAATTTTCTGAGCTGTGGTCTGTTCTGAAAAAGGGAATAATGACTATGTTCCAAATTTACATTCAGAGCCAGGATGGCTGTAATGTTGGTGAACGTGGGAACATGTAGATTGGGAACATGGGCATCTGAACCTGAGAGAATAATTTTTTCTTTCAGGATTTAACCCCCTTGCTGGGTAATGATGACCATTACACCTGTACATACAGTGACAGTGCCTGCATGGGACTGTGTGTTATTTCTGTTGTAAAATTAAGGGGTGATTAACCTGAGAGATGTATAAATTATGGTTGGTGGAGTTATAAAATGAACATTTTTTATTTTATTTTTTTAAAGATTTTATTTATTTATTTTTAGAGAGGAGAGGAAGGAGAGAAGGAGAGAAATATCAATGTATGGTTGCCTCTTGTGAGTCCCCTGCTGGGAACTGGCTTGCAACCCAGGCATGTGCCCTGACTGGGAATTGAATTGCAATCGTGTGGTTCGAAAGCCCCTGCTCAACCCACTGAGCTACACCAGCCAGGGCCTAAAATGAACATTTTTTAAATAACTGGAAGACAAAGGGCTCTGAAGCCTGAGAATGAGGTAAGTCTAAGTAGGAGGTAATTAATGGACATTCAATTCTAAGAGATGAGAGAATTTACATGTGCTGTAGCAATTCTGTAAATATGGCTATCATAAAATTTTTGTTTCTACAATGTGAGTCCTTTTTATTTATTAGAATTTGAGGGGGAGAAAGTGAGGTGAGAAAGATACAATAATGTGTGAGGAGACAAGTTTAGAATTGTGGAAAAATAGGCATGATATTGTGTTTTATTTCTTTAATAATCATTTGCTAATTATCTCACTGCTTCAGAGGCTGAACTAGGTGTGTGTTGTACAGCAGTGATTACAGAAATGTGACCACAACTAGGGATGTTCAAAGGCTTTAGTGAAGCAGTAGCCAACAATTCAGAAAGAAAACATTTCATGATATAATAAATTGTTGGCACACATGTGGAAACATAAATTGACCTGTACTCAAGAATGACAAGCATGTTCATCCTGAGGATTCTAAGAGCACACATTTAAAGGAGAGGGGGAAAGATTTGATTTAATGGGGAAGATGTTTCATGGACAAGAAAGTGCTGTAATATCTTTCCATGCCAGTAGTTCACCAACAGTGTCAGACCACACCTATGATCATTGTGACAGTTTCATAGTGCCGGGAATTATGTTTGTTTACAAGATTTCTATAATTTCTGGTAAGATTTTAGAGTTTTATCAACTCTTCTGTTACGTTACTTAGTTTAATGTTTTTCAAATTATGGTTTATATTTCAGTGTCATATTTGCTCTGAAATTTTAAATAGGAAAACCTTTTAACTTAATTATATGAATTTAGTGTTTATTAAATATTTATGCATACCCATAATTATTTGTTACTTATAATAATTCATGTGATTTTTATTTTTTAATATTTTGGAAGATTTTATTTATTTAGTTTTTAGAGAGGGGAAGGGACAGAGAGAGAGAGAGAGAGAGAGAGCAACATCAATGTGTGGGTTCCTCTCACAGGCCCCCCACTGCTGATCCAGCCAGCAACCCAGGCATGTGCCCTGGACTGGGAATCGAACCGATGACTCTTTGATTTGCTCAACCACCAAGCCACACCAGCCAGAGCAATTTCATGTGATTCTTAAAGTTTCAGATATACCTAGGTCAACTTTAGTGGTAAATATATATTTTTACCCGAATCATAATTTATAAATGTGTGTAATCTGAACACATTCAGAATGCCTGACATATCATTTCACCTGATGTCTTAACTATGTTTATAAAGGACAAATTCTCTTTCATTATGATAAATGCAAATGCATTTACACATTAAAACACAAATAACTGTCAGAGTTCTATTTTCCCACTTAAAATTGATTAATGTTCAAATTATAACCGAACGATGGGACTCCATTTAATGTTTGCGTTACGCATCTTCTGTTTTTCTTTGAAAGGCTTATCCTACAGTCTTATGTTATATTAGTCACATACATATATGGTGGTATAAGTAGATCATTTGTGTAAATATTGTCAGGACTCTGTAATCCAGGCATACCTCTTTACAGTTTGGTGTACTGGCATCACAGATAATTTGTTTTTAGTAACATGAACTCAAGCCCCTTCACCAGGTAAACATGAGGACTTTCTGTAGCCATTTTTAAAAAGTGTCTTTCGTGAAGCCTTGACATTCCCCATTGCTCTTAGCCTATGATCTTGGTCTTGCTACTGTACTGATGTGGAGGAACCTCTGGTCAGCACCTTGGAGTTTCAGACCCTCATTACCCACAATACCCTGCATGGAATACAATTACCCATAACCAATGAGGGGGTCATACAACGTATTTCCGTTTCCGGTGACCTCTCTGCCAGAAGTAGGCATTTTGCTTCAACTAGAATCCGCGGAAGTATGTGCTCAGAAGTTCCAGTTTGCTCGGTGCTGTTGGGGGAGCTGGGGCCAGGAAGTCTCCAGAGTCGTGGTTCACACAGTACTCAGGAGAGTGAGAAGTTGCGCCAGGCTCCCTGGGTGACTTGCACCAGGGCCGGTGCAGGGCAGCCTTGCCAGAGGCCTCCTCTCCCGAGGCTACCACCATGCCTCGAGGACAGCGTCCATTGGTGGCCTCGTTGAGACACCGGGCTGTGGTAAGTGCATGTTGCCTCACACATTCAACATCCTCAGCTGCCTCATCACAGCGAACTCTACATCCCGTGTGCAGGCGACCTACAGCCCAGGCCCCATGTAGAGGACTGTGAGGAAGGGTTATTGGAGACAGGAGTGTTGTGGTTTCTGGACACAAGTACAGTGCAGAGAGGACAGGGCTTATTCGTAACTGAAATTCATTTGCAGTTCTGGGTGGTTACTATTGGAGCAAAAATAGAAGCAGGCGGGGCGGGGGGGGGAGGTGGGAGGAGGACTTTAGAGCGTCATTTGGGGCTTTGCCCTGCTGTGGGATCCAGCTGGATCCCAGGTTGTGCTGGATCCCGCTGGAATCTGCTAAGCACTCTCTGGATACCATATGCCTAGTTCCTGAGCGAGTCCAAAGTGGTGCCTGTGCTATGGAGCATAACCAGGGGTCTGAAGATGTGAAGGAGGCAGACATTCTACAGTGGTGTGCCCGATTAGAGAAAGTGTGAGCTGATGGTCCTGGGCCCTAGGACATAACGGTTAATTATAAGGTCACATTTTGATTGTGCCTTGTAGGCATGAACTGGGAGACTCTGTAATTTCTTGGCAGGAAGAATGAGATCCTGCAGTCATGGACCGAGGCTTAGAGGCCATTTATCTTCTGCCCCCCGTGTCCCCCAAGGAAGCTGCTATCGCTGAAGGTGTGAACAGTAATTAATGGGATTGTGATGAGAGAGCAACCAGCACTAGCATTAGGGCCTGGTGTCCGCACTGAACTGGGGAGCCCTGGAGGAATTTGAGCGTGGGGAGGATGTGTAAGGAGTAGGACTAAGGTTCCCAGACAAACCTGGATTCATTTGTGTTGATTCTGACAGACCTGGATTCATTTGTGACTCTAACAGTTTGGTGTGACCTTTGCAGACATTGCCTTGTGCTTCTCCAGAGAAGAGTGGTGCCTCCTTGATGAAGATAAGAGATGCCTGTACCTGGATGTGATACTGGAGAACTTTAAACTAATAATCTCATTGGGTAATACCTTCACTCTGCCAATGGTATGGGCTAGGTTTTGCATTTCCTTATGCCACCTGTTCTCTTGTGGGTGATCTCTCCTCTTATGTGGACTGTAAGCAGTGCTTGATTTTCCAGTTTTCTGAGTAGTTGCTTTCCTTGGTAGGAGTGGATGATTTGCACTGCTCTTTTCTCCACCTGCAATACCGGTGCCTGTTCTACTGAACTCATAGGGGAGGATTTGTGGTTTTTAATACTTCAGGGAGCCTAATGAATACCGTCTGGGTTAGTGAGAAAAAGCACTTTTTCTATTCCTGTTATATACATTTTATTTATTTATTTTTAGAGAGAAAGTGGGGGAGAAAGAGGAGAGAAACATTGATATGTGAGAAAAACATTGTTTCCTTCTTTTATGACCCCAACTGTGGACATGGCCCCCAATCCAGGCATGTGCCCTGCCTGGGAATCAAACCAGGGTCCTTTTTAATGGGATAATGCTCAACACACTGAGCCACACCAGTTAGAGCAATTTGTTTATATTTTATTTGGGGAATTTTTCTACAGTTTTTGGCTGAGTATTTTGAATACCTTGTATATTTTATGTATTCTCTTTCACCTACTGATATGTGGCTTTTTTCATTTGCTTAATTTGGTTTCAGACATTGCTCATTTTTATTTCTTTACATTTTTACTTGTTTTGGAAGCCCTGTATTCTGAAAGTCTGGTCTTGCCAGTTTTTCAGCAGGCTCAGAGGCTGGTTACCAGTGCTTAGTGATGAATTATGTTTAATTACATTATGTAGACTATTTGTTAGACTAAGACTATTTGTTAATAGCTGACTATGTAGTTATGACATAACTTTGTTATTGACTGGGAAAGGGTTAAGTTTATGTGACTTTTTCCAAACTCAACCTGCAGTATCACTAAGCTATGTTTTTGTATATTTGCAAATATTTTGTTCCATGCTGAGACTGCCTGTTTCCTTTAATTATTATGAAAATTTTTTTCAATTTTATTTATTTATGTTTTTAGGTAGAGGGCAAGGTAAGGAAAAAGAGAGTGAGAGAAACAGCCATGGGAGAGAGAAACATTGATCATTTGTGCCTCTCTCCCACCTCAACTGGGGACTGAACCCCGAACCTAATCATGTGTCCTAACTGGGAATCCAATAGAATTTCCAGAATGTCACCCAACCAAACGAGCCACACTGGTTAGTGTTGCCTTTTCATTTCATTATGTTAGTTACTGTCCTGTGAAGAAACTTTCATTTATTGGAGTTCAGACTTAATATTTGCTTTTTTCCCCTGGTGGTTATTGTCACATTGAGAATATCATTTTCCAAAGCAAATCTTCAGCCTTTACATGTGTCAGTGAGTTTAGCATCGTCCTGCAAATGGAAAGGTCTCTGTTGGATTCCCAGTGAAGGCCCATGCCTGGGTTGAAGTTCAGGGTATTAGTTGTTGGCATGCCAGAGACAACACATTGATGTTTCTCTCTCACATTGATGTTTGTCCCCCTTTCTTTCTTCCTCAGTTCCACTTTCTTGAAAATAAAAAATAAATTCTTTAAAACTTATGGATTATAAAAAGAAAGCAAATCTGTAATACTTCTACTCTAGGTTGTCTTGAAAGAGTTTAGAGTTTAGGAGTAACATTTTAATTTTTTCATGTAGTCTGAGCTAATTTTTATCAGTGGTTTCCAGTTTTGTTGTTTTACATGTGTATCTCAATTTTTCCCAGCATTACTTACTAAGGAAACTATCTTTTAGTTCGGCATCAGTTTCTGTGTTTATTTCTATGTTCTCTGTTCTGTTTTGTTTTTAAAGATTTTATTTATTTATTTATTTATTTATTTATTTATTTATTTATTTATTTATTTAGAAGGAAGGGAAGGGAAGGAGAAAGAGTGGGAGAGAAACATCACGGTGTGGTTGCCTCTCATGTGTCCCCCAGTGGGGACCTGGGTTGCAACCCAGGCATGTGCCCTGACTGGGAATGAAGCCAGCGGCCCTTTGCTTCACAGGCCGGTGCTCAATCCACTGAGCTACACCAGCCAGGGCTCTGTTCTGTTTTATTGGTCTCTGTTTCTGTGTTCATTTTAACAGTTTGGTTGCTTTGGCTTTGTAATAGACTGAAGTCAGAAAATGTGCCACCAAAAAGTGCTGTTGCTCAGGATTGCTTTTGCTATTTGAAGTCTTTTGATTTTTATACATTTAAGGATTCTTTTAAAATTTCTTTTAAAATACCATTTGAATTATCAAAATTATGTTTAATCTATAGATTGATTTGGGTAGTGTAGACATCTTACCAATATTAAATTTTAAAATCCAAGTACACTGTCTGTGCACTCATTTGTCTTTTCTTCCTTTTCTTTGATTACTCTTAGTGTATTCAGTGTGCAGACATTTCACTGTTTTTGGTTGAATTTATTCCTCCACATTTATTTCTTTCGATGGTCTTTTAAATTAGACTTCCTTCTTCATTTATTTACTTTTTAATTCTGGTCTGCAACTTTTTTCTGAGGAATGTACTACTATCCTTATTCAGGTATTCCCCTGTGTGTAAGTCATTTCTACTTTTTTTGTGTTTTTACAGCTCTCTTTGCCTTTGATTTTTGACACTTTCATTTTACTGTGTCTTAGTAAAAAGTCCAGTTCGCATTGAATCCGTATAAGGATCTGTGAGAATGTGTGCACTTGATTGTTCACAGCTCTTTTTCAGAAGTGGGAAGTCAGTCTTCAGCTTACTGTTTAAAAATAAAAGTTATACCTAACTTGTTCCTTTCCCTGTTCTTTTCTTCTTTTGAAAAAAAAAACATTTTATTTATTTATTTTTAGAGAGAGGGGGCGGGAAGGAGAAAGAGAGGGAAACAGCAATGTGTGGTTGCCTCTCATGTGCCCCCTACTGGGGGCACAACTTGTCTTGCAACCCAAGCATGTGCCCTGACTGGGACTCGAATTGGTGACCCTTTGGTTTGCAGGCCAGTGCTCAGTTTACTGAGCCACACCAGCCAGGGCTCCTTTCCCTTTTCTTTCTCTGTTTCCACCCACCACCACCACCACCACCACCACCACAACCACAACCAGGGCTTCCTCCAATTGCCATAATGCAAATATCACATATCTTGATAGTGTTACTTTATTCACCTTGCTGTATTTTAAAAATTTAGTAACTCTTTTCAATTTTGTGGACCAATTCAGGCTAGAGAAATACATTTATCTACATGTAGACTTAAAGGTAGGCTGAGTCTGTGTTGTGTTTCAGACTTGAGACAAGTCCCAGCACCCTAGTCACCTTGATGCTATATGAGCTGAGGTCAAAATAACAAAAAATGTACCAGTTGCTTTGGTAGCATTTCTTTTCAGTGAAATCAAGGATTTTGAAATGTCTAGTGGCAAATACTGTTGGGGATATACTGAGTTTTGTGTTCTTCCTAGACTAGGTTGTGTGCAAAGGGATTTGTTTGGGATATTATGCTGAGAAACTCAGTAGGGTCCCCTGATATGTAGACAGTGAGGAGTCCAAAGGTGTTGTGGGGCTTTTTTGGTTCTTAAAATCAAAACTTTCTAACCCTGATTGGTGTGGCTCAGTGGATTGAGTGCTGGCCTGTGAACCAAAGGGTCACTGGTTTGTTTCCCAGTTAGGGCACATGCCAGGGTTGCAGGCCAGGTTCTCAGTAGGGGGTGAGTGAGAGGCAACCACACATTGATGTTTCTCTCCCACTCTTTTTGCCTCCCTCCCCTTCTCTAAAAAAAAATAAATAAAATCTTTTTTAAAAATAAAAACTTTCCAGTGTTTTTCACAGAACAGTCCACAAAGTTCAACATTAGAGCAATTATAATAGTTAATATAGGTAGCGCTGACCCTTGTTTTGACCCTAGCCATCTTCAGATGTTTGGTAACCCATCTTCCCAGTCATCCTTTTTATGCCGTTCAGTGTTTTTGCACTCATGTTTTGCTGCTTGTCTGTCTTTGTTTGTTTAGTAATAATTTTAGAGAGGCAAGGGAAGGGGAGAAAGAGAAAAAATCATCAGTTTGATGTTCTAATTACTTATGCATTCATTGGTTTCTTCATGTATATGCCTTGACTAGGGATAGAACCTGCAACGTTGGAATATCAGGATGATTCACTGCTGAACCGCCTTGTGAGGGCTGATATTCTATTAGTCTTAATTGGATTTTTATTTCACTCTCCCATGATTGATTCTGTTTGTAGATAGCTGTCTACTTGTTCTGGAGGAAGGGAGAATTCTCGTATTTCTTATTCAGCCATCTTTTTGAAGTCACTCACATAGAACTCTTTTCTTTTTTCTGTGGTATCTTTTGTGCTTTGATATTCTATCACAGTGCTGTCCATGTACCTCTTCAGTTTTTCTCTCAGAATTTTTATCTTCTATATTGCATGTAATGACTCAACTGGGATTTAAGGGGAAGAATCATTTGTGCATTCCAGGAAGAATACAACTCTATCCATGGCAGGGTGTACTCAGGTAGTTGTGCCTGGTTAAGGGCTGTTGGAGAGGGTTTGACCCATGGCTTTGTTAAAGTCATAATTAGGATTAAGAATCTATTTTATATAAAAGAATTCTGTGCCCTGGCTGGTATAGCTCAGTAGATTGAGTGTGGTCTGTGAATCAAAGGGTTGCTGGTTTGATTCCCAGGCAGGGCACATGCCTGGAATGTGGGCAGGTCCCCGGTGTGGGGTGCGTGAGAGGTAGCCACACATTGATATTTCTCTCCTTTTCTTTCTTTTTCCTCTCCCATCTCTCCAAAAAAGTAAATAAATACATAAAGTCTTTTAAAAGAATAAATAAAAGTATTTTGTTGCCATTGCCAGTTTGTCACCTCATTCTATGTATTTTTATTTATTGTTTACACTCTGTCAACTATTTAGTTCTCAGTCTTCATTTCACTTAAATTCCCAGTCCACAGATAATCTTCATCTGTCTAAACCTTTCACCTCAGCCATTCTTTATGGGCTTTTTTTTTTACTGTACTCTAACTTTAGTGCAGTCTTGCAGACCCTTGGAGTGCATACATATAATTATGTTGACCTTGAATATAATATGCTCCAGTACAATTGATGTTGATGAGTTTGAGCTTATTCAAATTATTCTACACAGCCTCGCATCAATAGAAAAGGTCCTACAGAAAGCCACTTGAAGAAGAACAACTAGTAGAACCTGTCACTCTTTCTTGTGTTTCATCCAATGCTTGTGTCACCTCCTTAGTGAGGTCACCACCACTGACTGACTTTTGGGGCCAAGTAAAGTACAACAGCCATTTCTTCATTGTCTGACTCATGTGTCTTGAAAATGGTTTTAGAATCATCCCTAGATTTGGGAGATGGCCATGTGTGATGAGGCTATTCCTTCTTTATAAGGTCAACATATATTTCACCAGTGTGTCCTTTTGTTTAGGTTGCTGCTGTGGAACAGAATATGTGGAAACACTGATAGAGTGTTCCTGTAATGGTGTGAGAGACAAAGAATCTCAACATAGCTTTATCTTCCCAACAAAGCAACCCCTGTGAAATTTGTGGGCCTATCTTGAGTCACATTTTCCACTTGATTGAGCATCAGGAAGCACAAAACAGCCAGAAACTGTTGAGGTGCAGGGCATGTGCAAAACAATTTTATTTCAGTACAAAGTGTCACCAGCACCAGGAGCACCATGTGAGAGAGAAGCCTTTCGTAAGAGGTATGGACAGGATGTTACTTGCCAAGAGTTGCAATTATAATGTTTCCCAGAAGCTTTTTACCTGTAGAGAGGTTGGACTGGACATTCCTACTGAATCAGAACATCTCCAACAAGAGGCTACTCACACCAGGGACAGGTTGGATGAAATCTCAACTACTCCAGTGACTATCCAATGAAAAAATTATTCCACCCTGAATGAATGCAAAAATACTATTGCCTGCAACCACACATGTGTTCAGGAATGCATTTCTGTGGGAAGACAGTGTTTTGTGTGCCATGATTGTGGAAAGTATTCTGCTAGAATTCCAAGTTTTTGTTATTGCCAGAGACTTAACAGTGGAGAAAGGCCTTATGAGTGCAGTGAATGTAAGAAATCTTTCATCCAAAAAGTTGAACTTCATTTTCATAAGAGAGTTCATAATGGAAAAAGGCTTTATGAGTGCCGTGAATGTGAGAAATATTTTCACAGTACTGCTGGCCTCCATTATCATCAGAGAGTTGACACAGGAGAAAGGCCTTATGAGTGCAGTGAATGTGGGAAATTTTTTAAAACCAAATCCCACCTTAATCGTCATCAGACAGTTCACATAGGAGAAAGGCCTTATGAGTGCAGTGAATGTGGAAGCAGTAATCTTTTAACCAGTAGCACTGCTATCCATTATCATCACAAAGTTCATTCAGGCGAAAGACCTTATGAGCGCAGTCATTGTGGGAAATCTTTCATTCAAAAGTATCAAGTACTTCATTATGAGAGGCTTCACACAGGAAAAAGGCCATATAAGTACAGTTAGTGTCAGAAATCTTTTAGCCAATATTATAACCTTCTCCTGCACATAAGAGTTCAAACGGGCGGATGGACTGAGATGCATCAGAGACGTTCAGGTTTTTTTTTTTTTCTCCAAATATTCAATAGTGTAGGGAACTCTTTGAAGCCTTGTTCCTGGTAATCAAATCTCATATTGCCAAACATAAACACCAGGGAGGTTCTCCATAAATTTATTTTTTACATGGGAACCATGTATGTTCATGTTGTACTTACTGTTTACCCAGGACTCTTCAGTTCACGGCAAAGCAAATTTCTGTGCTGATGGTATTTCACCTGCAGCAACCTGTAAGTTTCCAGGAGATGCTTTGTATGGATTATTCCTTATACCCCTACTAGCTGACACAGCTCTAACTCAGTTTTGTCCCAGAGAAAATCATCTGAAGTGGAGGTGACTTTTCCTGCAAGTCCCCCTGTCCCGCCATAAATGAAAGTAAACACTACCAAGTGCTTGGGGAGAAAACATGGTTGATCTCTCAAAGGGGAAGGGCCAGGAGCCCCTTCCTCCAGGTGCTTATATTGGGTTGTAATACACAGGAATACAGGGTGGAAAGGATCAAACAGTAGATAACATTTCAAAGAAATCTGAGGGCTTAGTCTGAGACAGTGTCAGGAAAGGGGGTTGCAGAAACTTTGGGAGACATACTCATTTCCTGCTCAGACCTTTATTTATCATATGAATGAAAGCACTCCTAGCAAAACAGGTTTCACAGGACTGAGGAATTCTTTCTTATGCCTGATTACCCCGGGGAACCTGCCATTCCCAGCTCAAGGCTGCACCACCCTTTGTCATTGTTTTCAGGCTTAAGTCAGGCAGAGGAGGCAGATAGCCAAAGAATTCTTGGAGACTGCTCGCAGAGAGACTGAGGACTCAGGCTTTGTCAAAGCCGGGGGGTGAGGGTCCATCACCCCCTTTCTCCATAGCCCCCCAGGTCTTTCCCTGGGGCCTCCACATGATCATGCCTGTCTTAGGTGATTCCCTCCTTGGGGAATCTTACCCATTATTGGCTAACTGATCAAGCATTGGAGGCCAGTTGCAGAAAAAGGAGCAGAAGCGGCACTCCTGCCAGGGAGATAAGCTTTGTCTCCTTAGTGGCTTATGGTTCGAAGGTCACTCACTCAGCCTTAGCCATGGGGGGTTTCAGCTCCTGAAACCAGGCAGGGTGGTCCCCAGCAATCTGAATTCAGCTGTCAGTTTGCTGAAGGACTTCCTTTGAGGGACATGTTTTTTTTTCCATACCAGTAATAATGTTTGAGTTTCAAATCACCAATACGAGAACTGCCAAGCCAATATTCCTTGGTTCGTAAAATCATCAAGACTTTTTTTCTAAGTCTTCTTTAATCTTACTGCTCTATTTATTGTGTGTAGTAGTTTAGAAATAGTTATCTTCTGTACAAGCGTAAAGACATGGACACCTTTTATGTATGTCTCAAACTTTCTCTGCCTCCATGTGGACTGTTGGTGCAGAATTAATTCAGTGTTTTTTTGTAAACCTGCATCCTGCTCACATCCACCTAGGCAAGACTGTGGGCTCTAGTTCTCATGAGAAGGCTCAATGCTGTGAATTCAAAGATCATGCCAAAGAAGGGGTAGTTACAACATCCTCAAGTACTCTGGGAGCAGCATGAATTTTATTGTTTGTAAAGGATGTAATTAGTATTTTAGCGAGTCTGTGGCCCAGGGCTTGCAAAAGGGCCATATGCCATAATGTCTGCGATTACATGGGTGATGGTGACTAGTTGCAGAACCATAGAGGTTAGGGGAAACTGATTGAAACAGAAACCCTGGCCTAATAGGTGCTGGAGGAGACTGCAGCCAACTGGATGGAATGTGCCTCTTCTGAGTGTGCGTCCAGAAACTTTTCTTACAAAAATACTGCAAGGTCAGTGTGTACAAAAATCACAGGATCAGCAGGAATATTTATCTTCTGTTGATTCAGTCACTATGAATATAATCAAAAAGTGTTCTGGCTGTGACCATGTAGATCACTTGGTTAGAGTGTCATCTTGATATGCTTCAGTTCTGATTTTAAACTCCAATCAGGGCACATGCAAGAACCAACAAATAAATGCACATGTAAGTGAAACAACAAATACAAATTTGTCTTTCAAGTTAATAAAATTAAAAAATACATATATTTGTGGATTTCTGTCTTCTGTCAGATTTTCATGTCAGAGCCACTGGTACCCTGTAGAAAGAAAAAAAATAATGTATCTAAAGTTGAGGGATGTCACAATTTTGAAACAGGCAGCAGTCCTGTTTGTTTCAGTGAGTTTTTATTGTTGGTTATTTTTTAATAGATTTTATTTATCTTTAGAGAGAAGGGAAAGGAGGGATTTAAAGAGGGAAAAAAACATGACGTGTGAGAGACACATCAGTTGGTTGCCTCACACATACGTCCAACTGTGCACCAGGCCCACAAATCAGGGAACCTTCCCTGACTGGGAATCAAACTGGTGACCCTTTAGTCTACAGGCTGGCTGTCAATCCACTGAGCCATACCAGTGCGCTCTTGTAGTCTATACTGTGAACGAGGTAAGTTTCATACAGAGCACATGAGAGAGTTTTGAATATATAGCTGCTAAACCTATTTTCAAAAAGTTGAATATACAGATTTTAGTAAACATTTCAAGTATAATTGATTAGTCTTCACTTACACATAATACTAAAGCCATCATCATCATAATACTGATCATTACTGTCGCTGGCAGTTTGTTTCATGGCCATTTTATTTTTTCTCAGCCCTTCACAACTCTGTAAGTAAACATTGATTTATATTCCATTGTAATAAGATTAACTATATTTCTTGCATTATTGCATATATATTTGTATATTAATGATATATTAGTAATGTTAGTAAAATATATAATATTTTACTATATTAGTACTATATTAGTAAAAACATTTCCCAGGGAATGTTTTTCCTGAGAAATATTCTTACCTTTGAAGTTAGCACTATGCTTTTATCCATTCTAGGCCACAGCAGAGGCCCTTACCCAGGTTCCAGTTAGCAGACAAAACCGCACTTTTTAGGATGCAGTTTGTAAGAAAAATAAAATGGAAGTTATAGAGAATACTAACCACGGCCACAGCCAAGGTCCTCTAAGCACAGACCAGATACTAGGAAAGTTGCACCATTTGGACTGTAAATACTGAATTCTAACATCAGTGTTACTCTGTAGCTTTGGGATTCTTTACATGTGTGATTATCTCGCTATTTATATTTTATAGTATTTTATTAGCATGCTTTTAAAGAGTGTGTAGCTTTCACTAAAGCCAGCAGGAAGATTTAACATCCATCTTTACCAAAGACATGTTAGTAAAATGTTCCTGTAGATCTCATTTGTAATTCATGCTCTGTAATGGTGAAAAATGAGTATACAACAATTGCTATCAAAACATTAAGGTTCACTAGTGTACTGAATAAAAGTCTTCATTCTCTTAACTTCATAGGTAGCAAAGCTTTTATTGTGGACATCATTAGGTCCAGGGTGCTCACACAGTATTCAGAGGAAGAATACTTCAGACAGGTATAGAGGGAACATGGAGGGGAGATATTTGGCATCCCCAAAGCAAGTACATATGGTTTCTCCAAACCGTTAGTTTCCTCAGAATATATTCCACCGGGCTGTTTTTCAATGCTTGTTTTGCAATCTCATGAAATACTTGTTTTCTTCCATAACGTTTCTTAATGTATTTTGGGAATATGGCTTGTTGTTTCTAACAATAAAGCATATATCTGGGAGTATGGTTCCATTTGCTACCAAGATGCCTACAATGTTGTCATACATAAAAATGTTGAAAGTGGGCATTTGACCCTGAGAAAAAGGTTTTGGATTCAAAGACCTCATCTCACTGGGAAATAGTAATCATTTCAGCTATATTTGCATGTGACAGTTCTTACTGAATATTTTGAGACACAGTCTGTTCTGAAAATCTAAGAGTGTGACATGTACCTGAGAATAATGATGACATACCAAATTTATATTCAGTGCCAGGATAGGTGCATGTTGGTCTATGTTTAGGTTGGGAAAGTGATCATTTTAGGTTGGGAAAATGAATTACTCCAAGAGAATAATTTTCCCTTTCAGGATTTAACCCCCTTGCTGGGAAATGATCATTACACCTGTAAATACAGTGACGGTGTATACATGGGACTGCAGATTATTTCTGGTGTGAAGTGAAGGGGTGAGCAAACTGCAGAAAGGTATGAATGATGATTACTGGGGTTATAAAATGAATACTTTTGAAATATCTGGAAGACAAAAGGCTCTGAAGCTTCAGAATTGGTTAAGTCTCAACGGGAGGTAATTAATGGACGTTAAATTCTAAGCAATGAGAGAATTTACATATTCTATAGCTATGCTGGAAACGTGGTTATCAAAATTGTTTCTACAAATTGAGTCCTATTTATTCATTAGAATTTGAGGGAAAAAAAAGTGAGGTGAGAAGGATAATGTAAGGTGAGAGCAGATAAAGTTAGAATTGTGAAAGAATAGCCATGGAATTATGTGTCATTGCTTTAATAACCCATTACTAATTATCTCTCTGCTTCCAAGGCTTATCTAGGTCTGTGATATACACCAGTGAATAAAGAAATGTGATCACAACCAGGTTGGTTCAATGGTTTTATTGAAGGAGTAGCTATGAATTGAAAGAATAACTTCTGTTGTAGAAACTGTTGGGTGATAGATGATATGGAAACATAAGCTGAGCAGCACTCAGGGGTACCAAGCATGTGGATCCTGAGGGTTTTAAGATCACACAGTTAGCCCTGGCTGGTGTGGCTCAGTGGATTTAGTGCCTGCCAGTGAAAAAGGTTGCAGGTTCAATTCAAGTCAGAGTACATACCTGGGTTGCAAGCCAGTTCCCCAGTTAGGGATATGTGAAGTGCAATTGATTCTTATTTCTCTTGAATATTATCAATGTTTCTCACCTTGTCTTTCTCCCCTGAGTATAATTTATAAATGTTTGTAATTTGAGCACACTGAGAATGCCTGAAACATTTTGCATGATGTCTATAAAGTACAAATTCTCTTTCACTATGATAAACACCATAGGACTTACACATTAACAAAAAAAAAAACCCCAGTAATTGTCAGAATTCAATTCTCCCACTTAAAAAAAAATTATATTAATTGATGTTCGAACTGTAAACAATAGACATCTTGTTTCCTTCAAAGGCTTGTCCTACAGTATTGTGTTATATTTGTCACATACATATATGATGGTGTAAGTAGGTCATTTGTGTGAGAAAATTTTTCGGATTCTGTAATCCAGACATACCTCTTTTATTATGACTCGCTGTAGTGGTCTCACAGATAATGTGTTTTTTTATTAATATGGACTCAAGCCCCTTCACCAGGAAAGGATAACTTTCATTAGCCATTTTCAAGATGTGACTTTCCTGACCATCTGGCATTTCCCAGCACCCCAAGAGGTGGCTCTTGGTCTTTTCTGCGGAAGTGATGTGGGAAAACCTCTGATCACAGCTATGGATTCTCAGACCCATATTACCCAGAACACCCTGAGAGGAATGCAGCCACGCCCACACAATGAAGCGTCAGAAAAGAGATTTCCGTTGGGACGTTCCCGATAGGGGTGGAACTTCCGGAGTCTTTCTGCAGCGGGCATTTTGCTTCGGCCGTAATCCGTTCAAGTTTGTGTTTTAAAGCTCCAGACCGCTGAGTGCTGGTAGAGATGCCGGGGCGGGGAAGGCGCCAGAGTCGCGGTCCACACAGCACACACGGCAGCAAGAAGCTGGACGACGCTCCCCATGTGACTTGCGCCAGGGCCGGGTCAGGGGCGGTCGACCCGGGAGCGTCCTCTGGTACCTCTGTTACCGCCCAGCCTCTCCCACGGAGTCCTTTGGCGGCCGTGCGGAGACCCCCCGCCGAGGTGAGTGCAAGTCCTCTCACACCTCCCCCCCTTCAACGCCTCACCACAGCGAACCGTACATCCAGGTGTACGAATGTTCTGCAGCCCAGGACCTGCGTTGAGGACGTTGAGGAAGGCTCATTGGAGAGAGTGTTGTGGTTTCTTAGGACACAACAAGTACAGTGCAGAGTGGACGGAGTTTTTCGAATCTATATTTCCCGAGAACATCATGTTCTCGGTGGTGACTGTTGAAGGAAATCATGAGGCAAGCACGGAGGACTTAAGCGCCTCATTTGGGGCTTTGAGAGGCTGTGAGACCTGTTAGAAAACGGGTTGTGCTGGATCCTGCTGGAACCTTCCAAGCATTCTGTGGATGCCATATGCCTAGCTTTGGGGTGAGTCACAGGTGAGTCCACCTGTGCTATGGTGCATAAAGGTGGAGGAGCTGAGAGAGTGAACATGGAGTTTTAAGACGTGAAAGAGAAAAACATTCCACAACGGTGTGCAAAAGTAGGGAAGTGGAAGTGCGAGCTGATGGTCCTGAGCCCTGGTGTGAGGGAATAACGGTGATGTACTTTGGAGGCATGATCTGGGAGACTCAGTGGAATATTTGGCAGAAAGGATGGGACCCTACAATCATGGGCCAACACTTAGATGGCATTGATCTGCCATCCCCTGTGTCCCCCAAGCAAGCTGCTGCTGCTGAATGTGTGAACAATAATGAATGGGATTGTGATGAGAGAGCAGCCAGCCCTGGCATTAGAGCTTGGTGTCCACACTGCACTGGGGAGCCCTGGAGGAAATTGATCGTGGGGAGGATGTGTAAATAGTATGATTGTGGTTCTCAGGCTTCGCTGGGTTCACTTGTCTCAATTCTGACAGGCTGGTGTGACCTTTGCGGACATTGCCCTGTACTTCTCCAGGGAAGAGTGGTGCCTCCTTGATGAAGATCAAAGACGCCTGTACCTGGATGTGATGCTGGAGAACTTTGAACTAATAATCTCATTGGGTAATACCTTCACTCTGCCAGTGATATGGACTAGGTTTTGCATTTCCTTATGCCACCTGTTCTCTTGCGGGTGATCTCTCCTCTTATGTGGACTGTAAGCACTGCTTGATTTTCCAGTTTTCTGAGTAGTTACTTTCCTTATTAGGGTTGGTTTGTTTGCACTGCTCTTTTCTCCACCTGCAATACCAGTGCGTGATCTACTGAACTCATAGGGAAGGATTTACAGTTTGAGTTGCAGGGAGCCAAATACATTCCACCTTGATTAATGAGAAAAAGCATTTTTGTATTCTTGTTCGTCATTTGTGTATATGTTTTTGGACAATTGTCCCTACATTTTTGGCTAATAAATCTTTTGAATCTCTTGTGTATTTTATATATTGATTTCTTTTTCACCTGTTGGTACATGGCTTCTTTTTGCTTCATAGATACTGCTTTTTAAAATATATATAATTTTAGTGTTTTTGGTAACCGTGTGTTCTGCAAGTCCAGATGCCATTTTTTCAGCTGGCTCAGATGCAGATTATTATTAGTGTTTAGTGTCCAACTTTTTAAAAGATTTTATTTATTTAATTTTAGAGAGAGGGGAAGAGAAGGAGAAAGAGAGTACGCGAAACATCAGTGTGTGTTTACCTCTTGCATGTCCCCCACTAGGGACCTGGCCTGCACCCAGGCATGTGCCCTGACTGGGAATTGAACCAGCGACCCTTCGGTTCTCAGGCCCACGCTCAATCCACTGAGCTACACCAGCCAGAGGTGTTAAATTATTTTTAACTGATGATACAGAGGTGTTGCTTTTTTAATAGCCTGCCGTATATTATTGACATAGTTTATTATTCACTGGGAAATCCATAAATTCATGTTGGTTTTTTTTTTTTAACTGAACCCACAGTATCTCCAAGCCATATTTTTATATAGTTTGCAAGATTTTCTTCCATTCTGAGATTGTTGGGTTTTTTTTTCTTATTTTTCATTTTTTTGTAGATGTTAATTGATTTCTATTTTTAGGTAGAAGTGAAGGGAGGGAAAAAGAGAGGGAGAAACAGCTGAGTGATAGAGAAACATTGATCCTTTGCATCTGTCTCCCAACCCAGCCAGTAACTGAACCCACAACCCAGTCATGTGATCTGTCCAGTAATCCAGCAGGCCACCTTTAGTTTTGCAGAGTGACACCAATCAAATGAGCCACAGTCCTCAGGGCTGCGGTTTCATTCCATTTTGTTGGTTGTTCTTGTTTTGTGAAGAAGCTTTTTCATTTGTTGAGTTCTGCAGTTTTTTTATTTGCTTTCCTGCCCAGTGATTGTTCTCAATTCAGAAAATTATTTGAAAAAGAAATACACCACCCTGACTGGTGTGGGTCAGTGGGTTGAGCATTGTCCTGCAAACTGAAAGGCTGCAGGTTGGATTCCCAGTCAGGGAACATGCCTGGGTTGCTGGCCATGTCCCCAGACTGCGGTGTGGTAAAGGCAACAGAGTGATGCTTGGGTGGCATATTGATGATTCCACCATCTCTTTCTTCCTCTCTTTCTCCTTCTCTTCTCCTTTCACAAAAAGTATAAATAAAATCTTTAAAATAAATAATTGTATAGATTTTAAAAAAAGCAAATCTCTTAAACTTCTTTTCTAGGTTGTCTTGAGGAAGTTAAGTTTATGGGCTGACATTTAATTTTTTCATGCAATTTGAGATGATTTTTTTAACAGTGGTTTTCAGTTTTGTTGTTTTACATGTGAATGTCAATGTTCCCAACACCATTTATTAAGCAAACTTTTAAAAAATATTTTTTATTTAATTTCTTAAAAGATTTTAGACAGAGGGGCAGGGTGGGAGAAAGAGCGGCAGAGAAACATCAATGTGTTGTTGCCCCTTGTGTGCCCCCCACTGGGGAACCAGTGTGCAACCCAGGCATGTGCCCTGGCAGGGAATTGAACTAGTGATCCTTTGTTTTGCAGGCTGGTTCTCAATCCACTGAGCCACACCAGCCAGAGTGGAAACTCTCTTTTCTTTCTTATGCATCTCGTGTTTTTATCAAAGATTAAACACTTTGATGTGACTCTTTATTCTGTGTTGTCTGTTCTATTAGTCTGTTTGTACATTCATTTTATTTTTGACTTTTAAAAAGACTATTTATTTATTTGTTTATTTATAGACAGAGGGGAAGGTGGGGGAAGAAACAGAGAGAAACATCAGTGTGCCAGAGATACCTCAATGGGTTGCCTCTCACATGCTCCCAACTGAGGACCTGGCTTACAACCAGGGCATGTGCCCTGACTGCCTGTCATACCAGAGACCTTTCTGCTCACAGGCGAGCACTTAGTCCACTGAACCACACCAGTTAGTGCTGCATTCATTTTACTGACACACTGTTTACATGCTTTGGTTTTGTAATAGATTGAATCAGGATGTGTGACACCATCAAGTTTGTTCTTTTTCAAGATTCCTTTTGCTGTTTGAAATCTTTTGATGTTCCCTGCATTTCAAGATTATTTTTTATGTGTAAAATACCATTTGAGTTATCATCAAAATTGTATTTAATTTGTAGACTGATTTGATTTGGGTAGTATAGATATTTTAATGATACTAACTTTTAAAATTTTAGAGCACTGGCTTTCTTTACACTCATTTGTCATCACTTTTATCGAACTCTTATGGTGTTCAGTGTCAAATACTTCATGTTTATTGTTTGAATTTATTCCTGTGAATCTTACTTGTTTTTGATGCTATTGTAACTTTGACTACCATCTTCATTTCTTTATTTACTTTTTAATCCTGATGTAAGGATATATATATATTGATTTTAGAGAGAAAGGGGTGGGAGGCAGGAGAGAATGATAATGAACCATGGATGTGAGAGAAAAATTTCTTGCTTGTCTCTTACATATGCCCCAACTGGGGACCAACTAGCAACTTAACTTTTGTACCCTGACCTGGAATCAAACCCACAACTCTTTAAATGATTGGGACAATGATCCAATGAACTGAGCCACCTGGCTATGGTTCTTTATTTCTTTATAAGGTAATTTATTATTAGTGTGTACAAATGGAATTGATATTTGTATGTTGCTTTAGTATCCTGTAAATTTTCTCAAATTATTTATGTGCTACTAAAAAAATTTTTGCTTTTTCATATTAGAGAGAGGAAGGGAGCCTTGGTCTGTGGTTCCACTCATGTATGCATTCAAGGGGTAGAGCACAGTGTTCCCTGGAGGACATTGAATCCATGATCTTGGCACATGGAGTCCATGCTCTCAGCTACCTGAACAGGACTCTGAAGTTGTTTATTAATTTCAGAAGTTTGTAGTTGGAATTTGACAGTTTTTTTACACAGGATAATTAATGGCATCTGCCAACATCTTTTATAAAGCATTGTTCCTCAGGGTCATGTGTAATGTCTATTTGTACTGTTTGCTCTAAACTGTAGTCCATTTTCAGTAATTCCTTATTTCTGTTGGATGGGATGATCTACTTAGTGTTGAAGAGTTAATATTGAAGTTACCTGCTGATGTTGGATTTCTTTTTCTGCCTTCAGATCTGATATCATTTGCTTAACATATTTGTTTCTTGTATTGTTTAGTGCATGATATTTAAAATTGTTATCCTGGAATTGACTTATTTTTCATTCTGTCATGACCTTAGTCCCTTGTGAGTTTTTGAGGAAGCTTTTTGGCCCGATAGAAATTTAACTACAGCTGCCATATTCTGGTTTCATTTGCATGCGGTTTTTGTATCTCTTTATTTTCAGCCTGATTATGTCCATAAAGGTGTACGGTCTTTTGTAGGCAACATATATAGTATCTCATTTTTAAAAAATATCTTCAGTCACACGATGTATTTTTTTAAATAGATTTTATTTATTTATTTTTAGAGAGAGAGGAAGGGAGGGAGAAAGACAATAGAGAAAAACATCTGCGTGTGACAGAACCATCAATTGGTTGTCTCTTGCTTATCTCCTATAGTAGACCTGGGCCACAACCCAGGCATGTGCCTTTAATGGGATCCAGCTAATAACTTGGCCATTTGTGGGAGAATGCCCAACCTGCTGGATCATACCACTCAGGGCCATTCTTTTGTTTGGGAATTTGTTTAAGGAGCACCTATTGCCATTTCTTCTTTGGTTTCATCCTATTGCAGTTTCTTTGTGTGTCTTCCTGTCTTGTGGTCTTCCTTCATGATTTGATGACTTTGTATTATTTGATTCTTTTCTCTTTTGTGTAATTATTGCATACATTTTACCTGGTGATTTGCAAAAGACTTACATGAAACAACTTATGCTCTTTACAATTTATTTTATCCTGATAACACCTTCCTTGCATACAAAAATTCTACCTTTTGCATCTCCACCACATATCCCTTTATAGGTGTTTGATGTCACAATTGACATTTTTTATATTTTGTATCTGATGAGGTATAGAATGTTATCGTCATTGTTTTTACTAGATTTAATTTTAAACGTTTATGATAGTTACATAGTACACCTTCCACCAATCCAGTGCTACAGTATAGTAAATTTTATTTCATTTTCACCCTTACTAGTGAGAATTATACTTCCCTGTGTATTCGAGTTTTTATTCAGTATTCTTTAATTTTACCTTTTTAAAATGTATGTATGTATGTATGTATGTATGTATGTATTTATTTATTTTTTAGAGTGAGGGGAAGGGACGGAGAAAGAGAGGGAGAGAAACATCAATGTGTGGTTGCCTCTCTCAAGCTCCCTACTGGGTACCTGGCCTACAACTAAGGCATGTGCCCTAACTGGGAATCAAACTAGCAACCGTTTGGTTTATAGGCCCATGCTCAATCTTCTGAGCTACACCAGTAAGGGCCTTTCATTTTATCTTATAGAACATTTTTTGGCATTTCTAATAAGTCAGGTTAAGTGGCATTGACTTTCCATAGCTTTTGTTTCTGGGAAGGTATTTTTTTCAAAGACCAGGTTCCTGGATCTTAGAGTTTTAATTTATTTTCTTCTAGTCTGCAATTTTTTGAGTATATTTTATTGATTATGCTATTACATTGTTCCATTTTTCTCCCTTTTAACCCATCCATGTGGTACGCCTATTCCTTGTAGCATTCCCTCCTTAGTTCATGTGCATGGATCATACTTCTCAGTGTTTAGCTTCTCCATTTCCTGTACTATTCTTAATGTTCCCCTGTCTGTTTAGTACCTACCAATTATGGTTCTTTTTCCCTGTACCTTTTAAGGCATTAATACCCATTTGTTTGGTATCAATTACTGAAAAATTATTATGTTCTTTTGGTAATGTCCTTTTTATTCTGTATTTATGTTTATGCATTTGATGAAGTAGTAACTTCTTTCAATTTTATGGACCCATTCTGGCCAGAGAAATATATCATCTACATGTGGGTTTAAGAGTTGGCTGAGTTGGTGTTGTGTTTCAGTCTTGAGACAATTTCCAGACCTAGTCTCCTTGATGCTACGTGAGCTGATGATGTTAGAATAACAATAAATGTACCAGTCCACAGTTGCTTTGGCAGCATTTCTTTTCAGTGACAGTCGAGGGTTTTGGAGTCTCTGGTGGCAAATACTGCTGGGACATATGGGACATACTATTTTTGTGGTCTTCTTACACAAGGTTATTAACAAGGGATTTGTTCTGGCATCATGCTGAGAAACTCTGTAGGGTCCCCTGATATGTAAACTGTGGGGAGTTCATAGATGTTGCAGGGACTTATTTAGTTCTTAGAAACAGAAATATCCAGTGTTTTTCACTGAACAGTTCACTAAGTTCAACCTTAGAGCAATTAGTGGTTGAAAAAGGTAACACTGACCCTTGTTTTTGATCCTAGCCATCTTCAAATGTGTTTACTAACCCATCGTTTCTAGTCATCCTGTTTATGCTGTTCTGTGTTTTTCCAAATTGGCTTTGCTGCTTGTCTTTATTTTTTTGTTTGTTTATGAATTGATATCAGAGAGGTAAGAGAAAGGCAGAGAGAGAGAGAATCTTCCATTTGTTGCTCCATTCATTTATGCATTCATCCGTTGCTTATTGTATGTGCCTTGACTGGTGATCAAACCTGGAATGCTTCCATATCAGGATGACACATTATCAACAGAGCCACGTTGTGAGGACTGATTGGATTAGTCTTAATTGGATTTTTATTCCACTCTCCTGGGATTGATTCTGTTTGTGGATAGCTGTCTACTTATTCTGGAGGAAGGGAGAATTCTCGTATATCTTATTTGGCCAGCCTCTTGAAGTCACTCACATAGAACTTGTTTCTTTTTTCTGTTTTATCTTTCATGCTTTGATATTCTATCACAGTGCTGGCCATCCACCTCTTCAGTTTTTCTCTCAGAATTTTTATCATCTATATTCCATGTAATGACTCAACTGGGATTTAAGGGGAAGAATCATTTGTGCATTTCAGGAAAAATATGACCTTGCCATCCATGACAGAGTGTACCCAGAGGCAGTCATGCCTTGATGAAGGGCTGTTGGAGAGGGTTTGACCCATGGACTTCATTAAAATCATCATTAGGAACCTATTTTATTTGAAAGTATTTCGTGTCCTGGCTAGTGTAGCTCAGTGGATTGAACATGGGTTGCAAACCAAAGGGTCGACCGTTTGATTCCCAGTCAGGGCACATGCCTGGGTTCCAGGTCAGGTCCCCGGTGGGGGGGCATGAGAAAGGCAACCACACATTGATGTTTCTTTCCCTCTCTTTCTCCCTTTCTTGTCCTGTCTCTAAAAATAAATAAATAAAATCTTTAAAAGTATTTTGTTGCCATTGCCAGTTTGTCACCCCATTCTAACTATTTTTCTTTGTTGTTGACACTTTGTCAACCACTCAGTTCTGTCATCATTTCACTCACATTCCCAGCCCACAGATGGGCTTTTGTACACTTTTCACCTCAACCATTTCTCATACGGTTTTATTTATTTATTTATTTATTTATTTATTTATTTATTTATTTATTTTTTACTGTGCTTTATCTTTGGTCCAAGCTTGCAGACCCTTGTAGTACACACATCACACATATCATTATCTTGACCTTGAACATGATATGCTCTAGTACAATTGATGTTGAGTAGTTTGAACTCATTCAAATTACTCTACACACTCTTACATTACCTGCAGAAAAGGTCCTACAGGAGACCATTTGTGGAAGAAGAGTTAGACCCTGTCTCCCTTCCTTATGGTTCATCCTTTGCTTGCATCTCTTCCGTGGCGAGGTCACCACCACTGATACACTTTTGGGGCCATTTCTTCAGTGTCTGACTCACTTCTATTGAAAATGGTTTCATAGGATCATCCCTAGGTATGACAGATGGCCATGTTGAAGAGATTCTTTCTTTATAAGGTCAACATATACTTCACCAGTGTTTCATTTTGTTCAGGTTGCTATTGTGGAGCAGAGAATGTGGAAGCACTGATTGAACAGACTGTTCCTGTAAGAGTGTCACAGGCAGAGAATCTCAAGGTAGCCTTGTCTTCAGTGAAGAGCCACCCCTTTGAGAGTTGTGGGCCTGTCTTGAGACATATTTTCCACTTGATTGATCATCAGGAAGTACAAAACATCCAGAAACTGTTGAGGTGTAGAGCATGTGCAAAACAATTTCATTACAGTACAGATATTTACCAGCACCAGGAGCACCACCTGAGAGAGAAGCCTTTTGTGAGAGGTGTGGACAGGGTGTCACTTGCCAAGGCTTGCAATTATACTGTGTCTCAGAAGTTTTTTTCCTCTTGGGACTTTGGATTGGACATCCCTATCCAGTCAGAACATCTCCATCAAGAGGCTACTCACACCATGGACAGGCTGGATGAAATCTCAATGACTCGAGTGACTATGCAACGAAAAAATTATTCCACCCTGAATGAGTGCAAAAAAGCTGTTGACTGCAGTCACACATATGTTCAGAGCAAGAGTGTTTCTCATTGGAGACAGTGTTTTGTGTGCCGTGATTGTGGAAAATATTTTGCTAGAATTCCTAGTTTTTGTTATCAGAAAGTTAACAATGGACAAAGGCTGTATCAGTGCAGTGAATGTGGGAAATCTTTCATCAAAAAGGGTGAATTTCATTCTCATCAGAGAGTTCATAATGGAGAAAAGCCTTATGAGTGCAGTGAATGTGGCAAATCTTTTAAAACAAAATCGATCCTTCATCGTCATCAGGCAGTTCACACTGGAGAAAGGCCCTATCAGTGCAGAGTATGTGGGAAATCTTTTAAACGTACCCATAACCTTTATTGTCATCAGAGACTCCATACAGGAGAAAGACCTTATGAGTGCAATGAATGTGAGAAATCTTTCACCAGTAGCACTCACCTCCATTATCATCAGAGAGTTCATACAGGAGAAAGGCCTTATGAATGCAGTAAATGTGGGAAATCTTTCATCAGTAGCACTAACCTCCATTATCATCAGAGAGTTCACACAGGAGAAAGGCCTTATGAATGCAGTAAATGTGGGAAATCTTTCACCAGTAGCACTAACCTCCATTATCATCAGAGAGTTCACACAGGAGAAAGGCCTTATGAGTGCAGTGAATGTGGGAAGTCTTTTTGCAGTAGCACTGGCCTCCGTATTCATCAGAGACTTCACACAGGAGAAAGGCCTTATGAATGCAGTGAATGTGGGAAATCTTTTTGTAGTAGCACTGGTCTCCGTTACCATCAGCGATTCCACACAGGAGAAAGACCTTATGAATGCACTCAATGTGGGAAATGTTTTAAAAGAGTTCATCACCTTCATTGTCATCAGAGTGTTCATACTGGAGAAAGGCCTTATGAGTGCACTGAGTGTGGGAAATCTTTTCGTGGTGTCACTGACCTCCGTTTTCATCAGAGAGTTCACACCGGAGAAAGGCCTTTTAGTTGCAGTCAGTGTGGTAAATCTTTCATCCAAAAGCATCAACTTCATCGTCATCAGAAACTTCACATGGGAAAAGCCTTATAAACGCAGTTAATGTGGGAAATATTTTAGCCAAAATGATTCTATCCTTCCTCCACACATGAGTTGATATGGGAGGAAGGTCTTAGAAGTGTAGGAAATGTACACTTTGTGTGTGTGTGTGTGTGTTAACAATACTGGAGGAAACTTTTTTAAGCATTATGTTTGGGAATCAAACCTTATACAGCCAAACATGAACAGTAGGAAAGTCCCCTATAATTTTTCTTTGTATGGAAGGCCTGTGTGTCCATGTTGTACTTTCTTTATTTATCCAGGTCTCTTTTCAGATTCATGTCACTGCAAATTTCTGTACTGAAGATATTTCACCTTCAGCACCTATAATGTTCCCAGAGATGCATGAGTCATCATCCTAATGTGCTCAGAGAAGGTAACTGTTTTTTGATTTGTGGAAGGAAAAAAAGTTAGGAGTAGCCTAATTTTCAGGGCTTTATTCCTTTCACTCCTACTCATTGGCATAGACCTTGCTCAGTTTGGGCCTACAGAAAATCACCTGAGTTCAGCTGTCAACTTGCAGAAGGACTGCCTTTTTGGCAACATGCATTTTTTGCATACTAGTAATTTTGGGTGTCTACAAGACACAAATACAGGAACTGCCAAGCTAATCACATTTTGGTTTGTAAAGGCCTTTTTCTTAAGTCTAATCTTGGGTGCTCTATTTATTGAATAGGGTAGTTTATAAAACAGTTTTTTGCCTTACAAACAGAGATGTGAACAACTTTCATGTGTGTCTCAAACTTTCTCTGCCTCCTTGGGGACAGTTTGGTACAGAATTTAACTCAGCAGCTTTTTCCAAACTTGCATCCCTGCTTATATCCACCCAGGCAAGACCTTGCTTTCCCTAGTTCTCATGAGAAGCTTCAATGCTGTGAGTTTTGGGAGACACAGAGATCACTCCAAAGAAGCAGTAGCTTTAACAACCTCAGATACATCTTGCAGCAGCATGGATTTTTTTTGTTTGTTTGTTTGTAAAGTATGGCAAGTCTTCTGAAGGGAAGCTTTGGCCAGGTCTTGCAAAGGGCCATGTGCCATGAAGTGTGCAGTTCCATAGGTGATGGTCACTATTAGTAGCCCGCAGAGGTTACGGGAGACTGTGATTACAACAGAAACGCTGGCCTACTAGGTGCTGGAGAGACTGCAGCCATTGAGATGTAGTATGCCTCTTCTTAGTGTGCAACCAGAAACATTTCTGAGAAAAAGACTGCAGGATCAGTGTGTACACAAATCAATGAATCTGCAGAAATATTTTTCTTACATACTGTCATTAAATAGAATCCAAAGTTTTTCTGAGTGTAATGACAGCTCAACTGGTTACAATGTTATCTTTATGCCAATGTTATGATTTCAATGTCTGGTTAGGGCACATACAAGGGCACATATCGTAAGGGGAACAACAAATGTAGATTTGTCTCTCTCTCCTCACCCCCACTCTCCCTTTAGCCCTCATATCCTTCTGTCCCTCCCTCCCCTTCTTCTTGCTTTCTTTCTAAAATAAATAAAATATTTCATGTCAGAACCACTGGTGCCCTTGTAGAAAGAAAAATAAAGTGTATCTGTAGTCGAGGGATGTTGCTATTTTGACCCAGGCAGGAGTCATCTTGGTTTCACTCAGTATTTATTGTTGGCTATATTTGCTGTTACTGAGCCAAAGTCTCACTTAGAGCATATGAGAACATGTTTTGAATATAGAATTGCTAAACCTATTTTTAAAAGTATTTGTCGCGGTTCGATTCCCAGTCAGGGCACATGCCAGGGTTGTAGGCAGGTTCCCTGCAGGCCAGTTCCCTGCAGGGGACGCACGAAAGGCAACCATACATTGATGTTTCTCTCCCTCTCTCCTTCCCTTCCCCTCTAAAGATAAATAAATAAAATCTTTAAAAAAAAAATAAAAATAAAAATAAAAATAAATAAATAAAAGTATTTGGACATACAAATTTTTTAAGTCTTGTACCATTTTTTAAAAGCTTTAATTAGTAAAATTACATTTCAAGGATAATATTTGATTAGTGTTCACTTATATATGATATTAAAACCATCACCATTTTCATAATACTGCCCATTACTGTCATTGGAAATTCATGGAAATTTTAATCTTTCATGCCGTCACAGGTCTATAAGTAAACATTGACTTATATTCCATTGTAATAATAACTGAGAATAACTGTTTCTTTTGCTTTCATTTCCATTGCATATGTGTTTGGAGATTTATTAATGAAATATTAGTAACTCATCTGTTTTAGCTAAGAAATAATCTTTGAAGTTTGCACTATAAATTTATCCATTCAAAATGATAATTTCTAATTTTTTACTTTAAATGTAGTACAGATATTTATATATAATTTTCTAACATGGATATATGTTTCTTTCATTTTACCTTTGTCAATTACATAGGGCACAGTTTGAGTTGTAGAGTAGGCGAATGTTTTAATACAGAGATTCTCAATTTGTGATCCAGTGTGTGAGATTCAGCTCCTTTACATCCTAGCAAATATTTGGTTAGTAAATCATTTTTTATATGACTTTTAAAAAGAATTTGTAGAGCTACCTCACTGTTGTTTGATTGTATTATTCTAAGGATGTATGGTGAGCCTGATCTCAGACGTGTATTTGCTATGTCTGTACCTTTGTTACATGTCTGATCCTATGTTCAACCCACTCTGATAGGAGTTTCTAGTGGTTTTCTATAAAAAAAGGACAGAAACAACAAAGATGCATGTCGGAATTTCATCTGTTTTTTTCTTTATTAAATAAATGTTCTTTTTATTGGAATGATGTTTTAATATTATGTAGTGCTTTTGTACTTTTCACAATGCAATGGAGAATTTTGCTTTCATTTCCAGTGCTAACGTTCATCATTAGTTTAAAAAGTCCAGTCATTTTGTAATGGGGTGCTGAACTGGACCCCATTTAGGGAGGTCCCCTAAAATGGACAAAACGCCCATAGCTATCACTTGGGGGGTGAGACAAGCAGAGCAGGGTCGTTGAGAGCTACCTTGTATATCTGAAAATCTGGGCCAGAGTTTTAATATGTTAAAAGCTGTGCCTGGCCCTAGCTCGTGTAGCTTAGTGGATTAAGCACAGGTCTGCAAACCAGGGGATCGTAGTTCAATTCCCTGTCGGGGCACATGCCTGGGTTGTGGGCCAGTTCCCAGCTGGGAAAGCATGGGAGGTAGCCATACATTGATGTTTCTCTCACTCTCTCCTTCCCTCCCCCCTCTAAAGATGAATGAATAAAAATCTTAAAACAAAACACTGTGCCTGCTCAGAGCCAGGGAGATGGGCCCGACTCTAACCTGTGATTTGATGTAGCTGGAGGGGTTTCCTGTGCCTGTGGGAGTGGCTTGGAGATGGCTCCTGTGTCATGGGTCCACATTTGCCCAGACTAACAATGGCAGTAAACAAAGGTAGAAAAGAGACTTCTGGCCAAGATGGAGGCATAGGTAGACATACTGTGCCTCGTAGCACAAGCAAAAGAAGGACAACAACAATTTAGAAACAAAAAACAACCAGTACTGACAGGAAATTGAACTGTATGGAAGTTCCATAACCAAGCAGTTAAAGTAGACACATTCATCCTGACCTACCAGACTGGGGTTGCACGCAACAAAGTGGTGGCTGGCAGATCCTGGGGGCCCAGGGCGACAGCAGATGGACCCAGCCAGGCGGCAGATTGTGGAGCAGGGTGTGGCGCACAAGGCAGCTGGTGGACAGGGTGGTCACACATTCATGTACAGATAAACCAGGCAAAACAGGAATGAACAGACCATTCAACCCAGGGTCGCAGCTCGGGAGATAATGCCTCAAAACAATGATTGAAAACACCTGTGGGGGTTGTGCTGGGAGAATCTACCAGCCTCACCAGAAAGTTTATTGGATAGACCCACAGGGTCCCAGAATGTACACAAATCCACCCACCTGGGAATCAGCACCAGAAGGGCCCAATTTGCTTGGGGGAAGCAGGGGAAGTGACTGAAATCCGGCAGAGAGCAGAGCAAGCACCATTGTTCCTGGATTCCTGTCCCACATACAGCATCACAGCCCAGCGACTGGGTTGCCCTGCCCTGGTGAACACCTAAGGCTCCACTCCTACATAACAGGTGCGTCAAGACAAAACAAAAACAAAAGCAAACAAACAAAAAACTGGCCCAAATGAAAGAACAGATCAAAACTTCGGAAAAAAAATACAACTAAGCGATCAAGAGATAGCCAACCTATCAGATGCACAGTTCAAAACACTGTCATCAGGATGCTCACAGAATTGGTTGAATTTGGTTGGAAATTAGATGAAAAAATGAAGGCTACGCTAAGTGAAATAAAGGAAATTGTATAGGGAACCAATAGGAATGGAAAAGAAACTGGGACTCAAATCAATGGAGTGGACCAGAAGGAAGAAAGAAACCAGCCAAACAGAAAAGAATGAAGAAATAATAATTCAAAAAAATGAGGAGAGGCTTAGGAACCTCCAGGACATCTTTAAACATTCAAACATCCAAATTATAGGGGTATCAGAAGGAGAAGAGGAAGAGCAACAAGCGGAAAAGTTATTTGAACAAATAATAAAGAACTTCCCCAGTCTGGCAAAGGAAATAGACTTCCAGGAAGTCCAGGAAGTCCAGGAAGCTTAGTCCCAAAGAAGTTGGACCCAAGAAGGAACACACCAAGGCACATCATAATTATGTTACCCAAGATTAAAATGAAAGAGAATCCTAGAAGGCGCAAGAGATAAGGAGGCAGTTACCTACAAAGGAGTTCCCATCAGACTGTCAGCTGATTTCTCAAAAGAGACTTTACAGGTAAGAAGGGGCTTGAAAGAAGTATTCAAAGTCATGAAAGGCAATAACCTACATCCAAGATTACTCTATCCAGCAAAACTTTCATTTAGAATGGAAGAACAGATAAAGTGCTTGCTTCTCAGATAAGGTCAAGTTAAAGGAGTTCATCATCATCAGACCCTTATTATGTTGAAATGTTAAATGGCCTAATCTAAGAAAAAGAAGATATTTTTTACATATACAATAAATGACAGCAAATTCACAATTATTAACAACCACACCTAAAACAAAGACAAAAGCAAACTAAGGAAACAACTAGAACAGGAACAGAAACAGAAATGGAGATTACATGCAGGGTTATCAACAGTAGAGTGGGAGTGGGAGGAGGAGGGAAGGTACAGAGAATAAGTAGCATAGAAGGCAGGTAGAAAATAGGGGGAGGGTAAGAATAGTATGGGAAATGTAGAAGCTAAAGAACTTGTAAGTATGACACATGGAGATGAACTAAAGGGAATGTGGGTGGGAATGGGTTTGCAGGGTGGAGGGGAATGAAGGGGGGAGAAATGGGACAACTGTAGTAGCATAATCAATAAAATATAATTTAAAAAAAGGTAGAAGAAACCAGACCACTGGCTGATGTGGATCCTAGCCTGGGGGGTCCATTTTTTGTGGCTGTGACAGACAAATTCATATGGACTACAGAAGTCCTGTGGAGAAAAAGAGATGGCATGGCTGCTCTCTAAGTGAGAGAGGGCCTTGAACCCTTCCTGGACAGGCTTTTATTGCTTTTCTGGGTGCATTACATTAAGGATGGTACTCATTTACTATGCACAGGTTTGCTGTAGGTGATTACCTTTTGTAGAAAAGAGAGGAGAGGATGTTGCTAATTACATCAAAGAAGAACATTTGCAAATGCAAAAGGAAAAATGATTGAACTGGTTACACTCTATACTTGGGAGGTTTAGCACAGATTTTAGGAAGTTACTTTAAAGATATGCAGTAAACATTTTCTGCCTCAATTCAGGGTGAGGGAATTTTAGCAAAAGCAAGCCTCAAAGCAGCCTAGGTACAATACAGGCCTGATTCCCCATGAGAGAATGTATCCATGGATGTGGGTCCTGTGTGCAAAAAGTCCCCATCAATTTTCTGAATTGGGCTGTGCTACGTTCTCCACACCACATGAAATGGTCCCCTATAACTGGCAGGTGTAACACAGTGTGAGAGGAGTCAGAAATGGGGTTATGGAGGAAGTTCCATGCTAGGATTTAAAACCCAGGTATGGCAGCCATCATATGATTGGGGGTGGAGAGGGAGCTCTCTTAACCACATGGCTGGAAAGCAGTTTGTAACAGCCAGGTGGAGCTCTCTCTTGGCCACGTGGTTTGAAAAGATGCAGAAGGATTCCTTTGCCCACCATGAAGATGCAGTTTTGGATTAAGAACAGGAGCCTAGCTGAGCTACAGACTTCTTTTCCTGTGATATGGTACCCCTAACTGACGTGGTTTGGCAAAAGGTGAGGGGCAGTACTGTATGTTTGTGGGTGTTTCTTTGTTAATAAAGAGAATGAGATTTAATGGCGATATTCTGCCATTATTCTCAACCAGTATAACTTCTGAATAAATAGTTCCTTCTTTAACTTATATAATCCATCTGCAAATTACAGAGTCCTTTTACTGTTTCTTAAGTCATCCAGAAATAGCCAATTTTAGAACAAATTATTTTCTTCAACATGTATTTTCATATTTTATATCTTATTGTCCTATTTTATACCATACATAATGCAATCTAATTTTATTTTAATTTAAACAAACATACACAATATGTATATCAATATGTAATTAATGTTAGTGGCTATAATATCATGGGTGAACTAGTAGGGTGGTAACTAGAATCACATAGAAAGTCTTCATTAAAGTGGGGTATACTTGAAAAAAAATTCAATTATGTTCAGTTTATATGTTCCTCTCATTATCTAAAATCTTACTTTTTAAAAATGATTTTATTTATTTACTTTTAGCTAAAAAGGAAGGGAGGGAGAAAGAGAGGGAGAGAAACATCTATGGGCTGCCTCTCACTCACCCCCAACTTGGGAACTGGTCTGCAACCCACACATGTGCCCTAACTGGGAATTGAACTGGAGGTCTTTCAGTTCACAGGCCAGCACTCAATCCACCAAGCTACATCACCCAGAACTAAATTCTTATTATTTTTTTTCAAGATTTTATTTATTTATCTTTAGAGGGGAAGGGAAGGAGAGAGGGAAATATCAATGTATGGTTGCTTCTTGTGGCTTCCCTGCTGGGAACTGCCCTACAACCCAGGTATGTGTCCTGACTGGGAATCGAACCACGATACTCTGGTTCGCAGGCCCGTGCTCAATCCACTGAGCTACACCAGCCAGGGGCTTAAATTCTTACTTTTTAACTCCTTGATTTCTCAGTACCTTTTCTCTTGTATGTTCCAGACAGCTCCATTTACTTTTAATCCTAGGTTGTTTATAATTTTGCAGTTATACTGGGTGTTTTTTCTTTTAAATTCATACCCTATAAATTTTGTACTGCATAATAGCAATTCATCTCAACAGTTTTACTGCCATAATTTATGTGCATTATTTACATAGTAATTGCACAACTTGTTGACATTTAGTAAGTTTAGAGTTTGCCATCATCACCACAATCCAGATTTAGAAAATTTCATGACCTTGTACATAAACTAATTAGATGGTTATTTTATTATTGTTGAGTTTGCAAGTTCTTTTTTTTTTTTAAATTTTCAGAGAGAAGGGAAGGGAGGGAGATGTATGAGTGATACATGATCTGGTGCCTCTTGTGCTTCCCTAACTGGAACCTGGCCTGCAAACTAGGCATGTGCCTGAGCAGGAATCCAAACTGGTGACTGTTTAGTTCACAGGCGGCCGCTGGATCCACTTAATCACACCAGCCAGGGCTGGTTTGCGAGTTCTTTATACATTTTGAAAACAAGTCCTTTACCAGATATATGACGTAGAAATATTTTCTCCCAATTTCTGGCTCAACTCTTCCTCTTAAATGTCATTAGAAGTACAAATGTTTTAAATTTTAAGTAAGTCCAATTAATTATTTTTTCTTTATGACTAATCCTTTGTCTTATTTAGAATTCTAGCTAACTCAGGTTCAGTAAAATTATCTCCCTTTTGCTTCTCTAAGTTTTATACTTTTACCTCTCATCCTTAGGTCTGTGATTTACTTTCAATTAATTTTGTTTATCGTTGGAGTTAAGAGGCTCAATTAATTTTTCTGCAACTAGATATGCAATTATTCCAGCATGTTCTGTTGAAAAGATTTACTACATTGGCATATCTTGGGGCCTTGGTGAAAAAGCAACCGACCTCAATATTGTTGGATTCTTAATTCTGGTTGTGCCTTTCTTATCAGTTCCAGATTTTTTTTTAAGACTATTTATTTTTTAGTGAGAGGGAAAGGAAGAAGAAAGAGAGGGAGAGAAATGTAAATGTGTGGTTGCCTCTCATGCACCCTCTACTGATGAGGTGACATGCAACCCAGGCATGTGCCTTGACCTGGAATCAAACTGGGGGTCCTTTGGTTCATAGGCCATTGTTCAATCCACTCAGCTACACCAGCCAGAGTTCAGCTTTGGATCTTTACTGGCCTCCTTTTTGGTGGCCTCTTCCCAAAGCCCCCATCTCAATGGCAACTTCAGCTCCTTCTCCTCGTTCTTTTACCCTGGTTGATGATGGCCAGCCTCACACTATACCAGTTTCTGGAAATCTTTTTCTGTTGTTAAAAACCAATTCCTGCAAGAAATTTAAAGCCAGAGTCTTCCCGTCTGTGTCCGTTTACCGAATGCATGACCTTTTCTCTTTGCAGGATTTCTTTCTCTGCTGCTACACGGATACCTGAGCTCCTGGCCGTTTCAAAACCTAAAAAAAAAAAAAAAAAAAAATCTTTATACAAAATGTAAAGGCTGCAAACATAACTTTTTTGCCCAACCAGCCTAACAATATTTAGCTCATTCTGTATTTGCCTCCAGAAGCTGGAATCTCTGAAAATACACTTGTTTTCCACAGGAGTACAAGTTCCAGGAAATAAGATAATTTCAGGAGCTTCCTATCTTCCAGCCAATCCTGGCTGCTGGTGCCAAAGTCGCCTTTGCCTGCGGTACCACTGTCACGTCTCCTAGCGTAGCAGTCCCCATGGCGACACTGCGTACAGCACGCTGACACGCGCTGCCTGGGGAGCACTGGCTGGAAATCTCCTGCATTTATTCAATTACTTCCGATCGTCCTCGGCCGCCGTAGGGTGACGAAATATCTGGGCGACTTTTCCTGAAGCTGAAGCAGTTTGCGGAAGTGTAACGTTTAGGTTCTCCTAGCAGGGTGGAGAAAATCAGGTCAGTGTGCTCCTGTCCTTTGAAGTATTTTTTTTTTTTTTAAGTTTCTCTCTCCGTGACTGGTGTGGCATCAGAATGCAAGCTGAAAGGTGACAGGGTTGATTTTCCTCTCAGCACACACCCAGGTTGCTGTTCAAGTCCTGGTTGGGTGTGTGGAAGAAGCAACCAATCGATGTTTCTCTCCCTTTCTTTCACCCTCGCTAACCCCTGTCTCTAAAAAAGAAAAATCTTAAAAAAACAAAAAGTCTCCTGGGAGGTTTGTCTGTCACAGAGTACCTGACATCACTAGGGGGAAGTGGTGTATTTGGCCCCTTGGAATTATCGGTGGGGGTTTTAAGAGGAGCGCCTAGGTATTTGGGGGCAACCAGGTGTGACACGCCTGTTTGTGGCTGCGGATCCTTTGGGGTCATCAGACGATTAAGGGTCTACAGAGATCAACGACCATGCCCTGACTGTGATGGTCTTTTCAGGTCACTCCGTAATGGATGGAGGTGGCATTTAGGATGATTGCTCTGTCAGGTTCGGCATTTAACAGTTGATGTTGTGGCCAGCGTGGATGGTGATCACGTGAGGGTGTCTGGTGTATGTTTTGGAAGTATAAGGGTGTGTGTGGTCATTGTCTGTCCGGAGAGTCTCGATCCTGAAGCTGAATCTTTAGACTCCCAGGACCCTGGGTTGGTGTTTGGGTTGTTTCCAAACTTCAGCTGTTCAGACAGAATGGAATCCATAGCATTCCATAGCTTTAGTATATGGCAGGTTTTCCTACAGTTTCTTAAAAATATAGTTTTAATTTTTAAAAAAGATTTTATTTACTTTTAGAGGGAGGGGAAGGGAGAGAGGGAAACATCAATGTGTGGTTGCATCTACAGCGCCCCCTTGGGGGCACCCGACCCACAGTCCAGGCATGTGCCTGACTGGGAATCCAACCAGCTACCCTTTGGTTCGCAGGACAGTGCTCAATCCGCTGAGTGACGCCAGCCAGGGCGGGTTTTCCTACTGTTAATTAAACTTGTATTGTTTGCAGTTTGCCTTATTATGAGTAATGTTGCTATGAAAATTCTTGTACATGTTTTGTGGTTTAGATGTGCTGTTATTTTGAGGGCATATATAGCTTAGATATAACAACTCAGAGAAACCAGGTAGATCCCAGGGGAGAAGTCCTCTGTTTTTCAGCCTTTTACCCATGGGTTGACTATTTGCAGTGGAGAGACTAATCCAGCTATGCCCATCCGTCACTCAGTGTCTGTGGCTGCTTTCATGCTGCAGAGGCAGAACTGAGTTCTTGTGACTGAGACCTGTAGCCCTCAAAAAAGAAAATACTGTGTGTGTGTATACACACACACACACATGCACACACACACACATATATATCCCTTTTCACACAATGTTTGCCAACACCTGCTCTCATCTGTGAATGTATAGCAGCAGAGATGACAATGTTGCTTACTTCCCTGACATACATTTACACTTTCTTCTTTGCTAACAGAATCTCCATTTTCTTTACTATCCATCCTTCTGACAAGGTGACCCGTCTGTCAGTGTGTTAGTAAGTCCTGGTCCGTCTTAGTCAACAGTGGTGGTTCCAGTACCCATTGCTAGTGATTGAATTACTGTGAAATGAGCTTAGTTACTTGGTACATTCAGTGCCTAGGGAGCTACATCTGGAAATCTGCTAAGTGGATTCTGGGGAACATTTTCTCTTTTATTTATTTATTTTTTAATTTTTATCCTTACCCGAGGACATTTTTTTCATTGCTTTAGATAGGGGGGAAGAGAGATACATTGACATGAGAGAGAGGCACCGATAGGCCGCCTCCCACGCACACACCCACTAGCGATACTATTGGAATTGAACCCATAGCCCTTGGGTTTGGGGAAGACGCTCCAAGCAACTGAGTCACACTGGCCAGGGCCATTTTCTCTTTGAAATAAATAATTCCTGAATCTCTTTTTGAATGTTGATTAAACATTGTTGGAACATAACCTTAATTTTCTCTTATTTCTAATGTTTACAGTTTACTCATATCTGAAAGCATTTGTTCAACTCTCCAGTTCAAAATAGGCAAGTGGAGTTGTTGCCTACCCAGAAAATTCACTTGCTAGTGTCTGGAGATAACAGTTTCTAGGAGGGAAGGATCATAAAGTTATGATTAATCCAGAATTTAAAATTTAATGACATAAAAATGTTTATAGTATGCTTTAAGGCTAAAAAATGTCATTAGCCTGGCTGGTTTGGCTTGGTGGACTGAATGCCAGCCTACAAACTGAAAAGTTGCCAGTTTGATTCCCAGCCAGGGCACATGCCTGGGTTGTGGGCCAGGTCTCCAGGTGGCGGTGAATAAGAGGCAGCTGATCCATATTTCTTTCTCTCTCTTTCTAACCCTCCTTCCCCTCTCTCTAAAAATAAATAAAACCTATAAAAATATATCTGTTTAATGTGGTTTATGTCTTCCATTCATTCCTTGTGTATTTTGGACCAGTTTTCTTTCAATCTGTCTCTACAAATGCATATATTTTATGGTGTTTTTAAGAGACAAGCTTTTGGGATTGTTGAGCTCTTCAGTTGGTTTGTTAATTTAGAAGATCTGTAAGTAAATCAGTATAAAGCAATATTTACATGTTTATGTATATATGTACTGCTCACATATATTGTAGATATAAAATATATAAATATGCAAAGTATGTATATGTCATATATAAAATATACTTGATATGTTTATAAATTATATAACTATACAATAGGTTTATATTTATATACTTATGAATTATATAATTATAAATTATATATTCATGTATAAATTTTATATAGAGAGAAAGGGAGTCATTGCCCAAGTCAAGAAGTGAGAACATTGCCAGCACTTCAGTGGTGTTCTGTGAGCCCCATTCCAATGACTTCCTCATACCCTAGGTAATTACCATATTCTCTCCATGCCAAGCACTTTAATACTTTTCTTTATACTTTTATCATATAATTAATCATGCATAATTTTCATAGTTTATTCACTTGTGCCTATTTTTAACTCTATCAGTCAATCATATACATGCATTTTTTTAAATGTCTGGCTTTTGCTTAATACATAGGTTTTTTTCTTTTTTCTTTTTAAGGAGTTGCAAGCCAGAGAGGGTCTCTCACATATTGTAACATACCCCAATGCGAGCAAATGTCGGAAGCCTTCAGGAGTTTATGATGGAACTTTATTGGCTAAAGTTTCAGAGTTTTACCTGCGCAGGGGCGAACTCTCTGGGTGTCTCCGGAGACATGGTGCCAAGATGGCTGCAGATGAGAGTCGCACCAGGTGCTTACAGCCTGGGGTTTTTATTGGGGTGAGCAAGCAAGCAAATACAGAAGCAGATGTAGCTGTTAGCAGTTGGCTATCTCGAGAGAACACACATGGTTATGTTCTCTGCTTGCAACAATGGGTGCTTTTCTGCAAGGACAAGGTCATGCACAAGGCGGTTTATCTTGTTCAGCACTCTTTGTACTTTCTGTACTTTCTATCTTCCTGGCTGAGACAGTCTGGAGCCTGCCTCGGGTTCCTTTTGGCTACTTTTATCTAATTCCAGCCCTAACAATATGAGTTACAAAAAGGTGTTTTTGTTTTATTATTCTTTAAACAGGTTAGCTGTTCTTCCTTTGGGAAGCAAGCCTGTGGCTTTCTCTTTCCCCACTCCTTCTTCCCAGGGGTGTTAGTCTTGCCTTTCTCCCCCATAAGCTCTAAGGGCCCTCCTTTTGCTTCTGTAACGTGTTTCCTGAGCCTACACAGCCCCGCCGACTCACTTCTACTACCTCTGTAACTTTCTAAATAAACTTTCTCTTATAATTAAAAAAATATAAAGTAAATAATAAAATGGGGCTCGTTTCAAAGATGTTTCCTTAAGTTGACACAGAAATTTCCATATATCTTAGTTTTATTTATGTGCCTCTCCCATTGAGATTGAGAGTAGTTCTCCAAAATGATTTTTTAAAAATATTTTATTTATTTATTTTTAGAGAGAGGGGAAGGGAAGGAGAAAGAGAGGGAGAGAAACATCAATGTGTGGTTGCCTCTCGTGAGTCCCCTGCTGGGAACTGGCCTGCATCCCAGGCATGTGCCCTGACTGGGAATCAAACTGCGATACTCTGGTTCGCAGGCCTGCGCTCAGTCCACTGAGCTACGCCAGCCAGGGCCTCCAAAATGATTTTTGTGTGTGTTCTGAGGTGGGGTTCAGTCTCCTTCTCATCCTCTACTTCCAGCATGAATATCTGATTGTCCATTAATCACATTATGAAAGGACATACTTAACCTCTTCTCTGCAGAGCTTCCTGTGTATCACATCTTTATCTATGCCTGAATCTGTTCATAGGCATTTTATTTTGTTCCTTTGGCTGATTTGTCTATTATGCTAATATATATAGTACTGTTATATAGTACTGTCACAGCTAAAGTAACTTTAAGCCCTCATAACTGATATACCAAGTGTTTCAACTTTTTTTTAAAACCTTTTATTTATTTGTTTCTAGAGAGAGTGGGAGGGAGGGAGAAAGAGAGAGAGAGAAACATTGTTGTGCAAGAGATACACGATTGCCTCTTGCATGCTCCCAACTGGGGACCTGACTCACAACCCAGGCATATGCCCTGACTGAGAATTAAACCGGCAACATTTCGATTTTGCAGCCTGGCACTCAACTAAGCCACACCAGCCAGTACCCTCAACTTTTTTTTTTTTTTTTCAGAGGTGTACCAATGTTAACAAAGGGATCAGTTTAGGATTTGACAGGTTTCATTGGGTCTATGTACTTGTTTGTATTTGGGAGACATGACATCTTTTTTTTTTTAAGATTTTATTTATTTATCTTTAGAGGGGAAGGGAAGGAGAGAGGGAGAGAAATATCACTGTATGGTTGCCTCTCATGCATCCCCCGCTGGGAACCGGCCTGCAACCCAGGCATGTGCCCTGACTGGGAATCAAACCTCGATACTCTGGTTCGCAGGCCGTTGCTCACTCCACTGAGCTACACCAGCCAGGGCTGAGACATGGCGTCTTTAAAGTGCTTTATTTTCTTAGTCACCTTCACAGTCAATCTTTCTATTTATTTGTTAGAATTTCTATCAACATTTCTTGCCACTTATTAAATATTTGTGATGTTCTCCCAAATGATAATTCATAAATTTTATTTGTTGACAACCCTGTTTGTCAGTCACTGGGGAAAGTATGTTGAAATCCTTTTATTAGTTTGGATTTGTTTATCTCTTCTTGTTTTTCAGTCCACCTATATTGTAGACATATCAAGACTATATTGTTAGGTGCATATAAATGAAATACTTTTATAAGGGGTAAATTGAACCTTTTACCAGTGAGCATTGTTTCTCTCTCTCAGTAGTATGTTTTGGTTTTCTGGTGCATTTGGTCTGAGAATATACTTATGCCAGATTATTTGTGCTGACTCTTCTTTTTTTAAAGTATATTTTATTGATTATGCTATTACAGTTGACCCATTTTTCCCCTTTGTACTCCTCTGCCCTCATTTTTCCCCTTTGTACCCCCATTCCCTGCAGTAATCCCCTAACTTAGTCATGTCCATGGGTGGTACGTATAAGTTTTTCGGCTTCTCCATTTCCTATGTTATTCCTGTCTACTTTGTACCTACCAATTATGCTTCTTATTCCCTGTACCTTTTCCCCCATTCTCCCCCCTCCCCATTTCTGCTGATAACCCTCTGTGTGATCTCCATTCCTATGAATCTGTTTCTGTTCTGGTTTTTGGCTTTTTAAAAATATATAGTTTTATTTATTTTTAGAAAGGGGAGGGGAGGAAGAGTGAGAGAGAAACGTCAGTGTATGGTTGCCTCTTGCACACTCCCTCCTGGGGACGTGGCCTGTAACCTAGGCATATGCCGTAGACTGGGAATTGAACCAGTGACCCTTTGGTTCTCAGGTCAGCACGCAATCGACTTGAGTCACACCAGCCAGGGCTTTTGCTTTGTTTTTGCAGTTCAGTTGTTGAGAATTATGAGTTTGTTGTCATTTTACTGTTCATAGTTTTTATCCTTTTATCTTCTTTTTCTTTTTTTTTAATGGGCTCAGATCAGAATTGCCTTGATATTCAGCAGCCTGGGACAAGCCCAGTCTTTTGTATCTGATCAATTCATCACATTTGAGCACCGGGCCACATAGGACCAGTCCCTTTTTCTTAATAAGTACCTTTAACATTTCATATAGTAGGGGCTTGGTGATGATGAACTCCTTTAACTTGACCTTATCTGGGAAGCACTTTATCTGCCCTTCCATTGTAAATGATAGCTTTGCTGGATAGAGTAATCTTGATGTAGGTCCTTGCCTTTCATGACTTTGAATACTTCTTTCTAGCCCCTTGTTGCCTGCAAGGTTTCTTTTGAGAAATCAGCTGATAGTCTTATGGGAACTCCTTTGTAGGTAACTCTTCTTTCTCTTGCTGGTTTTAAGATTCTCTCTTTATCTTTAACCTTTGGCATTTTAATGATGATATGTCTTGCTGTGGCCATCTTTTGGTCTAATTTGTTTGGGACTCTCTGAGCTTCCTGGACTTGTATGTCTATTCCCTTGATCAAATTGGGGAAGTTTTCTTTCATTATTTTTTCCAAATAAGTTTTCTTGCTCTTTGTCTTTTTCTGGTACCCCCATGATTCAGATGTTGGTATGTTTAAAGTTGTCCCAGGGGTTTCTAAGCCTATGCTCTTTTTTTCTTTTAAATTCTTGTTTCTTCTTTCTGTTCCAGGTGAGTGTTTATTTTTTCCTTTTGTTCCAAACCCTTGATTTGAGTCCCGGCTTCCTTCCCTTCACTGTTGGTTCCCTGTATATTTTTCTTTTTTAAATTAATTAGTTTATTTGTTTTTAGAGAGAGGGAAGGGAGGGAGAAAGAGAGAAATACCATGTGTGAGAGGAACATCAATCAGTTGCTTCTCACACACCTCTAACTGGGGGCCTGGCCTGCAACCCCGGCATGTTCTCTGACCTGGGATCAAACCAGTGACCTTTTAGTTTGCAAGCTAGTGAGCAACCCACTGAGCCAAACCAGCCAGGGCAGTTTCTTGTATATTTTTCTTTATTTCATTTTGTATAGATTTCATACCTTCCTTTATTATGTGGTCATACTCAATCATTTCTCTGGACATTCTGATTACTAGTGTTTTGAACTCTGCGTCTGATAGGTTGGCTAACTCCTCATGGCTTAGTTCTTTTCTTTGAGTTTTGATCTGTTCTTTCATTTGGACCCTGTTTTATTCTCCCAATTTATCAAAGCACCTGTTATGTGGTAAGGGGCAACCCTTTTTGTTACATTGCTATGCTATATGTGGGGGCGGGGGGTTTCAAAGAAGTAACAATCCTGCTTGCTTGGTTGTTGCCCTGCTTTCAGTCACTTCCCCTAATTCCCTTAAGTGACTGGTGCTCTTCCAGCTACTGCTTTGGTTTTGATTCCCCATGTGGGTGGGGTTGTGTACGTTGTAGGACCCTATGGGCCCCTGAAATGGACTCTCCTGAGAGACTGCAGTTTCTTCAGCTGTCTCCCCCCCCACACACACAGCTTTTTACAGCTAGAGTTTATAAGGCTTTATTTTTACCAGTGCTGGAACTCTGGGTTGCATGGTCTGTCCTAGACCTGGTACCGCTGCTCCCCAGGTATCACCGCTGGGTTTTTTTTTTTTTAATCTATCACATGTGAATGTGAAACCACTTGTCCTTCCAGCTGCTGCTGCCTCGCTGTCACTGCCTTGCTGGCTGCCGCCACGACATGGTGGCCACACTATATCCTGTCTTTTCCAGCTCCCTGTCTCCATCCCTCCTACCTGTCTCAATGAATATTTCTTCTTTAGCTCCTTGGTTGTCAGACTTCTGTACATTTTGATTTTCTGGCAGTTGGTTGTTTTTTGGTTTTAGACTGGTTGTTATTGTTCTTATGGTTGTGCAGTGAGATGTAGTGTATCTACCTATGCCTCCATCTTGGCTGGAAGTCTGTGGTGACTCTTTTCATGATATATTTCTTTCCAAACTTGTATTTCAAACTTTCTGTATTGTTATGTTTCAGACATGCCACCTATAATAGCATGTGATTCACTCTTAAATATAAGTTGATATGACAGTATTGAGGTGTTAGTATTTAATGTAATTATTTGGAATCCTTGTTGTGTGTGTGTGTGTTTCTCTTCAAGTTTTTAATGGAAGCTATATATAGGATTACATTATTCCTGCATTTTCTCAGTTGTTTCTTTCTTGTATTTGCTCTTTTCCTTTCCTACCTGGTGAGATTTGGCTTTACAGTCAAAGATTTTTTTTTTTTGCAGTCTTTGTCCAGTTTTAGTCTAGTGATAACCACCTTGCTGGGGTGAATGCCCACATGAACAGTTGTACCATTAACTTTCTGCTGCTGCACTTGTTTAATATAGATGATAAATTTCTTCCTGTAAATCTGGACTACTTTGCCAATTTGCTGCCCTTTGTAATGCCCTCGTACAACCTGACTTCATCATCCTTTTGAATGGATATGAATCGAACATTGTACTTCTGTCTCAACTCATTGGAAAGAGGAGAAGACATAATCTTCCTGTGAATGTGGGAAGGTACATTGAAACGCCTTTTATGGTTCTTGTTCTGGTCAGAAGTTACAAAGGGATTGAACTTCATTTTGACTGCTGGCTCCTCTGTGATGGCCACAAAAGGGAAGAGCTGTGTGTTTACACTTAATATAATTTTTAGTATGTCATTTTTAAAATCATCTAAGTGCATTGAACTTGCCCCCATTGTTCTTTCTTTTCTATATTTAATTAATTAATTTATTTTTGCCTTGGTTTGGATGATTTTTTAAAAGTTTATTTATTGCTATTTACAGAGAGAGAGTAGGGAGGGGAGAGAAATACCGATTTGTAGTTCCATTTATTTATGCATTTATTGGTTGATTTAAAAAAACAATCTTGCCCTGGCTGGTGTAGCTCAGTGGATTGAACGCGGGCCTGCGAACCAGACAATCGCAGTTCAATTCCCAGTCAGGGCACATGCCTGGGTTGCAGGTCGGTTCCCTGCAGGCCAGTTCCCAGCAGGGGACACACTAAAGGCAACCATACATTGATGTTTCTCTCCCTCTCTCCTTCCCTTTCCCTCTAAAGATAAACAAATAAAATCTTAAAAAAAATAAAATAAAAAATAAAAAAATAATCTTCACTGGAGGACATTTTTTTCATTGCTTGTAGAGTGAGAGGAAGGGGGGGGGAAGAGAGAAAAAAATCTATGTGAAAGAAATACATTGATTGGTTGCCTCACCGATGCACCCTGACTGGGGCTCCAACTGGCAACCTAGATATGTGCCCTGATGGCGGATTGAACTGGCAACCTTTCACTTTACTCAACAACGCTCCAACCAACAGAGCTACACCAGCCAGGGATCATTGGTTGATTCTTGTATGTGACCTGAATGAGGATTGAACCTGCAACCTTGGCTATTGGGATGATGCTCTAACCAACTGAGCTTCCTGGCCAGAGCTTGGATGAAGATTTCGATTTGTATTTCACCCACCCCTAAGCATGGAAATTATATATTTTAAGACAACTGTTGGTATTCATCCTGACAGTAGAGATTACAGAGAACCTGGAGCTTTCTTAAATTCTTGTGTTAAATAATAATTTTATACTCTTTTCCGACAATGCAGAGATCTTAAACCACTTCATTTACCACCTTTCAGTTTATTTACAATGCTGTTTACTTTTGTATGTATTTTAAAACCTCCTAAGATATTACTGTTATTGCTTATGAGACAGTGCTGATGACTTATCTAGTGAATCGGTTTCCCCCTGAAATGTGTACAGTCACGGGGTGCAGAGAAATGTTTGAAGAAGCCCCTGAGGAAACATGTTTTAAAAGGAACAGTGCACTGATCCCCTCCTTTCACATGATCTGCTTTGTATAAGTGATTTTACTGAGACTCACCTACCCCGGAGGCATGGTGTGGGGAAGGATGTAATTTTCCAGGTCTCCTTGGACAGTCACACCACGCACATAAACTCCACAGGACTTTATTGAGGTAGAAGTACCTCTACCACAAAAAGAACCTAGGACTTATTGGCCAGAAGAATAAATGCTTCTGGGACGCCAAAGGGATACTACATATGAAGGGATATCAGTGATACTGTGGGCACTGTGTGAGAGTCAGGGCCCAGAAGCACTGTAGCGTCTGGGTCAACAGGAAATGTATCACCCACTGAATTTTCTCCTCAATCCACAGGTCCAGACTCCCTGGGAGCAATAGAATTATGTGAAGCAGGAGGAAGTTGCAGGGTTGGGTATCAGCACGTCTGGGGACACACCTAACTGAAGACAGATTTCTGAACAGAAATTTAGAGCAGACCTAGAACACACCAAGACAGAGCCTTCCTTTGCCAAATCTTTGCAGAGAACAGAAGAAAATGCTCCAGACTCAGGTGACTTTGGGTTTGTTTTATCCTTTCCTTTCCTCATTAATGGCTTTGTTGAGGCCTATGAAAAACCACCTCCATTAATCTGAAAAGTATACAGTATAAAGTATATAGTATATACAATCTCTTTTGACTCTCAAATATATGAATGTGGCGTTTCTAGGTTAACAAGAACATTTAATTTCTTCACATGATAGAAACTTCTAATTATATGAATTCATGGATGACTGAATGCACAATTACAAAAAGAGGCAGGGCAGATGTAGGTTTAAGGTTGTGAGTATGTGAAACAGTTGTTTCTTATATTGTTTATCTTGTCTTTTTGTTTATTAATTATTGTATTATTTTCTATAAGAATGACTGCAAACCTACCTTTGCCACACCATGCATTTTACTAGGCATGTGATTATTCAACTGTATCTTAAATTAAACCCATTTACTATATAGATACAGCCTATAAAGTAAAAATGAGAAGAAAATCTAACATTTCTGCTATACATAAAGCACATCATGCCATTAAACAGTATGATGTTGTTACAGGAATCTCTGACATTTCAAGATGTGGCCGTGGACTTCACCTGGGAGGAGTGGCAGCTCCTGAACTCTGATCAGAAGGACCTGCACAGAGACGTGATGTCGGAGAACTACAGCAACCTTGTGTCAGTGGGTGAGGACAGCTCCCCAGTGTCACTCAGGTGGTTTCTAGTCAGTGGTCTTTCCATCCCCAGCTTCTGAAAGCTCAGGCACATCTGTGGTTTTCTGAAGTGGTAGATGAGTCTTAGTTTCTTCTCTGGTCCCAGATCAGTACATTCTCCCTTCTCTTGAGAGAAAAGCCTTTATTTTGTAAATGCGAAAATTGTTTTGTCCTGAAATGTAACATTCTGCAGTCTTCACAGAACCCAAGTCTTTTTCAGTTAGTCTAAGTGTTCCACCGTTCCCCATGAACAGGTTATGAATCCAGCAATCCAGACGTATTCTCCAAGTTGGATGACGGAGAAGCACCATGGACAAAGGAAGGTGAAATCCACTGTCAAAACCATTCAGGTGGGTTAAGAGAACCACCATGGGGTAGGCTGTGGAAATCACAGTCTAGTTGTTCAGAGAAGAGGCTTAGAAGTGAAGGGGGTTTGTAGATAGGTAAGCAGTGCCTCCATGTATGTCTCTCCTAGTTAGAGACCTCTTTATCTTTTTAGGAGTTTAGAGGAAAATAGATTCCTTTATTTTTTTCTGGGGTATGAGTTCTCTTTATCTTCATCTTGATATTTTGTTTGTATGGTTTTGTTTTTTAGGATTCTCAAATCTTTTTCTTCTTCATAGTCTTCCACCTTCCTTGCTATAAGATTCCACTCTCTTTCTCCAAAGAGAAAACTGGGCTCACTGCCTTCTGACCACTGCCCCTTTCTGCCCCTGGTAATGTGGATTTCCTTTCCTAATATCCACCCCTTGGATGCTGTGCCCTCCAAGTAAACTGATCTTCACTGTGCCTTTGCTTTTCTTTTTCTCTTAGCTTCACTTTTTCTTCACTCTGAGGTTCTTCAACTGTTCTATTTTCCAGTTCCTCATTTGATCCACTAGCCCTTCAAAGTTTTGCTCATTCTAATCAGCTAAGCTGTTTTTGTTTCCTACACGGGCCCCCCAAATTCGATTTCCCCACTGTGATCCAGCACAGACTATATTATGCAGAATTTACTCATCTTGATGGCAAGTCTCCTGAGCTCACAATAACTGCAGGGACGTAGAATCATCGTCCCTCCCAGAAAAGCCCTGTGAGTTCAGGTTCACCTTCACTCTTGTGCATGTGCCATCCTGGCCATCCAGTGTCACCTCAGTTGTTTCTGTCTGCAGAGCTCTCTTCTTTAAAGGGGTCTTCTGTTCATGATGTGTTTCAATGAGGAGATTCATTTTAGTACATACATTCTCAGTTCCAGCCTATACGAGGCCATAACTCTTTCGTACTTCAAAGTAATTCCTTTATTTACTGATTTTGAACTTTGTTCCTGTTTACTGTAGATATTAGTACTGTAGTATTCACTTTCCTAAAACTTTTATATTCCTTTCCATCGTATTCTGAGGACATTAAGTGCCAGGTAACTCCATTATCCATCATATGATATTAAAGTTTTTTCTTGATATGCATGATATGATCACAGATAGATTTCCATCTAATCTCTGAACAGCTGTTGAATGTGTTCCATACATAGTGTTACTTCCTTGATTCAGCATCTATAAATTATTTTTTGATAACCTAGTGTAATGTGGGGGCAAGAGCAGTGAGAAAAAGCATACAAATAGACCAAAAGCTTTCATTCTAAAAGGAATAAAAAAAATGAATCAAAACACACAAATAAATAATATATCTAGGTGGAGAAAAGTGCTATGATAAAAATTTAGTCAGCAGAATGGAACAGTAAGTTCTGGGGACATGGTGCTCTTAGGATGGTTACACAAACACTCTCACAAAATGCCTTTGAGCCAAGAGATGAAGGATGTTAGGCTGTTGGGCTGTGAGATTCCAAGTAGAGAGGACATCAAGTTGAAATGGCAGGAAAATGTGTGTGGGGAAACAGCGTGGAGCCCAGGTAGAAGGAGTAGAGTGGGCTTTGGGAACATGCTGGAAATGAGGTCAAAGTGGCAACAGAGACAGGAGGAAAGGAAGGGAAGGTCCAGTCCATCCTGTAATCTATGTTACAGAATGATGATTTCCCTCCTAATGAGATGAGAAACCTGTGAAGTTAAGTGCTGGAATGACATGAAATAATTTCCATTTTCACTGATGGAACACAGATGATAGTGTGGTGAATGCAGGGGTAGGAGGGTAAGTGAAGGCGGAAGAGGATATGGGGGGGGGATAAATGCTAATAAATAAATAAATAAATAAATAAATAAATAAATAAATATTTGAGGTTGTGTGAAAAAATAATAATATAAAAATAATTTCTTTTTTCCAAAGGATCCCTTCAGTGACTGTAGAAAGCAGACAGTAGCGGGAGGTCCTTAGGCAGGACCCCCATGGAAGAGGCTATTGCAAAACATGATGAGGGAATAGTGGCTTCTGTGTGTATTGAGGGCTGAATGTTTGTCAGGTTCTGGAGACATTTATTATAGCAGGCAATTAAATTTTTGTTCCTTTATTTTGTTAGTTTAGTGTTCTAGGCAGATGAGATTTGATTTAACTCAAAATGGGCTATGAAATGAAATGGATGAAGGTTGATAGAAAGGTCCTTGAGATGAGAATTACTTTAAGGAACATTAAACAGCATAACTGCATAATGAGCGCTTGGCCTTGGCTCTGGTTTCAGGAATAAGAAATCTTTGTTAAGGTGCAGTAGAGCAGGTAGATGATGAATGTGAGTAGGCTTCCTGGGTAAGTTATGTCCCAATGTAAAACTGCAAAGGTCAGAGGTCAGAGGCTTGTGGCAGGAGTATGTCTGAAGAACCTTAGGAAGGCAGAAAATTGTACTTGAACAATTTTAAAAAAAAAGTTAAAAAATTAATTAATTAAAAAAAAGAAAAGAGCAAAGAGGACAAGACTGCAGGTAAGGTCAGCAGGGTAGCAGCTGCGGATTCTATAAAGGGACATTTCAAAATCTTGGTTTTATTCCTCATGAGATGATAACCCTCTAGGGACTTCTGAGTAGAGGATTGTTCTGATATAATTTATGTGGAAAGGATTGTTTGGGCTACTGCATAGAAAACACAGTCATTGGAAGGGGAGGAACAAGAAAACCAGGCAGGAGGCCATGTAATGATACAACAGAGTGACTGGCTTCAATGTGTGGAAGGGGTGATAGTCCAGTTCTGGGCATATTCCTAATGGAGGGCAGGCAGTATTTATCACAGAGGTACATGCTGTGTGTGAGAGAAAGAGATGAAGGGTGATGCTGACAAGTTTTCTTCTGGTTAAAGAGTAGACTTTTCATTTATGGTGATGAAGATGACATATGGAGGACTTTCGATTGGGAAATTAAGGGCTCTGTTTTGGAGGTTGTTAGAGGTGCTAGGAGCTCTCTGCTCTGTCATCACCTTACTCCTGCCATACCCATCAGAATAATGAATCCACAGTGAATCTTGGCTTCTTTCCAAATGTAGCCTGATTTCTTTCACCTCTCTCCATGTCCGCTTTGCCTTTCCACCTGTGTTCACAACCTGAAGCTGTTTCTTGCATGTGTCTTTGTCCCTCAAGTGACTTCACCAAAGTGCAGTGTAGGCTCCATAAACATGAGGACTACATTTGTGTATCCCCAACCTAGGGTCATGTTGGTACACAGTAGTCACAGGGATGTGGAACGAGTGAGTCTGTATCTCACCAGTGTGGATGAGGTAGCTCTTCTCCCTGTGTCTGCTGATACCATAAATTGCTTATATTTTACAGTTTGGCAAGGCCTCACAAAGCAGGCAACTCTGTGTTTTGCTTGTAGTATTGTGAATTATGTAACCTGTTTTACACTCAAGTCTTGCCTGTAGTTTCTTGTTATTATTGTGTTTTCCAATATTCAAGGAACATTGAACATGGAGTTTTGTCTACTCTTACATCACAAAGTCATCACAAAAACGACATAACATGGTTTTGTTCGGTTTGTTTAACTTTTCTTCCAGTTCAAGATACTGGATGAGTTCACTGTGCTTTTCTTTCCTAGAAATCTGGAGACCTGATGATCATCTGCCAGAGCACTTACAAAATGAAAGCATGGACAATAGCCTAGAACAATGGCACAAATGTAACACATTTCAAAATACTGTCCCTCAGAGCAGAACCTGTTCTCTGTTACTTAAAAACTGTATGTTCATCTCACATGGAGAAAATATGAAATTAAATCTATCTTTACTTAACCAGACTAGAAGCTATGAAATTAAGACTCCCACTAAGCCTTCTGGAGATGGGAAATCCTTTTTCCACGCTAACAGTGAACATTTTCAGGGTGAAATGAAATTACCCCAAAACCAAAAACTCATCAGCACTAAGTCCCAACTCATGAAACATCAGAAACCTCAAAAAAGAGAGAAACCACATCTATGTGGTGAATGTGGCAAAGCCTTCATGAAGAAGTCTTGGCTCACTGATCATCAGATCATTCATACAGGTGAGAAGCCCCATCAGTGTAGTCTGTGTGGGAAAGCCTTCTCCAGGAAGTTCATGCTCACTGAACACCAGAGAACACACACAGGAGAGAAACCTTATAAATGCTCTGAATGTGGCAAAGCCTTTCTCAAGAAATCACGGCTCAATATACATCAAAAAACACACACAGGAGAGAAACCCTTCGTATGCAGTGATTGTGGGAAAGGCTTCATCCAGAAGGGCAATCTCATTGTACATCAGCGAATTCACACAGGTGAGAAACCTTATATATGCAATGAATGTGGCAAAGGCTTCATCCAGAAGACATGCCTCATAGCACATCAGAGATTTCACACAGGAAAGACACCCTTTGTGTGCAGTGAGTGTGGAAAATCCTGCTCCCAGAAGTCAGGTCTCATTAAACATCAAAGAATTCACACTGGAGAGAAACCCTTTGAATGCAGTGACTGTGGAAAAGCCTTCACCACTAAGCAGAAGCTCATTGTCCATCAAAGAACTCATACAGGAGAGAGACCCTATTCCTGCAACGAGTGTGGGAAAGCTTTTGCCTACATGTCATGCCTTGTGAAACATAAAAGAATACACACAAGAGAGAAATGTGGTGATTCAATCAAGGTGGAAAATCCTCTCACAGAAAGTCCCAGCTCATCACTGACCAGTGTGGTCCTGCAAGAGAAAAACTTTGTTAATGCAGTGGCTACGCAGGTGCCTTCTGTGGCCCCTCAGACAGCATTAAACATCAGTGGGCTCCTATCAAACAGAAATGTAGTCATAGTGGGCCAGCCTGCGGCCAGATGTGCACCCTCAGAAGGATTTGCACAGGATAGAAACCTTATGAATGCAGTGAGTAAAGACTCACCTTCAGTCGTCAATTACGTGTTACTTTATGTCACAGGAAACCAATAGGAATATACTCTGACATTCTGTGTGCAAAGATTTGATCAAAACTTTCTACCTCACGTTATGGTTGAAAAGTATATACTGAGAGAAATTGTATAAATGCTGAGACTGGGAAGTCATTATGCCTCTATGCATTGATGCAGAGGCATAATTGGCTGTTAACCCAGACACATACATCAGTTGGCCTTTTGTGTCAGTTAAAGGAATGAACGAAGCTATGTTGAGGCAATAATTGAATTTTTAAAACGTAAACAGAATTGATATCTGAAATGTTGATATGAGTGAAAACCACTAAAGGGTTAATACTTGTTTGGTGTGATGTGTTTTTGTATTTATCCATTCAGGTTTTCGGGTAATGGAAAATGGGGATGTCTACCATAATCTCTAGAAGTGTATATATTATGTTGCGGGACTTATGAAACAGCAACTTTAGATTGAGTCAATTCATTCATTTATAGTGAGTTTTTTGTCAAATATTTCTCCTGTACCTGGTTTTTAAAAAAAAAGTGAGGACACAGTGTTGATCAAACCGAAGGTGGGCATGGTGTCCTGGGAGAGTGCCGAAGTAGTTGGGTTATCTTATCTCTTAAGTGGCACCTATACACACCAATGAATACAGTAAGAGGTTATCAATATCTACACTCATGAAATGGACATATTCTTAGTTCATTAAGGTTGTCTTAAGAAAATACCATGGCCTGGGTGGTTTATAAAAGCAGAAATTTATTTCTTACACCTCTAGAAGCTGCGTGTCCCAAATCAAGGCATAAATCACCTCTGAAATGCCCAATTCTTAGTTCCATCACATTTGGGGTTAGGCTTTGATGAGTGAATTTTAGGGGGACATGAAACACTGCATAGTGAATATGGAGCCATAGGTTCAAAGGATTATGATCATTTCCTGTTCAAGGGGCTTGTTATTTGGAAGGGAGACAAGGACTCCTAATAGATTTCAGCACCTCAGTAAGTTATTATTTTAATGCCTATGTATTACCTCCAAGTAGTTGAAAAATTCCTTGGTCATTTTTATGCTCCTTAGATTTCACATTTTTTAAAAGTAAATAAAAACTCAGTTGCCAGGTACACTAAATCACATTTCAAGTGCCCAGTAGCCGTATGTGACTAGTGGCCACCTTACTGGACACCACAGGGATCAAAACATTATAGCTAAGTATATGGCTACTCAGAGAAATCTGTCATAATTCCATCATCCCAGAAAGTTATACTGGAAAGCAGTGGTTGGCATGATTTTGTATTTCCCAGCACAGAAAAATAAAAGCAAATTATATACTGATTTGCAAAGTGAATGAATTAGCTAAAATGACTTAGAGCCTTTTGTCACTGAAAAGAATGAGCCTTTGGAAGGAGGTTGTAAAGAATAGTTGTGTTTTCCCAAATTATTTATGATTAGAGACTTTAATTGAATATAAACTGAGCAGAACAAAAGAAAGATTCTCAGAATAGAGTAAAAGGGACAACAAGAATCTTAGCCTCTAAGGATGAAGAATTATCGGAGAAGATAAGAGGTGAGATCCTTGAGGGATGTCACGGAGAAGAGCCTCTGGGTCTGTGCACAGGACCATCACCCTTGAGAGCTGCCACCATTTCAAAGATTCTAGCTTCACTGTTACCTGCTGAATTGAGACATGTACTTTCTCTTCATTTTTCCTTCTCCGTCTCTTGGGAATGGGGCTCTTGTACTCTCATTATCCAGAATAGTTTCATTTAATCTCATAACTGTCCCATAGTTTCCCACCTATCCAAGTTATAAAAAGTGAGTGTTGCTCATAGGAAAAGAAATGGAAACTTGTTTTGCCAAGTGGTGGCTATTTCAGAAATCAATCTCAAATGCTGGGTTTTGGGTAATTCCTTCAGATATATTTCCAGGAACAACACTGTGCCAGGCACAGTGGCACACTGATATAACCACCTTCTGTGGCTGTATCAGTGAGCAAAGCAGCCAAAGAAACAGCATTTATGGACCTTACAATCTAGTAAGGGAGACAGGAGATGGATTAAGGGTATGTAATCTCAGGATGTGATGAATCCTATGAGGAAAAATAAAACTTCATAATAATTACTACTATAATCATAGTAATTTATAGTAATGTATAGGTTGTAGTGGGGGAGGTATTCCTGCATACCCCCCTAGGCTTTTCTGGATATAATTTGAACCAAGACAGTTTTGAGGGGAGTCACCCATCATAACTGCATCCAGAGAACATCCCAGAGCAGTTTGTATTCCTTTTCTTAATATCCAATTTTTTAATATTTTCAATTATAGTTGACGCAAGAATTTTATTAGTTTCAGGTGTACAACATACTGATTAGGCATGTATATAATTTACAAATGATTACCAGGTAAATCCAGCACAGGCCTGTTTCTAATGATTGATAAGCTTCCTGCCTCAGAAACTTAAATGAATGCAGATTCCCCAGTCACATCCCACACTCCCTAAACCAGGACTGTGCCTTTTGAACAACGGCCTGATACACGCCTCATTTTGACTTTATTTGCCCTAAATCCTGGGTTATAACTACATCACCACGTCTGTAATATGCCTTTTAATGGTATGGATACAGGCTGTGCTCCTGGCATTGATTCTAGACTTTTACAGGCCTCACTTTAGTAGCCTTTTTCTGAGTCCCCTCCCCCAATACCAAGTGAGGTTCTTCCCAATACCAAGTGAGGTTCTTCCCAGCCATTCTTTCCTAGTTGGTGATAGCCAACCTCACACTACCAATTTCTGGAAATCTTTTTGTTCTTAAAGACCTCTTCTGGTCAACTGTTTTCCAGCCTGGGCTGTGGGTGTCCGTCTACCAGATGTATTATCTGCCCCTTCTTAGGAGTTCCGCCTCTGCTACTATACTGACCTGAACTCCTAATTGTTTGTTTAGAAACTTTTTAAAACATTTTTTATTGTTCAACGTTTTTTAAATGCGTATACAGTGAAGAATATAGCCTGCAGCTTAGTACTTCTCTGCTTGGCCTGCCAAAAGTAATTTAAGTCTCACTGTGTTTGCATAGCGAAGCACTGGAAATGTACCCATTTTCCGCAAAATTCCAAGCACCAGAAAACGAGATAATTTCAGTAGCTCCTGTTAGGCCCGGAATTAGATAAGAGTAGCCAAGAGGAACCCGAGGCAGGCTCCAGACTGTCTCAGCCAGGAAGATAGAAAGTACAGAAAGTACAAAGTGTGCTGAACAAGATAAACTGCCTGTGCATGACCTTGTCTCTGCAGAAAAGTATCCATTGTTGCAAGCAGAGAACATAGCCATGTGTGTTCTCTGGAGATAGCCAATTGCTAATAGCTACGTCTGCTTCTGTATTTGCTTGCTTGCTCACCCCAATAAAAACCCTGGGCTGTAAGCGCCAGGCGCGACTCTCATTTGCAGCCATTTTGGCACCATGTCTCCGGACACCTCGTGAGTTCGCCCCTGCGCAGGTAAAACTTTGGCCAATAAAGTTCCATCTTAAACTCCTGAAAGCTTCCGACCATTTGTTGCTCGCATTGGTGGATGCTACACTCCACGCCTTTGTGCCAACGCTAGTCCTGAAGCCCGGACTCTGCTTTTGTACGGCACTCAGGTGTCCCAACATGGCGTCCCCCATTGGGGGCACCGCGACATTGGCGCGGACATATTGCTAACGAATACGGAAATGGTTGACAAGTTTATTCAAACGCCTGTGATTGCCCTCGGCTACCGTAGTAGACGGAGCAGGACCAGCGCAGAAGTTGAAGCAGTTGCGGAAATACAACATTTGTGCTCTTCCTGTGGGTCTGGCGAAAAATTCAGGTCAGTGCGTGGTTAGGTCAGTCTGTGGTTTTTGTCTCCAGGAGTTTTTCGTCACAGTGGAAGTTTTGTTTGTCACAGGGTGACGTGTGGGCGAGGTGTAGTGTGGAGCGTAGAATCATCTTTGGGGTCGGAGGGGGGGGAGGGTAGAAGCGCCCAGGTGGAGTTAGTTAAGATGAACCAGGTGGGAAAGGGAATTGAAGTTATTTGAGGGGAACCAGGCTTGTCCATCTGTGGTTGGTGTGTCCTGGGGGTCGGTGCACCAATTAAGAATTTGTAGAGATAATGTCCTTGTCCCGACTGTCAGGGTGTGGGGTTCTGCAGGTCTCCTCAGTTGTAGGGAGTGCAGGCGGCATTTAGGAGAGTCACAGTGTCAGATTCAGGTTGGGGATTTAACACACGGGTCGGTGATGTTGGAACCGGCGTGGGTGATCATCGTATTAGGGTGTCTGTCCCCGATTAGCGATTAACTTAAAAAAAAAGAGAGATCAGTGTCTTTGGTGCGGAGAGGCTTGGGACAGTGAGTTTTGGACGCCCGGGACCCCTGGTGTTTGGTTTAATTTAAGAACTTGGCTGCTGCTGGGACAGAAGAGATTAGGGCCCTGAGCATTAGTTCCAGTCCCTCCGTTTTTTTATCCTTTAGGGAAAAACCCACCAACGACCGTTTGTTGTGTATCCTCTGTGGCACCTTTCTGGCACTGCAAAGGCAGAATTGGGTCCTTGTGACACCGACACTTTGGTGCAAATTGGGAAATGTTAATCAGCCTCGGAAAATGTCAACTCCTGCACTCACCTCTTAATACAATATGTAGCAGTGAACACTGTTGCTTATTTGCCTGAAATGCATTCATACATTTTTCTTTGCTAACAGAATCTCCATTTTATTTACTATCCATCCCTCTGGCACGGTGACCGATATGCCAGTGTGTTAGTAAGTCCAGGTTATTCTTAGTCAACAGTGGTGGTTCCAGCTTCCATCGATAGTGATTGAATTACTGTGATATGAGCATAGGTACATAGTGCAGCTCTACCCGGCCGTATATGTGAATATATGTTAGTTGTTCCTGGGAAAGAATTTTCTCTTTTAAATATGTAGTTCCTTGAATCTGAAGGGGAGCCGTTTGACACCCTAAAATATGCCTCTTTGGAATATGGATTGTTTTATGCTGGTTGATTTGAAGAAACTGCAGTTCTGGGAGAAAACCTAGTAGACCCAGTATAGGTCTACCAGTATAGTAGACCCTCGTATAGGATATTTATATTGGTAAAGTCTTATATGTGAAGGTGTCTTCCTCCATATGCCAAACCCACCTTAAGTGTCACTGGAGGAAGCAGGACTTATATCTGGACTTATAACCTTAAGCTTGTTCACTGTGCTTTTCTTAGTAACCTCTCTACCCCCAACATCTTTTGACTTTAGGTGAAGGTGGTATTTCTGGTGTTGGTGGCTGCCATTTTGGCCAGTTACTCCATTTTCTTGGGTCACTTCCATTTACATAGGAGGTATGGATCTTATTAACCTTGTTGATTGTTTTTCCCCTGTTAATCTGTGTGACGTCAATTTAATTATTAGACCAGCCAAAGAACCTAGAAAAGAAGGAAGAGTTATTTTGCCACTACAATGTTATTTCCCTCATCTTCTTGCACAGTCAAGTCACTGCACTTAAAACTCCACAGAATAAAGGAATACCTCCACTGCATTTCTTCTGGCTTTATTGGCCAGAAGAATAAATATTCTGGGGACACCATAGGAAGGGATACTAGTGATACTGTGGGCATTGTGTGACAGTCAAGGCCCAGGAGCACTGTAGCATCTGGGTCAAGAGGAAATGTACCACCCACTGAATTTTCTTCTCAATCCACAGGTCCTGACTCCCCAGGAGCAATAAAATGATGTGAAGCAGTAGGAAGTTGCAGGGTTGGGTATCAGCACGTCTGGGGACACACCTAACTGAAGACAGATTTCTGAACAGAAATGTAGAGCAGACCTAGAACACACCAAGACAGAGCCTTCCTTTGCCAGCTTTTTTCAGAGAACAAGAAAATGCTCCGGGCTCAAGTACTTGGTTTTATCCTTTCTTTTCTCCATTAGTGGATCTTTAGAGGCCCATTAAAATTCACCTCAGTTAATGAAAAAAATTATATATTATATGTGTATATGTATTTTATCTCAAATATATGAATGTGGTATTTCTAGGTTAATAAGAACATTTAACTTCTTCACATGATAGAAACTTCTAATTATATGAATGCATGAATGACTGAATGCACAATTATAGAAAGAGGTAGGGCAGATATAGGTTTAAGGTTGTGAGTATGTGAAACAGTTGTTTCTTATAATGTTTATCTTTGTTTATTAATTATTGTATTATTTTCTATAAGAATGACTGTAAACCTACCTTTTTACTAGGCATGTGATTATTTAACTGTATCTTAAAATAAAACACATTTGTATATAGATACAGCCTACAAAGTAAAAATGAGAAGAAAATCTAAGGTTTCTGCTATACATAAAGCACATCATGCCATTAAACAGCATGATGTTGTTACAGGAATCTCTGACATTTCAAGATGTGGCCGTGGACTTCACCTGGGAGGAGTGGCAGCTCCTGAACTCTGATCAGAAGGACCTGCACAGAGACGTGATGTCGGAGAACTACAGCAACCTTGTGTCAGTGGGTGAGGACAGCTCCCCAGTGTCACTCAGATGGTTTCTAGTCAGTGGTCTTTCCATCCCCAGCTTCTGAAAGCTCAGGCATGTCTGTGGTTTTCTGAAGTGGTAGATGAGTCTTAGTTTCTTCTCTGGTCCCAGATCAGTACATTCTCCCTTCTCTTGAGAGAAAAGCCTTTACTTCGTAAATGTGGACATTGTTTTGTCCTGTAATGTAGTTTTCTGCAGTCTTCACAGAACCCAAGTCTTTTTCAGTTAGTCATAAGTCTTCTACCATTCCCCATGAACAGGTTATGAATCCAGCAATCCAGACGTATTCTCCAAGTTGGATGACGGAGAAGCACCATGGACAAAGGAAGGTGAAATCCACTGTCGAAACCATTCAGGTGGGTTAAGAGAACCACCATGGGGTAGGCTGTGGAAATCACAGTCTAGTTGTTCAGAGAAGAGGCTTAGAAGTGAAGGGGTTTGTAGATAGGTAAGCAGTGCCTCCATGTATGTCTCTCCTAGTTAGAGACCTCTTTATCTTTTTAGGAGTTTAGAGAAAAATAGATTCCTTTATTTTTTTCTGGGGTATGAGTTCTCTTTATTTTATCTTCATCTTGATATTTTGTTTGTATGATTTTATTTTTTAAGAATCTCAAATCTTTTTCTTCTTCATAGTCTTCCACCTTCCTTGCTATAAGATTCCACTCTCTTTCTCCAAAGAGAAAACTGGGCTCACTGCCTTCTGACCACTGCCCCTTTCTGCCCCTGGTAATGTGGATTTCCTTTCCTAATATCCACCCCTTGGATACTGTGCCCTCAAAGTAAACTGGTCTTCACTGTGCCTTTGCTTTTCTTTTTCTCTTAGCTTCACTTTTTCTTCACTCTGAGTTTCTTCAACTGTTCTATTTTCCAGTTCCTCATTTGATCCACTAGCCCTTCAAAGTTTTGTTCATTTTAATCAGCTAAGCTGTTTTTGTTCCCTACACAAGCCCCCCAAATTTAATCTCCCCACTGTGACCCACTACACAAGACTCTATTGTATAGAATTTACTCATCTTGATGGCAAGTCTCCTGAGCTCACAATAACTGCAAGGACGTTGAATCATCATCTCTCCCAGAAAAGCCCAGTGAGTTCAGGTTCATCTTCATTCTTGTGCATGTGCTATCCTGGCCATCCAGTGTCACCTCAGTTGTTTCTGTCTGCAGAGCTCTCTTCTTTAAAGGAGTTTTCTGTTCATGATGTGTTTCAATGAGGAGATTTATTTTAATACATACATTCTCAGTTCTAGGCTTTACCAGACCGTAACTCTTTCATATTTCAAATTAATTCCTTTGCCTATTTACTAATTCTTATTTTTTTGATGTTTATCAAAGGTATTCTGACATTACTTACCTCCTGAGAGGTTTTGTTTTTCCTCCCATAATATTCTGACAACATTAGGTCCCAATTAACTGTTACCTCGCACAAGACATGAAATTCTTCAGTGATTTCTGTGATGTATGTTGCTCATGCAGAGATTTCCATTTTCTCTCCTAAACTGTGCAGTGTATTCCATACATGGGATTGCTTCCTTGATTTGTTCTTTTCTAAATTACTGTTGATAGCCTACTATAAGCTAGAGGATAACAGTAATGAGAAATGGCATACAAATAGATCAAGATCTCTCGTTCTATTTAAAAGAAGGAGGCATAAAATCAATCAAAATAAAAAAGTGAATAATATGTACACAGAGTAAAGACTGCTATAATGAAATTAAGTCAGCATTAATAGAACAGGAAGAACTCGGGCCTGGGGTTACTGCCTTGGGATAGGAACACCTCTCTGAGGTGTAGTTTGTAAGTCAGAGGTGCTAGGAGCTCTGTACTCTGTCATCACCTTAGTCCCACTATGTGTACCACAATAATGAATCCCCTGTGAGTTCTGGCTTCTTCCAAAATGTAGTCTGAATCTTCTGCCTTTCTCCATCTATAATGCACATTTCTATCTGTGTTTACAAGTTGCAGCTGTTCGTTGCATGTGTCTTTGCTTTTTTAAGTGGCTTCATCAAAGACAGTGGAGGCTTTGTGAACATAAGGATTGTGCTTGTGTGCCCCACCTGGAGCCATGTTAGTACACAGTAGTCATCAGAGAAGGATGTGGAAGTACTAATTCTGTTCCTCACCAGTATAAATGAAGTAGCCCTCCAACCTGTGGTCTGATGCTACAGTAAATTGCTTGTATTTTACAATCTGCATGTTTGGCAAGGCCAGTAATTAGAATATAGCCAAATTTGTGTTTATTTCTTTTTATTACCTGTACCAATGTACAAGGAACATCAAACATGAAGTTTTAGTTACACACATATCATCAGGTCATCACTAAAAAAGACACTTCACATCAAGGTATATTTTTTTCATTACCTTTCTTCCAAATGAAGATGATGGAGGAATTCATTTTCTTTCCTAGAAATCTGGAAACTTGATGACCATCTGCTGGAGAACATAGAAAGTGAAAGCATGGAGAATAGCCTGGAACAATGGCACAAAAATAACATATTTGAAAATGGTGTCCATTGGAGCAAAAATCATTTTCTGTTACGACAAAATCATGGTACATTTGACTCACATGGAGAAAATATGAAATCAGATTTGTCTTTACCTAACCAGAGCAGAAGCTATGAAATCAAGAGGCCCACTGAACTTTCTGGAAATGGGAAATCCTTTCTCCATGCTAACAGTAAACAGAAATTCCTGGAAATTCGAAAATTCATCGGCACGAAGTGCCAACTCATTAAGCATCTGAAACCTCAGAAAATAAGGAAACAACATATATGCAGTGAATGTGGGAAAGCCTTTTTGAAGAAGTGTTTGCTTGATGATCACCAGAATCTTCATACAGGAGAGAAGCCCCATCAGTGTAGTCTGTGTGGGAAAGCCTTCTCCAGAAAGGTTACACTGAATGAACACCAGAGATCACACACAGGAGAGAAACCTTATGAATGCAGAGAGTGTGGCAAAGCCTTTGTCACGAAATCACGGCTCAATATACATTATAAAATACACACAGGGGAGAAACCCTTTGTATGCAGTGACTGTGGGAAACGCTTTATCCAGAAGGGCAATCTCATGGTACATCTACGGACTCACACAGGCGAGAAACCTTATATATGTGACGAATGTGGAAAAAGCTTCAGCCAAAAGACATCTCTCACAACACATCAGAGATTTCACACAGGAAAGACACTGTTTGTGTGTAGTGAATGTGGAAAATCCTGTTCCCAGAAGACAGGTCTCATTAAACATGAAAGAATTCACACTGGAGAGAAACCCTTTGAATGCAGTGACTGTGGGAAAGCCTTTATCGGGAAGCCGCAGCTTGTCGTACATCAGAGAATTCATACAGGAGAGAGACCCTATGGTTGTAATGAATGTGGGAAATCCTTCAGAGCAAAGTCAGTCCTCAATGGACATCAGAAAATTCACTCAGTCAAGGTGGTACATCCTCTCACAGAGAGTCAAGTGTCATCAAAGACTAGTGTGGTCCTGCAGGAGAAAAATTTTGTTAATACAGTGGCTATGCAGGTGCCTTCTCTGTCCCCTCAGACAGCAGTAAATGTCAGTGGGCTGCTAGTAAACAGAAATATAATCATAGTGGGCCAGCCTGTGGCCAGCTGTGCACCCTTAGGAGGATTTGCACAGAATAGAAATTTTGTGAATGCAGTGAGTATGGACTCGCCTTCAGTAACCAATTATGTGCTATTTTATGTCACAGGAAACCAATAGGAAAAAACTAGACACATTGGTGTGCAAAGATTTGATCAAAATTTTCTGCCTCAGGTTATGGTTGAAAAGTATATACTGAGAGAAATTGTATAAATGCTGAGAGTAGGAAGTCATGATATTATCATTCTTTTAAATATGTGCATTGATGCAGAGGCATAATCTGATGTTAACCTAGACACATATGTCGATTGGTCTATTAAAGGAATGAAAGAGGCTAAGTGAAGCCAGTAAGTGAAGTTTTTTTAAAACATAAAAGTTATTTGTGTCTGGGATGTTGCTATGAATAAAAAACCAGGAAGGAGGTTATACTGGATTGGTGGGATATGGAGCATTTATGTATTAATTCAGTTTCCCTAGACCAAAGTGAAGGATTAATTGAAAACTTGGATGTCTACCATAAACTCTTAGTGGTTTATATTATGCAGAGGGATTATGAAATAACAGGTTCAGATTGAGTCAATTCATTCATTTATATCAAGTTTTTGTCACATAGTGCCCTTATATCTGGTTCTGTTCCAGGAGCTGAGGATAAACTGGTGACCAAAACACCCTAGATGTGTGGTTCAGTAGATTGAGTGCCAGCCTGTGAACCAAAAGGTTGCTGGTTGATTCTCAATTAGGGCATATGCTTGGGTTGTAGCCAGATCCCCAGTTGGGGGTGTACAAGAAGCATTCAATCCCCCCCTAAGAAGAAGCATTTAATCTATGTTTCTTTCCCTCTCCTTCTCCCTACCCCTCTCTAAAAATAAGAAAGATGTAAGAAAATTAAAAAAATTTTTTAATTGAAAAAAAGAAGAAAAAAGGGAAAAAAATATTCCAAAACAGAAAACCCATGGTCTCCAGGGGAGAGCATTAAGGTAGTTGGATTATCTTTAAGTGGTATATCTATACTCCAGCTAATCTAGTGAGAGGATGTAATTATCTTTATTAGGTGAAATGGATTGGAACAATTGGTTCAAGGGGATATAACAATTTACTGCTAAAGGAGCATATTTTGAGAGGTTGGGGAGGGACTCTTGAGTGGCAGTTAAGTACCACAAAATACAAGTAAGTTATTTTTTTAAGCCCATTAGTTTTCTCCACAAGGACATTATAAATTTTTAAAAAATTTTAATGGCTTTACTTAAATTTTAATTGTTTAAAATAATCGAACACCAAGGAATAAAAAAGTCAGTTCCCCCTTTGCACTGACCACATTTCACATGCTCAGCAGTTATGTAGGGAGTGGATATAGCAAAATGAGCAAAACTGAAACCAGAAGAAAAATTGCTATCATTTTCATTGTATCAGAAAATAATATTGGTGAGTACTGGATTTCATATTTTATATTTCTCAGCACATTAAGACAACCAAAATCCTAATTACATATAGATTTGGAAAGTCAATGAATGAACTAAGAGACTAATCAAAATGTATTTTGTCACTGATGAAAAGAGTTCTAAAGAATAGAACTGTCACCTGAAATTGTTTTATGTGAATGTGGGATCAGAGAGGTTTATTAACTGATTATAAAGAGAGCAGGAAAAGAAAATATTCCTAAAATTAATGAAACAGCAAACAAAATGAGAATCTTAGTTTCTAAGAATGGTGGACAATATAAGAAATGGGAGGTGACATCTATATGGAATGTTTTGGAGATGAATCTGTAGATTTGCCCACAGGGCTATCACCTATCAAAAGGATTATAGCTCTTCTGGGACCTGCTGAATTGAGACTTGTGAATTCTATCTCCCTCATTTTATCCCACTTTGTTGAGAGTGGGTTCTTTGCCTTGATCCCATGAGGCTGTAATACCCTCGTTACAGTCTTATTGAGGAAAAGAAATGGAAATTGGCTAAGCTGTGGCTGTCTCAGAATTCAGTTGAAATCCTGATCATTTTCTCCGAGAAATAAAGTACCATCCTGTGCAAACATACACTTTTACACACATGATACATCAGTGAACACAAGAGGCAAAATTATGGAAATTTTAATCTGGATTAATATCCCCATCACCACCCTCACAGTAACCCTGTAGTGAGATGGATTCAGGGAAGACAGTCTCTAGGAAGGCATCGGTCATGTGTGCTCCATCATCCAGACCTCCGCTTCTGGTCTTGTGAAACTCCACATCTGCCTTTGGCATGCTCACATTGGCTCATTCGGGAAACTGAATAGTCAGGGCTTCAGAAAGGGGACTGCCAGGCTTCCCTGAGCACTGAGTTCCCCATGCTCTGTTCACCTTTCAAAGCCTTGCAACTCTAGGTGAAGGTTGCCTAGGGTACACCTAGGCCTGGTACCACACCCATGATCCTTATGGTTCGAATAAAGGATATGGTTCTACATCCTTCATTTTGAATAGTGCTTAGGAGTGGGTCCCACAGTTGCACTACTTCATTGGAATCCTAAACCTCATGCTTTTGAGCAAGTTTCAGCATTCACCTGTGTCTCAGTGTACCTGTAAAATACTATCTGCCTCAGGTTTGTTGTGAGAAGTAGATGTAGTTAAAAAGAATGCCTGTCAAACAGGCAATTAATGAAAGAATCATGGCTCCTAGTGAGGGAGGAATCCCATCTTCCTTTCATATACTGGGTCATCATCTTCAATGATTACTTTTGCAGTGCAGCCTGTGGGCTCCATTTACACAGACCTCATCCCCAAATCTTACCAGGACTTCAAGCCTTTTCTAGTGTTTTGTCCCAGTCTGATTCCTGCCTCTAACATCTGGCTCCACCAAGTTCCTTATTTGTCCAAAGGCTCCTCTTGACATTAGTTCTGGGGTGTTCTCTGCCCCAGGAAGATGTCCGCCTCCATGGAGCTCTGCAGTAATGGCTCATGAGTGCTGCTATCTTTGTTTTGTCCAAAGTCCTAGGTAGGATGCAAGCTGCTCCACGTTGGCCTCTGAAAACTTACTCAGCACAGTGTTCTTGATCTACAAAGTGATTAAGAGTTGTTGAAAAGGTGATTTCAATTTCTTCTTCCTGTTGCTGTGGAGCCACAGATGCCAAGTAGGTCACTTGGGTCCATATCCAGTGCTGGGCATTGTTAAAGTCATAGAGCTACGCCCACAATGAGAACCAAAACTGGTCCAGAAGTGTCCCTAGCAACAGCTAAAGTAGGGGCTTTGGCATTAGCGCACCAGAATTCCAATCGTTTTGGAAGTGAGTTGAGACTTCGGCAGCTGTCCTGAGTCTTGAGAAGCTCAGCAGCAGGTGGGTGGAGGTCTGTGCAGGGCAGACCTCAGGGTCTGTGGAGGTGAGAGAAGGGCTGTTTGGGAGACTTTTGGTTCAGTCACTGGGAAGTCTTGGCTTTCATGATCCTCTCATTGGTGGTCACTGTTACAAAGCATATGAAGATGTTAATAAGGGTTCAAGTCTCAGGTGGGTAATGCTGTGGGATTCATTGGTTAAGAACTGAGTTGATAGGTGTGTGTCAGTGAATATGGTGTCTGTTACAGAATCATGATTTACCACAGGGTTTGGACATGGAGATGCCTGGAGGTTTGGGGAGTGGTTACTGATAGGATTTCCTGGTTCATATTTAAGATCTAGCTTGGAGTCAGGTTTTTGTTTTTTGGGGGAGGCCAATGTATGTCTGTAGTCACAGACCCAGGGACCCTGGACAGTAAGTGGGCCAAGACTCGTATGTTGACTGTTGGAAAAATACTAATGGCACACTCTCATCCAGCTAATCCAAATCCAGTGCATTCTTTCCTCAAGGTAGTAATTAAAAACTCTTTTGTCTTCTCCTGTAAATACTTTAGTAATTATCTTTCTAACAAACAGAGTAGTTAGAAATGATCTAGTGTGTGTCATAAAACACGTGTTTTGTTCTCTGCCTCCTGATTGCCTCCACAATTGTCTTGAATATTTTCTTTCATGTTCATTGTACACAGTAATGATCTCTGTTACCCTGAGCTCTGATCAGTGAAGGCATTGCATATGTCTTTTTATTTTTAGTTATTTATTTTTTTTATGCTCACCTGAGGCCATTTTCTTTGTTGCCTCTAGAGAGAGGAAGGGAGAAAGAGAGAGACATTGATGTGAGACAGAAGCATCAATGGGTTGCCTCCACTCACACCCCCACCACAAATATGCCGAGACAGGGGATGGAAGCCACAATCTTTCTGTTATGGGATGGATGCTCCATTCAATTGAGCCACAGCAGACAAGGCACATGTGTCTTTTTTTAAGTGTTTTTTTTGCAGTTCCTTCACATTTGGAATTATCTGTATAGCATAGACATCCTTCTATTTTATCACTGAATTTCTAGTTATAAACATATTTATAATATAAAATTATTAGAAATTTTCTTAATGTCTGCAATAGTGTCACATCAGGCAGGTGAACTAGTGATAAGACAACCAGAGTCACATTCAGTGTGTACATTCATTTGGATAGGCTTGGCTTATACATTATATTTTTCTGCAACACATTGTGAGTTTCTGCTTATCCACGTTCTCCCATCCACCTCCAGGATTTGTTGTCTCTCTTTTCCTGTATGTCTCAGATATTTTTGGTTACACTTATTCCTAGGTAGGTTATATTTCTATACAATTATAAGTAGTGCCTTAAAAAATTCCTGGTTCTAAATTTTGTAGCCTAATAGAGCAATTGCATTGCTCTTGGTATTACTGAAAGTGATTCTTTTATATTTTTCTAGTTGAGCAATTTTATTATCTGTGAATAATTTTGGCTGAAGTGTAAGTGACATGAGCAAATCTTTCCCTTACATAGTGCTTTCCCCCTTAGCTGTGTGCTTTGAACAAGGCTTTTCAAAGGAACTAAGGTACCTGAAAACATAGAGCATATACCAGGATATAAATTTCTCTCCATGCACCGATTTAGCTGCTTCTCACTAGTTTTGGTACTTAAACTTTTCGGTTTCAGCTTGGCTGGTGTAGCTCAGTGGATTGAGTGCGGGCCTGGGAATGAAGCAACCATGGTTCGATTCCCAGTCAGGGCACATGCCTAGGTTGCAGGCCAGTTCCCAGCAGGGGATACACAAGAGGCAACCATACATTGATATTTCTCTCCTTCTCTCCTTCCCTTCCCCTCTAAAGATAAATAAATAAAATCTTAAAAAAAAAACTTTTCCGTTTCAATCAGTGTATTTGTTTCTCATTGCTGAATAATAAATTTTCACAAACTTAGTGGTTTAAAACAACACATATTTATTATCTCAGAGTTTCCATAGGTCAGAAGTTCAGACACAGTGTGTGTACCTAGATCCTCTGTTTTCAGTCTTACACACCATAAACATGATGTCAGGTGGACTGTATTCTTATTTGGAGGCTTAACTGGAGAAGAATTTGCTGTACAAGTCACTAAGGGAGTGGGTTTTTCTTAGGGAGTGTTAGGCCCGTAATTAGATAAAAGTAGCCAAGAGGAACCCGAGGCAGGCTCCAGACTGTCTCAGCAAGGAAGATAGAAAAGTAAAGAAAGTACAAAGAGTGCTGAACAAGATAAACTGCCTGTGCATGACCTTGTCTTTGCATGACCTTGTCTTTGCAGAAAAGTATCCATTGTTGTAAGCAGAGAGCATAGCCATGTGTGTGTGTTCTCTCAAGATAGCCAATTGCTAACAGCTACGTCTGCTTCTGTATTTGCATGCTTGCTTGCTTGCTTGCTTGCTCACCCCAATAAAAACCCCAGGCTGTAAGCGCCGGGGGCGACTCTCATTTGCAGCCATTTTGGCACCGGGTCTCCGGACACCTCGAGAGTTCGTCCCTGCGCAGGTAAAACTTTGGCCAATAAAGTTCCATCTTAAACTCCTGAAAGTTTCCGACCATTTGTTGCTCGCATTGGTGGATGCTACAGGAGCTTGTTAGTCTGATATGTGGGAGTCACAAGATAGAAAAAATTTATCCCCTTAGCCTACACTGCTGTTTGGGCTTCCTCATGCTGGGGTTTCTTGATCTTCTAGGCATGAAGGGCTGCCTGCTCTACAGACCCTGCTTCCCCAACTTTTACTCTGTCCTTCCCACAGTGTAAGTGGGATAGGGCGGTCTGCCTAACTCATCTTTTTAAAAAATAGTCCATCTTATTTTATTACCCTGGTCCAAGAGACTTAAATTTTAATTTGTTTAAAAATGGATGACCTCTTTAATCCCACATAACTATAGAATAAATCTTGTGTTTGTCACATATATGCCCACTCTTTGTTTTGCTAAGAAAGAGATGTTTAATTGTGTTAACAGTTTCTTTCCCACAGAGGAATGCTGAAACCATCAATATAAGAACAGGTGTATACCAGTAGCTGTGGAATCACCTCATCTTGGTCCAGGTCCGACCACTTCCCCCTACATGGCCTGTGCCACCTTGCCCTCCCCATACCCTGCCCCTCTGTAGTGTCCCCGCTCCTCCAAATTTTATACTGTTCTCTAAAGGTTTCTCCTTCTCAAAATATTTTCAAGTTCAGCCTCCTCCCAAGGACAAAAGTTCTCAATCGTAAGGACTCTTACATCTCCTTCAAGATGGCTGTGCCCTCACGCAAGAAAGGAGACTTGCTGGCTGTTGCAAACTTTAGTCTTGGTCCTATATTCTGACAGGAAGATGGCGTGGCATTCTCAGAGTTTTTTAAAAAGATTTTATTTATTTTGGAGAGAGAGGGAGGGAGAAAGAAAGGGAGAGAAGCATCAATGTGTGGTTGCCTCTCACCTCGCCCCCACTGGGGACCTAGCCTGCAACCCAGGCATGTACCCTCACTGGGAATCAAACTGGTGGCCCTTTGGTCCACAGCTCACGCTCAATCCACTGAGCTACACCAGTCAGGGCTATGCAGCGTTTTAAGAGAATATAGTTCTTTCTATCTTTCTACCTATTTACCTACCTACCCACATGTCATCTGCTTTGTTCTGAAGCACGCCTGTGGTTATAAGAACTGTGAATGTCTGACTCCATCCTTGATACTTAGAGATACTGGCAGAAGATATAAGATTCTTAGGTTAAAAACAAAAGACTTT